GCGAGAAAACAAGAGGCACGTGGAGGGCGATGTGACTGCGCCATACGCGTCTCATTTACCCACGACCCGGCCACGGTGCAACCTCGTGCCTCAATCACGCCCGCGGACTCAAAATGGCGCGTTCTCTTTCTCGGCGACAAAACGGTGTTCTAAAATCTCAACTAGCAAGCCGGCGCACGTCCTTTGGATGTGTCCCTCCGTTCGTCCCTCCAGCCAGCCAGCAAAACTTGTTTCCTATACAGTGTCAAGGACTCGTCTTATTGGTTCTTTCGGTAAAGTCACGTAGAAGGAAAAGACGGCTGCTTGCGTTGTGGCCGAAACGTCGTGAGAATTATTTTATAATGTTTTATTTTTATTATTTTATTATTTTCCTTCTACGTGACTTTACCGAAAGAACCAAGAAGATGGATCCCTGCAGTCACGAAAGCTTTAAATCGAGTGTCAAGGACGATTCGTACATTTCTATGCCGTTTGGACTATCGGCATGGAGGCACAACATTGCAGTTGCTTTCTTCGTTCAGAAATTTCCGACCCCGATGGTTTTTCAAGAACGACTCGCTATCCGTTGTGGAAGAAGCGTGGAAGAAGCCGTTGAAGAAGCGTGGAGTGACGCGTGCTCGGAAAGGGGGAACACGCAGATCCGAGAATGCAGGCAGATGAACGACGCCGTTGAATCCGTTCAGGAGAGTGGTGCTTGGGCAGAGCGCGTCGCGGCGAGAAGGGCCGGCGATGACCGATGATCAGGAACAGCAACGGAGCGGGAGCCGAGCAACGCAACGCATCCCGAGTGGACGTCCAGCCGGGGAGACGGAGCGATGAGATCAGTTGTGGGTGCAGGTGCCGAGTTGACCGTTTCACCGCGGGATCACGGAATGTGGCAGCGACTTGGGGAAAGCCTTCATCCAGCAGTGGATTGACCGTGGCTGATGATGTTGAGCCGTTAAAGGGACTCTTTCACGCGGCGGGCTGTGCATCAGAATCTTTCAGAATATGAATATTTAATTATCCCGGAGATATCCGATGAGCTATGAAGCTCTTTTTTCCACAGACGTCCAGTCTGGGGCCGGTCAGAAAGTTACAAGAAACAAACAAACAAAAAAACGCTCTAGGAGTGCATGCCTCGGTTGTGTCAATGTTGTTTTGTTGTCTTTACACAACGAGCCCCTACAGCTGTGGCTGACCGAGGGGCACGATCTAAGCTGTGTGACGTTGTGTTGCTTAGGCAGCTGTTGCTCATTACACTCAAACTGTGCATTTTGCTTCTCCTCCTACAGCTCAGAGTTGAGACGTTCCCGGCTTGTTATGCGCGCTGTTGTCACAGCCATTGAAAGTTTGCCATCTCTGGGCCTGCGCGTGCAAGTGAACGTATTGGGTGGTTCCGCAAATTAGTAAAACTTCATAGTCAACATTTTAAAATGAACTTTGAGGGTAATGGTGTTCGATATTTCTCGGTTTGAAAGAAGCGATGGTGATTATTTGTGGAGTAAGAGTGCTGCGAAATTGCGGACCCAGGGAAGGGGCTCACGCTCATGCTGCTGCTGCTGCTGATGCTTCATCACCATTGCAGCACGTGACTGCCTTCACGTCCACACCGCGCGAGTGAGTGGGGGTGGGGTAGCGCGACGCCTCCAGGGTTGGGAGGTCAGGTAGGAGGTCAGGAGGTCAGGTAGGAGCGAGTGGACACCGTGACGACGGAGAAACCTCACCAGAAACACACACGCACACACACACATTTATCCCCGGTACTGTTCGCACTTTTGGCGTTCTCTGATCCGACACTCGTGAGACGAGACCATAAAGAAGGCTGGCTCTGGTGTTTGGCCAATCGGTTTCAAAGACAATGCCAAATATTATTCGAACGTTTTTGTTTGCATGTTCACCACAAGTGCGTGTGGTCAATGCGGCACTTGATTCCTTGCAAAAAGGTTTCTATTTGGTGTTTGGACATCTTGGCACCTGTTTTATTAACAAAAAGGGTAAAACATATCCTTATTTTCACACACACACACATCCCATTCACAGCCCTGTTCGACGGATGAACTTATGCACGTATGTTGAACTTCCTTTGCACCGCACGAAGCCAACCGCTGCTCTTAGGAGGTGTGCAATGGGGCACGTAGGCCATTGTGTGCCGACGTCACGGCCCACATGTGCCCACGTTTAGAGAGAGAGGGAATACGAGACAAGGATAACGACCAAATTTTGAGACCACGAAGCAAAACCGTCGGCCAACCCTCCGGCGAAAACTTGTTAGGAGGTGAAGTGGTGGATCACGACGTGTCGGAGGCAGCACGCGGGTCTCCGTCGTCGGGTGGGACCGTCACAGCCAAATTTACTGCCTTCTTGGTTCTTTTGGTAAAGTCACGTAGAAGGGAAATAATAAAACTGAAATAAAATAATTATATTATATAATATTATTTTATGATGTTTTATTATTTTATTATTTCCATTCTACGTGACTTTACCGAAAGAACCAAGAAAATAGATGCATTGTTACATGCCTAATAACTGACCATTCGAGATGTCGTTTTAAATTAATGCATTAAGCTACAAGATTCTGTCGGGCTCTTTATTTCTATTATTTCTTCTATTATTTTTATTTTATTATTATTTTTACCTACGTGACTTTACAGAAAAAAACCGAAGAGTATGAATCCTTGCAGTCACGAAAGCTTCAAATTTAGAATTGTTAGGGTCGTCGTGCGACACCGCCGAGACTTGGGCTCCCCTGGCTAAACGAGTCCCATGCGACAGTCGTCACGGCAATGAGGCGCTTCAGTCGCACCGAACCTCACAAAACTAATATCCAGGGCCTACCTTGGCTCCTCCCACCCTCAACCAAATTCAGATTCCAAAGAACACAGGATGAGATGTTACTATCCTTTGTGCAAGCACTTCCAAGAGTTCATGAACAATGAGCCTGGTGAAATTTGGGGAGCGCATCGTCAGTAGTGAACCTTTGGTTCCTAGGGTGTTTCGGCCTTTCATACTATACACCCTCCCCAAAGGCGGCAATATATATACAAATACTGTGTTCTTGGAATGTCTCTCACTTGATACAGCTATCGTGCTGTGACGGTTCCACCTGAAGACGGAAGCTTGTGTTGCCTCCGAAACGTCGTGATTTTTATTTTATTTTAATTTTACTTTTATTAATTTAATTTTTTTACCTACGTGACTTTACCGAAAAAAAACTAAGAATATGAATCCTTGCAGTCACGAAAGCTTCAAATCTAGAATGAGGCGCTGTGCCTATTTAGTGAACGCCTATTGAGGATGGCACTGTTCACGAGCGGGTTCGGTGGTCAAGGTTAATTTCGGTTTTCTGCTGTAACTTAGACCGTCTCTGATGGACGATATATTGCGTGCGGTGCACATATTACAGCACGGTAAATCGGTTGCACACAACGCATTACCGAGTGTGTTTGTGTATTGTGCAGATCGGATTGTATCAAGTGAATGATTCACCTGTGGAGTATTAATGGGCCCGTTCAATTACAATACCCGGCCTCAAAGTGACACGAGGGGTCTGCTGTCTGCATTGCTACACTGTGTGTCTATGAAATGAGTAGAGGAATTAAGGTGGAATTCGGAGACGAGTGGGATTCGAAACGGCATGAGAGATAGAATGGTATTTGTGCAAGCACTGCACTCAAAGTAGAACACAACTTGCGTGCGGATGTTGCTGTGGCAGCGTGCCCTGACTCGCAGTCAGAAGGTCTCAAGTTCAAATTCTGAGTGGGCGTTAAACTTGGCCCATCATCATCATCCGTTCGAGGATGATAAATTGAACACCACTTGATGGGAAGTGAGCAATGTTTGTCCGATGCGAAAGAAAAATAAACTGTTGTCTATCACAGGAAAGTCGAATCCCGCATCTCCGATTAGCACGGTTGGCTACGTACGGTGCGAAAGAAGTTCCGCGTACGTCCGTGCAGGAAAGTGGAATTTACACGATTGGCCCAAGGCAGAACGGTACTGCCTGAGATTCGCCTGAGCATCGTGACACTTTGACTTTCTAACAATTACTCGTACATTTCCATTTCATATTTAGTCGTGAGATGTGGCTCCCGCGTTGTGACTGAGACATCGGACGGCGTGATGGACGAAAGCAGATCATGACTTTGCTCATTCTGTTTCGCGGTTTACCGGTGTTTAAAGTGGGTTCAACATCGACTGTGTCGTGCAGCCAAAGTTGTAAACATCGCATAAGACGACCGCCTTTGTATCCCCGCGTTCCGGACCAACGCTTCTCCCCTGGTCTGAGATGAGCGTCAGGACACCGCGATTGTGGTCTCGTTGTCTCTATTCAAAGTTGATCTCCTGCTGCTGCTGCTGCTGCTCAAATTTACATTGAGGCTTCGGTGCTCATATAACGTTTATAGCCCGGCTGAACCAGTATCGCCGTGGTGGGAGAGGGGGGAGTCTATCGACAGGACATCCACCGTTGACTTCCTCGCAAACAATGGGAAGACCTAACAGAGAATGGCTTCTAGATTTGAAGCTTTCGTGACTGCAAGGATTCATACTCTTAGCTTATTTCGGTAAAGTCACGTAGGTAAGCCCCTCCCCCCTTAACTTGTATTTAAGGGCTCGTCTCTTGCAATTGTTGCCTCACTTGATGCAGTAAATTTAGCTGTGACGGTCCCACCTGATGACGGAGACTTGTGTTGCCTCCGAAACGTCGTGATTTATTATTAAATTTCTATTATTACTTCTATTAATTTTAATTTTATTTTTACCTACGTGACTTTACCGAAATAACCTAAGAGTAGAGAATGGCTTGACTGGCGATGTGAGAGATTGGTGCCAGAAATATGTGGCATTACTTGAGAGTATTGGCACAAGGCAGAGGAAAGTGGAAACGCGTGATGAAATGTCCAGCTCGACACACCCGGCTACCTTTGCCCGCGGATCGTGATGACGATGTGCGTACGTGAAAACTTCTTTCGCACCGTGCTACTAATTGCGTTATGTCCGCACGTGCCATCGGCGCGCAGGGCATGGTGGCGTGCTACCCGGGCCGTGGCACGGGATACGTGCGCCACGTGGACAATCCCACGGGCGACGGACGCTGCGTCACCTGCATCTACTACCTGAACCAGCGGTGGGAGGCCAAGGTGGGACCCGCACGCGCGCCACATTCGCCCGGCCACGCCGGCGAGAGTGTGAACACCGCGAGCGTGGAGAAAGCCACCACGCCGCTCCGTAGTGCAGGGCAGAGGTTCAGTTCATTATCAGTTAATTTATTAGGGAGAGTCCTGTGAGCCATGCGGCTCTTGGATCGGGTGCAACCGCAACAAACAAAAACATGAACAAGAAACATCTTAAAGTGACTACGCGCAACAGAAAAATCCAGGAAAAAACAGCAAAGTCTTCCAGGTGAGCTGGCAAGCGGCCGGTGCACGCTGGTTCAAGTTGATTTTGTTCCAGCCAGCTGAGAAATAAGTCAAAAGTGGGGCAGGATTTTTAGTCCCCGTCCGTCGGGAGTGGCGAGTGTCGCCGCAAGGAAAGAAATCACTTCGAGTGAAATGCAGGAGATAGAAATCGCAGCTATCCGAGACCGACTGTAGCCATTTTTTTTAACACGAACAGAACTAGCCAACAAAAATCCTCGAGCATTATTAGCCCAACCCCTAAACACAACCCCAGATGCTGACGCAGCCCGAGTTGCACGGTTCACTCTTGGTGTACACCAAGGGTGCGAAACCTTTTTTCTGCCAAGGGCCATTTGGATATTTATAACATCATTCGCGGGCCATACAAAATTATCAACTAAAAAAATTGCCCGTTATATTTGGTCAAACATTTAATTAACTCACCCCCAATGCGATGGCTGGAACTGCTTCTCTTTGGTGAGGCGTGTGGTGTTAGCTGCTATTGATGATGTTGCTGCTACTCGCAACTGCTTTTCCAGGTTTGCTCCTAGATTTATTGAATTTCGAGTCCCGCCTGTAGTTGCCTTGGCAGGGCCAGACCAAATTATTTTGCGGGCCTTATACGGCCCGCGGGCCGGACGTTCCCCACCCCTGGTGTACACAATGCCTGTACTCGCACACCCACGGTGTCGGGAGAGTTACTTTTGAGAATATTATTACAACTGAAGCTCTTCAAAGTAATCTCTTGTAATTCCCCCATGCTCTGTACAATGTTATAAAAGTAACTTTCAATTTAGTTCCGTGAAATCGTTTCTGACAAATCGTCATCAGTGATAAACGATACCTGGATCGGTTCTGGGCGCCCCCTTTCACCAACGCGCATGACCAGCGTGGTGAAGTATGGTCAAACAACGGCCACGACCGACGCGGCGCGGAGTGGCCTTCATCTAGCAGTGGACTGACAATGACCTGAAAACGAACCTGAACGGAGTAATGAAGGGTAACCAGCACCCAGCTTCGGTCGTCCGATGAGAGCATTGCATCGACCTCACCCGGTGCTCTCAAACTTGAAAGCTAACAGAGAGCAGTGCAGCCCTTTGAAATTAAGTGCCCGCTCATTTTTCAGTCAATATCAGCGTGAGCACGTGGCCTCAAGGGCCGAAGGCTGCATCGTACGAACTGCCCTGAAATGTCAAACATGTCAACATTCTGAGTTTTAATCCCAAGGTGCCACCTGGAATTAAATACAACTGTCAAACGTTGACCATCCCAGGAATTTAACTTGCAGCACAAAAGTGTACTCTTGGTATACACGATTTTTGTTCTGCCTAATTCAGCCCAGTCCACCCACGTCTTAGCGGTGAATAAGTTTACAACGAAAATATAACATACCGTATCGTACCTCGTGCCAGTAACACAGAGTGGAGGCTCTTTCAAGACGTCTGGCATGCACGAAAGAGTAGGCCAAACACCCTCTTAGAGGGGCTCTCTAGAGTTGCCTCTAGTGGAGGGCCCTTCCACCAGCAATTGCATGACTGCTATTTTAGAGTTTATAGAATGACGGGGTGCCCTCAAACGCCTCGCTGACCAGGTTGCTTTTTCTAAAAGGACAAAGTGTTTTTGCAGTCCCACGGATCACACAGCAGATTAACAAAGCAGCAAAGCGAATTAGTAATGACTGTAATGAGTAACTGATTTGCCTTTTACAACTCACGATGCCACGACTTCACACGGGCATTACTGTATTTATACACAACACACACACACACGTGTACATGGTCATAACAAGCATGCCTTGCGGCATACACAGTAATTATAATACATACACATACCCTGCAATTTAAACACATACATAGAAAGCAATTCAAACGGAGCGCACACACACACACTTACAGAGGAATTTGACTCTACCACACAGCAATTAGAACACTGTGTACGCACACTGAGGGTGGATCGGTGGGCCAATGGTTAGCGCATTGCACTGTCGAGTTCTGGGCCACAGCCAACATCAGTGGTAATATATCAAAACTAAAAATTAGACTGATACTAATTTTATTTGAACAGGTAACGCCCACTGAGCTCTATAGCTCTTTTTCACAAGCCACCCGGTCACATATGATGGCCCAATGAGGTGGCTTATCATGTGGACATTTACAGCATACACACGCGCTAAACGCATGGTGATTCTAAATGTGGAGGAAAACAAGCCGGAGGACCCGGAGAAATATCCACGCAACCACGGGGAGAACACTCACACTCCACATATCAGGGTCGGGATCGGGGTCGAACCCACGGCCACCCACATACTTGGCAAGGTAGTTAACATCTCGCTGCAGCGTTACCTGTGCGGGCCTCCCCTTTACCGACCCGAAACTCACCAGCACGATGAAGTATGGCCAACACCAGTGACGATTATCTGAACCGGTCGTGGGCATCCCACTAAGTCGACTCAGCCTCAAATGAGCACCTAGAGGGTCTGTGTGAACATCGCCACTCGGGAGAGGCATGGTGTTGGCCACCCACCTGCCTCGCGTGCCGTGCCGGCCTTCATCGGTGCTACCCGCTAACAGCACTTGTCCCAACAGTCTGTTGAGGCTATACGGGCGGATCTTTTTCTTTGTCCTAACACACACAAACGCAGACACGCACTCGTACATACCACAACCACGAAGTGGGTGACGTCACCACGACGCCTGTGCCAGGCCAGGTGCACTTTGATGCCGTCACGTGAAGCGTCGAAGGCCGGCTGGCAGGAAGGAGGTCACGGAACAGACCCCCGCATGTCCCAGGGGTCCCGTCTGAGATGTTAACTACCTCGCCTGGTATACAGGAGGTCATGGATGCGATCCGTGACCCTGGCGCCTGCTGTATATTTGGAGTTTGCGTGTCTCTCTCGCTCTCTCCCAGTGGTCGTGTGGATTTTACTCCGGGTCCTCCGCGTTTACACTCCACATGTCAACATCACGCGTTTAAGGGTTATTTGGCTACTGCTATGCATCTACACATGATGATAAGCCACTTCGTTGAGCTATCATTTGTGGGGCCAGGTTGCTTCTAAAAAAAACATTTACATAGCAGCTCAGTGAGCCTTACCTGGTACAATAAAACAAACGCTTGCTTCGTACGGAAATGTTGCGATAACAACAACCCCGGGAGTTTGCCAAAAATAAGAATACGTTTTACCCTTTCTGGCAACAAAACGGGTGTTAAGATGTTAAAACACCTACTAGAGACCATTTGCAGGGAATCATGTCTGTAGTAGTCATACGTACTTTTGGTGAACATGCAAACAAGAGCATCCTTTGATCACGTCTCACCATTGTCAGATCAGATAACGCCAAAAGGCGAACATATTCCTTGCAAAAAGGTTTCTATTTGGTGTTTAAACATCTTAACAACCCGTTTTGTTGCCAGAAATGGGGAAAACCCAACCTTGTTTTTTCATACTTTGATACTGGCAACAACAAAAAGGTCCCAATGCTGTTTCCAGCCCCGGAGTGAGCTTGGTCTCGACCACTTGGGTGGGGGGCGGGGGGGTCCCGTTCAGACGACAAAGAGGGCCTCTGCTGCCCTCTGCCGGCACCGGCGCGGGTTTACAACCCACGGGGCCTTTTACGACTCCGCATTTGCAACACGGGGAAATGTGGACGGGAGTAAAGTTTTGAACAAAACTTTTTTTTCGTGCCAGGTAAGGCCCGCTGAGCTGTATAGCTATTTTTTTTAGAAGCGATCCGGCCATCAGAAATGATAGCTCACACGAAGTGGAAAACGTGGAGGGGGAAACACCGGAGGACCCGGAGAAAAATCCACGCGACCACGGAGAGAACACGCAAACTCCAAATATACAGGCGGATCAGGGTCGGGATCGAACCCACGACCTCCTGAATACCAGGCGAGGTAGTTAACATCTCCTAGCCACCGCGGCGCCCACGGGCGGTGATGCCGGTGTCCGTCTGCCGCGCGTTTCGAGTATTCGGCTGCTGTACATTTCCACGCGGTAAGCCACTTAGTTGAGCCATCATTTGTGGCCAGGTCGCTTCTGAAAAAGAGCTACGTAGCTCAATGGGCCTTACCTGGTAAAAATAAAAATACCCCCCCCAAAAAAGAGTAAAATCGTGGTGGTGGTGATGGAGCGAGGGGTCGCTCACGCCTCCGCCCGTGCGTCGTTGTATCCGGCTCGCCCATCAGCTGGGGGGCGTTCTGCGAATCTTCCCCGGGGGAGGCCTGGAGGGGCGGCCGGCCGACGTGGAGCCCAGGTTCGACCGACTTCTCCTCTTCTGGTCGGACCGGCGGACGCCCCACGAGGTGCTACCCACGTTCGGCACGCGGTGAGCAGCGCGCTCCGGCCCGTGCCGGCCCACCAACCCCCCCCCCCCCCACGTGTCTGGGACGTGGGGGAGCGGTGGCGCGGTGGTTAGCGCGCTATTGCGCTCCGGACCCGACGGCCCGTGTTGGGATTCCTGCTCACGACCCAGTGACGAATATCTGAACCGTGTCCTGGGCCTCCCCTAGGTCCACTCAGCCTTAATCGAGTTCTCGGCGCAAGTGTGTAAATATCAGCAGTGGTGAGCTAGCGCTGGTGCGTCCCCACGGTGTCGCGTGATTGGTGGGAGATGCGAGACGCCCAGAGCCTCCCGTGTGCGTGTCCCCGCAGGTTCGCCATCACCGTGTGGTACTTTGACGCAGAGGAGCGAGCCCGGGCAAAGCAGCGCTACCGGTCAAGTGGGTGATCGGTGGTGACATCGTAGAGAGAAGCGCACGGATCTCACTCGAGCGATACCGATAGTCCTTCGCTAAACCCCCGAAAGGCTCGTCACTTACACCGTGGCTTTAGAAAGAGAAGATTATGTAAGGGACGACGTTTCGGGAAACAGCCCCTTTCTAAATTTCGATTTAAAGCTTTCGTGACTGCAGGGATTCATCTTCTTGGTTCTTTCGGTAAAGTCACGTAGAAGGGAAGTAATAAAATAATAAAAATAAAACATAAAATAATTCTCACGACGTTTCGGCCACAACGCAAGCAGCCGTCCTCAGGTGCTGCTTGCGTTGTGGCCGAAACGTCGTGAGAATTATTTTATTATGTTTTATTTTTTATTATTTTATTACTTCCCTTCTACGTGACTTTACCGAAAGAACCAAGAAGATGAGCCCCTTTCTAGTTTGTGTTTAATTGTGTATTGTAACACCGCCGCCAATGCAGCAGCGGTAGATGTGGTTGCATAAATGACACTGCTATTTAACGACTCAATATGAGTATTATTGATCCTCTTTCAAAAGAGGTCTGGGATGCTTGAATGAGAATAGAGGATTGACTTGTTATACTCAAGATTGGTGGTAATTATTTTTAATACTGTTAGGTTGGAGATATCATCTGCAATTAATAATATAATGGAGTGTATTTCCCAAAATTAACGGACATTTCAACAATTGGTCTATGAGCTTGTCATGTTGATGTTTCACAAGTCCATTCGTTTAAACTAAGCAACCATGGAACCGATTTTGACCGATCCAAGTCTCATCAGCCTGGTAAATATACTACACTGGGGGGCCCGAGGTTGGCACTCTAAACCGGCCAATCAGAGTTCGATTATCGGCCACAGCTAACATCAGTGGCACGTGAAGTTGAAATTGATCCTAGATTTGAAGCTTTCATGACTGCAAGGATTCATATTCTTAGGTTTTTTCTGTAAAGTCACGTAGGTAAAACATTAAAATGAATAAAAGTAAAATAAAATAAAAATCACGACGTTTCGGAGGCAACACAAGCTTCCATCTTCAGGTGGAACCGTCACAGCCACGACAGCTGTATCAAGTAAATGAGAGATTGCAGGAGCTACCACTCTGTTTATGTGTGCTGTACTTGGCCCTTCCCCCCTCTCCAACCATTATATAAACGGAGTGGTAGCTCCTGCAATCTCTCATTTACTTGATACAGCTGTCGTGGCTGTGACGGTTCCACCTGAAGACGGAAGCTTGTGTTGCCTCCGAAACGTCGTGACTTTTATTTTATTTTACTTTTATTAATTTGAAACTGATCCTGACCCAGCCACCCCCAACCCCTTTCACAATCTCGCACTGCCCAGCGTGGTGAAGTTTGGTCATGCAAGCCCCCAGCATCGACATGGCGTGGGGGAGGCCCTCACTCAACAGCGAATTGGCAAAGGGCCATCAATAGTAACCCTGATGTCGTGGGCTTCGACGCGCAGTGTGAGCTGCAGCAGTGGTAAGCCACGGTTGATGATCACAAGCGCTGTTCAATCTGTCCTCGGGGAGAGAGGTGATACAGGCCCGATGCATCTCCGTGTCCACAGCTGTCGGAGAGAAGGAGCCGTCGGTGCAGCTCACAGCCGCTCACAGCCAGCGATGATGGATGGCGACAGAGTCTGCCAAACTGGAAGCCTCGGTCCATTCGGAGGCACGAGGAGAGACACTCGCCCTACCCGCTTCCGATTTCCACAGCCGGCTTGATAAGAGCCAAATATGTGCCACAGCCGTGCCAGCGTGAAGCTGGCCAATCACGTCTTTCCACGTAGCCGCTGTGACCACCATCGCTTTCTTTCCATCCTCCACATTCCATCCCTCTGTCCCTGCTCCTCCGCCTCCTCCTAACTCCTCCCTACCCCCTGCACCCTAGCGGCCGGCCCAGGAAGGGCACACGTTCGCCGGACAGGAAACCAGGCAAGGTCAAAGGGTCGCGTGACGGTCAGGAAGCAGAGCAACACAACTATTGGTTTAAAAATTGGAACAATGTTGAAATGTAAGGATAGTTGTGTGTATTATGCATTCAAATGTTGTAGCTTTTTGAATTGCGTTGTTTATAATTGGATGACAATTATAGAAGCACAACTTTAGCAAGCTGAAAAAACGAAATGTGTCAATGAGGAACTAATGGCGAAGCTGCCTACACATGCATGGGATTTTATTTTAATGGGCATTTTTTACTTAACTTTTCAATTTTACTTTTGGAATTTGCATTGTGCATTGATGATTAGTAAAACTGCAGTATTGGGAAGGAGGCATGCTATGAATGTTCGGGAAGTTTAAACAGGAACCTGCATTAAGAATGTTGAATTACTATATTTAGTAAGCCTAGAGTACTTGATTTCTGCAATTCAAAGGGGAAAATGTTACAGGAGAAATGTTATCTCCCAAACGTAGTATTTTAAGAGACATCACTGGCTTTAAATCGCGCAGATATTACTTCTGGATAGTGTGAAACGTACTTGAACCAATTCCATGTTCTGTTTTTCAATTTTAGAAAGTGGTCGATTTTAACCCACGCATTAGAAGTTTGGGGTTAGATGTAGAGGTCTTCGAGTTAATAGGAATGTGTCGGTAATGTTCAGTGCACCACTAGTAGTGGGCCATTTAATCAAATCTATAAATGCGGAGAAAACCCATCGTAACAGCCGAATAACACACGGAGAAGCGTGTACAAATACCACTCGGTCTTTGTGCGATATGCTAAATGCCACAGCAGCTCCTGAAGAACTGCATTGTGGTCTTCTTGCCTTAGGTCACCATCAAAATACATATTAGCCAATGTGACTGACTGGCAGAACCATCGGCCATGCCTGATCTCCTGGGAGTACTGCAAGGATGCCATGGTGGGATAAATATCCCAAAGCTGAAGATTACACTTCCTCCAACTGCATCCACAAGTCGCTACTCAGTCGAGCAAATTTAAATTTCAATGACCTTTATTAAAACCAAAGCGTCATCTCGTCCGCTGCGTGCTCTATTTTCTAAGGCACACCTAAGTCTTCTCGTTATGTACCGAGTTTTTTTCTCATTTTAAATTTAACTGGGGGGTGGGGTGGGGGGAGGTTAAATTTAGCTGGTCTGGGCCGGGATGGTGCCGTGGTTAAAGCTCTCGACTCAGTTGAAATTCCAGTCGGGGAGTTGGCTCAGTCTGTCGTTCCTCTGGTGGGGGGGGGGGGGGGGGGTCAATAGATCGCTTTGTGGGAAGGCAACAGCGGTTGTACTCCAGACAACGCCGGATTAAGCTACTGCGGGACCTGTAGCATATGTTATAAAGGGGCCCTAAATTATATTTTTTGAAAACACAACTATTAAAATACAAATGTTTAACTGGCATAGTAAATAAATTGTATTTCTTCATTTGCAATACAGCCAGACAATATGGCAAAGCACTAAACTTAAACACCCAGTCGTTCATAAAAGTTGAAGGCGGTATAGTACTACAGTAATAGAGAAAGTGAAGAATCACTGAACCGGAATTGATAGTTTTAAAGCATTTAGCGCGGGGCCCTTGAAAGTGCGGGGCTCGTAGCTACTACATATGTAGCTGCTTTTGCTACGAGGATAATCCGGCACTGACTCGAGAACGCGGCCCCAGCCATGGGAAATCGACACTTTCACCACAAAGTTCAGAGGGCCACCAACGGGAGCAAGTTCCAGCCCATGGCTCGATTAAGTAGGGGGGGGGGGCACGATTGGTTTGTGTTGTTACCTTGCATTCGGAGCAGAGACCAGCACTTGTTCTGTGATATTCATTTAAAAGTGTCACTGCCACGTGACCTTGCGTTTACTCGGATCTTAAAAACCAATTGTTTTACGCACAAACGCGCCCCATTCGTCGCTTCTAGCTTGCAGAATTTCAATCCCTAAGTGCGAGACCGCGGTAAAGGCGACAAGCTCCACACGAGAGCGTAAACGTGCGCCTCCGCTTAAGCGCACGTGCTCATCTTTTCGAGTCTTTATTCCCACAGCAATGACGTCTAGGCCCCCTTTGAAGGTGACGTACTTTCGTGGCGATTCACCGTGCTTCATCCGCTACTTCTTCCTGTTAAATGTGAATTGATGTAAAAAAAAAATTTGGCTGGTAAGCAAAGCGAAGAGGGCAAACTGTGGTGTCGTGAATGCACAGGAACACCCGTTCTCCCCACAACCCGGATTCACCATTTTGGGGTGCGTGGGCTGGTTCACGAGCGCACGTGGAGAGGGGATTTCCGAGAATAACTGATCGGTCCCTCGTCCAACCTCGGCAAGCAGCGGGGCAGTCCTACGTTGATTTTGTTCAACCAGGCGATAACTCAGCAGTGACCTGGGGCATTAGTCTCGTTACAGGGAGCCGAGTGTCCTCCCGTGTACCTGTCTGTTGTGTCGTCTGTTGTGTAATCAGTGTGCGCGCGCGTACGAGAGAACAAGTCAGCAAGCAGGGTGTCTAAATTATGGTGCGCAAATGGTCACCATTTTATGGCTTTGAAAAGTAACCTAAACGTATAGTGTAGTTTTATTTTCTTATAAGACGCCCAGCGTGACTGAAAGCTCGTGGTTAAATGTCTCAATAAAGACGGAACTACCCTTGAAACGGTGCACGCAGCCCCGCGTGAGAATTCCACAACCAAAATGTAACAGTTCGCCCCCTTCGATTCAGACTAAAAATGGGCCGCAAAGCATAATGCGCGTGTCTAAGAAAAAATATCCCAAAACACGGTACATTCCAATCATAATAGGGGCATTGTTGTCAGCAGCCACGACTTCTGCAAACGGGAATTCTCAGTAGGAAGTGGATCTCGTTCCGGATTACATCACAGAATCGTTTCGGATGTCGAGCTCGTATCCACACTAGGGGCACACGATTTAAATTCTCACCCGAGTGACTTGTGCCAATGTTGCCGATATTTGTTTTTGAGCTGGAATAATCTAATTGAAGTTAGAAGTCTCATTTCAATTGTTTTTTGTGTGTGCATTAATTGCCGATCAGGCTGAAACGTGATTATACAGTACTTGAGAACCCGGTTTCACCACGGGCGGCGACCTGGATTCGAACCCAGGCCCTCCATGGTGCCAGCCCTGTCCTGTGGGAGGGCATTAGGCCCCCTCGTACCACACTTCGATACCTGCACTTCGTGAATGGCGTTTGGTAGTCACGCAACGATGATGTGGAACCGCAGTCATGAAAAAAAAAACATGTTGTAAACACGCGGTTACTTTATTTGTTACAATTAATAATAAGGCTAGCACAAGCTGACATTCGACTTTGCTATAGAAGGTGCATCAGCAGCAATGTTGTCAACAACAAACGTCGCACGATCACTTAAGCAGCTGTGTGTGAAATCAATATTACCGTACCGTAACTTCGAAAGCCATTCATGAGCAACAGCATTCCATCAAGCGTGGGAGGCGCACAATGCACGAACGAGCAGATCGGTGCCACTCAACATGCCCTTACAGCCTTATGATGACACACGCAGAGACTCATAATTTGACACGCACATATACACAAGACTATATAATTTCATTGCAATTACGTTTGTTTAGTCGGGAGAGTGAAACAGATCCAGCGACTCCTGTTTCCCCAAGGAGACTTGGGGGGCAATGACGTTCCATATCGAGCCAATGGATGTCTCTTTTTTTCAACGGTTTTATTTCACTTGATTTTTTACTTTGTGTGAAAACTGAATATTTGCCAGCGGTTTGTTTCTGCGATGGGTCTTTAACGTTGTCCAAATCCCAACAAAGGCGCGCTTCGTCAAGTCGGCCGTTACCTGCTGCTTGCCACACCTGGCCAGCCACGTGTTCACGCTGGACACAACGCAAGCCCAACACCTTCCCCAAAACACCTGGGCATCTCGACAACGGATTGCCCACACGAGGGATGCCCTTCAAATGAAACACAAACCCACTGCCAACCCATCCCCGCCGGCTCCGGTAACCCAGTGCTGCTGCGTCAGCGTGTGCAACGGAGGCAAACCGCAAGGGGGTTCTTCCCAGCCGCAATCATCCCAACCACTCTCGCACACACAATCGCCCCGTACTCCCCCCACCCACCACCCATACGGACGCAACAAAATCTCAACCCCCCCCTCCACCCCGGACACAAAAGCGCCGGAGAGACCGATACATCACGGGGGACAAAGTCCTCGTTAATCCTGATACATCGACGAAATCGTTCGTGGTGTTTTTGTTGTTGTTTAGTTGTTAACGTGAAAACCTCTCTCCCGAAAAAGAAAGAAAAAAATCACAGCGCCGATGCATAAACATTCCGCCGAAAAAAACGCGAACGCACTTCATTATGAAACACGTCTGACATATCGAGCGTCGGCATGCGGAATCCGCGGTTCGATGAAGCGCTTGGCGGCGTCGACCGTCGGGGTCCAATCGCTGCGAAGGAAGGGCCAGGCCACGGAGACCCTCCGACTCTCGCTCCCTCCACTCGGCTCATCTCTCTCTCCCGCTCTGCCACCTGGCAACCGCCGGCCATCCTCGGGCAACTTTGCAACATCCCTCGGGCAACTTTGCAACATCCCTCGGGCAACTTTGGAAAATTCCTCGGGCAACTTTGGAAAATTCCTCGGGCAACTTTGGAAAATTCCTCGGGCAACTTTGCAACATCCCTCGGACTAGCTCTTGGTAATTACGCACCTCCGCTCGGATTGCGCTGGGGACGACACGACACATTCAATGTTCAAGCATCTGCAGGAACTGAAACCTCGTGTGGCGAGTCCGAGGCTTGAAGGCGCGCGTCGAGTAGCGGGGGGAGAGGGGGGGGGGGGGATTTGGGGGGGGGGAGAGTTTGGGGGGGGGGGATTTGGGGGGGTGCAGGCGACGACGCAGCGCCACGTGACGGACACGCGGTGCCAGAGGGAGCAGCAACACGGAGCTGATGTGCCACCCGCTCTCAAAGCGAACGCATTGAAGTGCAAACCGCTACCTCCCCCCCCACTACCTCCACCATTGCCAATGTTACACAATACTAACTACGACGACCTCGCCTCAACATCGGCGTAAATGTTATGCTCATGTCAGAATTAAATGCGATTCAAGGTTTACGAGCGTCATCCGTGTTCGCATCACACTTGGTCTTGTTTAAACGTATTCTTGTCGTGTTAAACTTTTGTCATTTGTAAACCCATTGTGCTTTTGCGACCCGGCCTCTAGAGTCTAGAGCAATGATGCATTGAACCTGCGACCCCACCCCCCAGACGTCGCTCCGCCTGCCACACAGAATTTCCCGAAGCACACAACCTCGCCCTTCCACGCGACGACCTTCAAGGGCCAAACTTGCGCAGCCTTACAACCCCCTCCCAGCCACGGGCGAAAGGAGATTTGTGCGAGGGGGGGGGGGGGTCCTTTCTTCTTCTCGGATGCTCCGGTTTTGCTCCCACGTGCATCATAAACACGCCGCCGTCATTAAATGGGCCGAAGACTTCGTTGGGGGGAAGAAAAAAAACCCTCCTGAAAAACGAGTCGTACGACTTCGGGATGGCTTCCTGGATAAATATTATAATTCGGGGCAATTGAAGCGCGCAACCAAGTATGTTGAAAACGGGTTCCGATTCTGCTCACGGCCAATACCGGTGATGATCATCTGAAACCAGTCCCGGGTCTCCCCCTAGTTACTCCGCTTCAACAAACTGCGTACCTGGTGCCGTGTTAGACATCGCTACCGGGGGGACAAAGGCGACCGTGCGGTGGCGCTGGCAATCCACCCCATCGCGTACCGTGCCAGACTTCATTAGGTGCTCGCAAACAGCACCTGCCCCAACAGTCTGTTTAGGCTGTACGGGAAGCGGATGGCTGAGCAGGCAGGGTGACCACCCCAATGCGCTGCGCGAGAACCGTGGCGGACGCGGCAAGGCTGCGGACAGAGCCAAGACCTCGGTGGTGCCAGCGCGGCGTCGTCGCTCCCCACGGGTCCGAACGTCTCCTGCGCTTGACCGAACGCGATCAGCCGATCACTCGCTACGATAGCTCTTTAGCCATTGGTGAAAAAAAAGAAGCAAAACTGTCGCAAGGAATGATTAAAAAGACGGAAGGACAATGGGCTCTTGTGTTTTTAACGTGCGGCATCCTCACCAAGTCTCACGACTTTCCCAGGAGGATTGTTTTGCTAGGAAGCTTGGGGGGGGGGGGGGGGAATAGCTCCACACATATGCAGGATTTTTTTTTTTACCAAGAGATGAGTCAAATCTATTCGATGTGCTAGATTTCTTACCAACCTGTGCTTATAATTCAATATAGAGGCATGCCTGGATGATGTGGGTGGTGTGCGCCGCATGCAAAGACAAAAATAGGATTGCCAGTGGGGTCCCGTTCACGGCGCATTGCCCTGCAGCTCATGCTCCTCTCGTTGGAGAGCTGGCGAGCTGGCTGGCTGGCCGAATGGCTGGCTGGTGGGGGGCTGGCACCGTGGCGGGCTGACTGGTGGGTGCGCGTGCTGAACACAGTGATACATCAGACTGGAGGTGGGGCTTGAGGGTCCAAACACGGCGACTGAACCCTGCCGGTAAGAGGGCAACGCTTAAGACCAGCAACCCAGGGGGGTAATTACCTCCGGCGTATCCAGCCAGGGGCACCCCCCCGCGTGCTCGACTTGCAATCGGAAAGGCTGCGAGTTCAAAATCGTGGCCGGGACCGTGACCTCGGCCAAGCGTTCCTCCATGGTCAATAAAAACGAGGGCCACTTTATGGGAGGTCAACGGTAGTTGTCTATAAATACAGCGGCCCTCGTCCAAGGGAGTGTGGGAATTTCACCACCGGCTCAGGGCTGCGAAACGAGTGAAGCGAAGCCACTGTGCTCGTTTTAAGCGGGGAGACCCGTTTGACATTTTGACTCTGACCTCCAACACCGATTTGCCAAAATGTATACATTTTTTTTTAAATAACAAGAGAACACTGAATTCGAGCTATTTTGGTATATTTTAAATTGGTTGTACACACAGCTTATGTTGTTAGTTAGGTGACCTGAACGTGCCTCCCTTTGGTGCGAAGGAGACGGCCGATCGGAGAGCGAGTGCACGTTGTTTTGCAGCAACAGGAATCACAGGTGCAAGGGCCCAAGTGGCCACAGACAGAAGAAAACATTTCAGCAAACCAATTGTTCAACGGCCACCACTGCATGCTTGACTTGCAGAAAGTTGTTAATAAATTAATATATTTCGAACGCTTTGAAACTCACGTTGAAAGTGTTGATGTCCGTCCGTCATCAACGGGGTGGGGGGGTGGGGGAGGTAGGGTATCGGAGGGGTAGGGTGTGCTCGTGAAGAGGATTCAATACAAACGAAATTTGACTTATAAAGTTGGGATGCTATTGTCGACTCACCCAGCGGAAATTTGGCCAAATTTCTTCAGGTGTTGCTCAAGACTCGGAAGACAAAAAACCGGTGCTAAAAGGTTTTGCCTAGACGGCCAGGCCGTGGGAGCCGTGGGAGCTGTGGGGGCTGTGGGGGCTGTGGGGGATGTGGGGGCCGTGGGGGCCCAGGCATGTCCACCCCCCCCCCCCCCCCCACCGGCAGAGCCGCTCTCCAAGCCCCATGGCCTTACGGCAGCGGACAGAGACTCGTCCTGCACGCCTGGCGAGGATGATGCCGTCGTCACCGCCGCCACCGCCGGTTAAGAGCTGCACGTTGCGACGGACTGCGACCGAGTGATCGAGTGCGGTAATGGATCTCGGGGTTCACCAATTCAGCTTACCACCGATGTCTGCTTTCTTAAGTCATCTAAAACGAGAATGCGTTTGACGCGGACTACTCGAGGCTGACCGCCGTGTTCCACGGCGGCTCTCTGGATTACATTTGACGACGGCATTGCGCGGCGCGACCGTCGTGGCAACATTGACAACGCGAACGCGATTTACAATTCGTCACGGTACCTCAAGCATGTTAAGGGGACGAATAAACAGAACACAAAAGAAAACTCGATTTAAATAAAAACTCTAAAGTATTGGTAGTTTCATGCACTTTGTTACGTCACACGCAAATTGGTATCCTACTTGATTTTTAAGTCAAACGTACGGAGTAACAACGGAAGTGTTAGGCTATCGTCAGCTTCTGTTCAGTTGGGGGGGGGGGTTGGCGATGGTCGAGCACGGTCGAGCACGGTCGAGCACGGTCGAGCACGGTCGAGCTTGCGCTTTTCACTTGGCCGAGGAGTTGGCTTCGTTTGGACGCAGGGCGGCAGGAATCATGCTCTTCACTCTGCGGCACAAAACAGGGACTCAACATCCGCGGAGTCGGTCCGGTTCCACTGCGTCCCGGGCCACGAGTCCCCGACCGTCGGTCGCCACCCTTCGATTAAGTGGCCGTTGGGACACCACGGCGACCGAGACGCGCGATACAGCAGCGTCGCCCTCTTTCACAAAGCGGGGGCGGGGGGCCCTCCTGGGTTATGTGAAGACGTCAGTGAAAAAGAGCTTCATAGGCTCTCCAGGACAAATAAATATTCTGACGTCAATTTAAGTACACCAAAATATACCTTAAAGCCATTTAAATTTTTACAAATCTAGAATGACGTTGGCAGCAATTTAGCAACAACGTGAATAAGGCCGAGCAAGAAGGTAAATGGCACTGAAAGTATTTAAATGTACAAATGTTAAATACATTCCTGAAAGGGTAAGTAATACATTTTGGCAAGTAGAGGCAACGGACAAGCATTTTCACGAAACATGATGTCGACAAATTGAGTTAAGCCAGGATGATCAAATTAACACATTCACAACAGCTGCATCCAAGCAAACTCGCCAAGTTTTCTTAAAACTCAGCTCGGGATCGGGATTGAATTCTGACGTGGTTGAGAAGCCAAGTGATTGCAGAACGCAACATGGAAGCTGACTCCCATCATCAACTAAAAACAGCGACTTCTCTTGTTGACCTTGCGTCTGCCAAGACCAGGGGTTGGCAACCTTTTTCCAAGAAGAGTAATTTTGTTTTGTTTTTGTCTTTAACAAAAAATGTTTCGAGAGCCGCATCACACGCAGAGCTACGTGTACACAAACACATTCCGACTTCAATAAAACAAATAGTTGATGGAATAAACTCTGTCTCTTCCGTTTTTTTTTACCTTTAGTTATTCTTTAACGATACAGTTTGACTAGACATTTTATTGCCACGAAGACATTCTGGACATCACTGTCACTGATGTCGGCCGTGGCTGAAAATCGAACTCAGGAGAGGCCGGATTGGCGACGCACTGCTCTAACCACTGCGCCATCGCTCAACCAAACAAATTGCGGTCCACGGAAACTGCATGCGACGCAGTTGCTTCCAGCCGCCTAACCCTTGCTATCTCGGCAGATGGACGCCACTAACCGCACGTCGCATGGCAAGCGGGCCTGCTGCTCTCCCCTGCCAGGCCATAATGGCGTGCGATGCAGGGCGGCGAACCGGCGAGACAGCGAACGGAGCTCGCCAGAGTGCGAGCGGCCTGCCAAAGCGTCTCATTTAAAACACGGCGCTCGTGGCGAGGAAATATTGTACACGCGCTGAGGGAGAGGTGGGGTTGAAAGCAAATCGTCTGGGAACGAATGCGGCTCGGGGATCCGTTACCGTGCCGTTGCATCGTCCACTTTCGCTTGAACCAGTGCCAGGTAATGGTCGACCTCGGTCTGGGGTGAGAAACAACACGGTTACATGTGTGCAACTCAACACGAACCACGCACACATCTCACAAGACACACACTCACGATACAAAGATAAAGATCTCCGTATAACCTTAAAATAATGTTGGGGCAAAGCTGTTCGCGAGCACCGACTAAGGCCAGAACGGCATATGAAGGGAAGGGTGGCCAGCACCACGCCTGCCGCCTTTGTCTCCCTAGTAGCGGTATTTTTACACACTGCACCAGGTTCTTATTTTAGGCTGAGTCGACCTAGGGGAGGCCCAGGACCTGTTCAGATAATTGCCATTGGTGTTGACCATGAACGGGAACCTAACGCGAGTCATCAGGTTCGTAGCGCAGCGCGCTAGCCGCTACACACACACATCGGAGGGAGAGTTCAAACCCTGGTTGGGTGGATTTGACTCATGCAATCATCCCCCCAGAGTTTATAAAAACGAGTTCCACTTGGTGGCAAATTCAACAGTGGTTGTCCTATGGCTACACTCGCCCCCCACCATAGGAATGTGGAATTGACTCCACTCGCTCTGGGAGGGCCGTGACAGGAGATGAGCAACGCCCCGCCTCGGTGCTCGTTTGTACTGGAGACCACTGGGACTTTTGAGTGCCTCTAGGCGCCGAATGTCGGCCTCTCACCTTTTTCTTCTCGTAGGCGATGGGGACACTGAACAGGAGCACCACACCTGGTGGAGAATTGGAGAGAGACGCACACACCGGTGGTGTTATTCTTGTTCTTGTTTACCCAGTCCCAGGACTCTCGTTGAAGAGGGCCCCGTGCTAAGATTTTCGCAGTGGGGGCGACGACTGAGAGTCACTTTTCACACTGGGAAAACATTTGGAAATGATGGTGTGGGACGGACAATAGTGGGTTGGCGATTCTCAATCAGCGGGGGTGTGCTCGCCATGACTCGGGCCTCCTGCGTTATCACCACGAGGTGGTGACGTTTCTCCCCATTGCTCAACAAAATAACGACGCTCCAGCGTGCCACGAAACGCACGGTGACACGCCGTTGGATTTTGGTCGTGGGTTGCATGTGTGGTACCAGCTCAGCTTTTACGGAGCATCTTCTTGGTTCTTTCGGTAAAGGTCACGTAGAAGGGAAATAATTAAATAATAAAAATAAAACATGTGGCTTTACCGAAAGAACCAAGAAGATGAATCCCTGCAGTCACGAAAGCTTTAAATCGAAATTTTACGGAGCAGTTAACGTTCGGTCGTGTTGGAGTGAAGCCCAAGATGAACTGCTCTCTTTATCCAAGTTTCTTAGAATATAGATCTCAGAGTTGATTTGTGAACGATAGGCTCACTAGCTACAAACCAAGGATGTATAATATACACGTAGCTATTGGAATGCCAACATGTAACACGACATTGTTTTTATGTTGCACACGCATTACTGTGATAGGCTGAAAATTAGGTCATGTGGGCTTACCAGCATTGCCAAGAGCAATGCCTCTGCAAGAGATTAAATGGTGGCCAACTGCTGAATTGGAGGCAACGAACATGCTTTGCTTGTTCTGTATGCAAGTTAATATGTTAATATGACACTTGTCTTAAATGATTTACTTGCAACATTTAACAAATGTTGTCCTCGTCAATGCCTAGTGCTTCTTTTTTGGTTTTCCGAAGCATATCCAGGGCAAGAATGATTACAAACATCTCCCTGTCTGGCTACGGCGAGCTACATGGACGAAACCATCTAGGCAAGAGGACGGGGTAGGGAGCGGGGTGCTCTCGGGTCCATCGCAGCTTGGGGTCTTTTGTTTTTGCATGAAAATGAGCTGCGATCGCAAAACGTGGCACACAACAACATGTCGCTCTGTTGCAAACCCAAAGTGCGTTTGTACAACATGGGCGGTTGTGCAACCATCGGAGAGTAAAGTCAAATCAGAGGCAACGCCGGCTTTGGAAGAAAGCAAGCGAGCGAGCAAACGAGCGTGCGTGCGCGTTACCCAGGATGAGGAGAGAGAGGCCGTTGAACACAGATCCCACGTACGTCATGAGCCAGAGGACGCCGGCAAACTGTATGACAGAGAAAGCACAAACTTGTGAGAAGAAAACAACATCGCTGGACTTGCTCCTCGAGCAGTTACACCCACACGTAAAATAACCACTGCTGGAGTTCAGACGAACGGGTGGCTGGGGGCGACAGACACAGACGTCGTCGCTGCCTTGGAGGCAAAAATCACGAGAGGAGCAAATCTCGGCTTGCCGTGCCACCATCTCCTGACCACCACACCCAGCAAGTGCCTCAACTGTATTTTACAATTCCTCGTTGAGCATTCCTGCACGAGATTATAACTTTCCGGGCAGCTGCCGCTTTGAACACGTGAAAAGTTAAGCCGAGGTGGAGCCTAGCAACTGGGTTAAACAAAAAAAACCCCACACCGTCCCCGTGTGGGGATCCGGACAAATGCACAGGGCACGCCGCCTGCTTACGAACGTACTCAGCGAGATCGTGCCACGAGGGGGGGGGGGAGGAGGAATGGGATCATGAGGAACGTCCATCATCGACACGGCAACTGCCGACGCTGCAGGCGAGCCAGATTGTGTAACAACCTGTAGCGGCCCGGGCTTTGAAAGCTAAGCTCATTATCCCGCTCAGTGGAAGGTGCGGATGACGAGCCTGATGCTCGCCACAGCAAATGTGCTCATCGCGGACTGTAAAAACCCATGCCCAATATAGCCACCTGGCCGAACGAACGCGCCGCGCATTACTCGACGAACGGCGTGCGTGGACGGCGTGTGCATCGCCCACCGAGCGCGTGCGATGTATGACACGCGCACGCCAACTCAAGCCAGGCGCGTCACGCATATCGAATCGCGCGTGTTAGAACCTGACTCGCGTGTTCGAACCGATTCGTGCAGGATCACGCGCGAGTTGTGTCATTTTTGAATTGAAGCACTGGTGCGAACCGAGGCAATTAATCAAATCGCAATAACTGTTTTGCGCCGAGGATAGAGCAAGTGCATTGTGGATGAAGCACAGGTGCATTGTGGTATTGTGGGTGCGGTGCCGATACATTGTGAGTGTGGCACAAGTGTTTTGTGGGTGAATATCTGGTTCGCTGTGGGTAGGGTAAGAGTGCAGATGAATTGCAGGCGAGGGAAAATCTATGCGACTGGTACTGGTGTGACGCGGGACTGCCCTTGTGTGTGTGTGTGGTACTGCGGCGAAACGGGTGCCCTTTGTGTGTGTGTGGTTCTGGTGCCAAGTGGGTGCGACGCGGGGGGTGGGGGGGGGCAGCACCTTGAGCGAGTCAACGAGGTCCTGCACGAGCAGGAGGCGCCGCAACTCCGTGGCGGCGCCCGTGGTCCAGACACGAGCCGCCTCCACCTGGCGGCTCATGCGCTCCCGCGTCACATCCACGTCCTCCGCCAGGTACGTCCTGGCACGAGCACGCACAAAGATCCCCCGTATAGCCTTAGCAGACTGCCGAGGCAAGTGCTGTCAAGAAAGCACCTCTGACGGCCAGCACGGCACACAAAGGGTGGTTTGGTGGCTGGCACCGCAACTTGCACTCTTTGTCTTCCCAATGCCGATGTTCAAATACCACATCAGGTATTTATATTCGGCCGAGCCGACTTGGGAGAGACCCAGGTGCAGGCTTCCTTTCCACTGATAAGGCCCCAAGGCCGAAACTGAAGCCTGGTTTCTGGGAGTGCAGCGTTGTCCATGCACCCCTTGCCAATGCACAAACACAACAAACACAACAAACACAACAAACACAACAAACACACGCACAGTGGCAGGGATGTTACCGCAGCGCTTGTTGTAGCCTAGGTGTGATTCGAGACCACCTGCAGTGTCGTCGGCTTGCCTGCAGGCAGGGGACAGGCCGGGCTGCTGCTAAGAGTTAACTCGAGTGCTTGGCAAATGCTGTCCACTGCACCAACGTGATGTGTGCTAGCCGCCCGCTGCTCTGCTTGTTGTTTTAAGCTATTCTCTTCCACTTTGTCGTTGTTGTTGCAGGGTGGTTGGTGCCAGCCACCCAATAATGTCCTTAACGAGCCTGCTCCACAGTGGCCAAACATGACACTGCTGCAGCAGCCAGGTCGTGCTGTACCACAGTAACCTAGCAACCAAGTCGTGCTGTACCACAGTAACCTAGCAACCAGGTCGTGCTGTACCACAGTAACCTAGCAACCAGGTCGTGCTGTACCACAGTAACCTAGCAACCAGGTCGTGCTGTACCACAGTAACTTAGCAACCAGGTCTGGCTGTACCACAGTAACCTAGCAACCAGGTCGTGCTGTACCACAGTAACCTAGCAACCAAGTCGTGCTGTACCACAGTAACCTAGCAACCAGGTCGTGCTGTACCACAGTAACCTAGCAACCAGGTCGTGCTGTACCACAGTAGCATGGCTCTTCTCGTGCTCAGTTGCTGCGGTGGTGAGATGTTAACTACCTCACCTGGTAAACAGGAGGTTGTGGGTTCAATCCTGTAAATTATAAGTTTGCATGTTCTCCCTGTGGTCGCATGGATTGTTCTCCCTGTCCTCCAATTTTTCCCTCCACATTTCAAATCAACATACATTTAGAGTATTTCGCTGCTATAACTTTCCACATAAGCCACTTTATTGGGCTAGCGTTTGTGGCCAGGTCGTTTCCAAAAAAAGAGCTATATAGTTCAGTGGGCCTTACATGGTACAACCAAAATAGTTTATTGTTTTTTTTTTATAGCTCCTGCGCAGCCTTGCACGTAAAAACAAAGGTCTCGCGTTAACCCTTACCGCAAGGCCAAGTGCTGCTATAAAGCAGCTCCGTCAAGGGCAGCATGAGGCATGAGGGGAGTTAACGTTGGCAGCACCACGATTCAAAGTCGGGGTCACCGAGGACAGGTTTGCATATCACTTTCCACTGATGTGCAAAGCCAGAAATTAAACCTTGGCTGCTGGGATTTCATCCCCGTCTGCTAATCACTGCAAGGCCAGGCCCCTCATAAACACAGAGCCTCAAATGTGGCATTTGTAACATTCATTCAGATTTCCAGTTGATTGTGCGGTGCATTGCTAATGTCGTGACCAATGGCCCTTTACAAACAGGTCACACGAATGAACACAATGAGCGGACACCACGCTTATGCCAACAACAACACTGCCATTCATCACCAAATGACGGTGGTGGCCTCAACACTGCTCGTGCGCCACGCAAACTGTCCAAGGCCCGTTTGGCAGGTCACAGGACTGACGCAGGAGTTGTGGGTCAGCTGACCAAGGCGTTTGGAAGATGCCGCCGCTCGCTTTGCTGAAGCCACGCGGCGCTCTGCTCATTGCTGCGAGCGCACTTCCCATGGGAGGGGGGGGGGGATGAGGTGGAGGACGAGAGGAGGACGGGACGGAGGGAGGGGCTCCGTACCGGAAGGGATGTCCGTCCTCGCGCTTCTGCACGGCGCACAGCACGCCGCGGCACACCCGCCACGTGATGGTGCAGGTGAGCATCAGCAGGCCCAGGTAGCCGACGATGGTGAACACGCTGAGGTGTGCGATGGACAGCAGCAGCAACAGCAGCACCCCCAGCACCCCGCCGCTCCACCGCGGGTCCCGCCAGTACACCAGCTCCGAGACTGCCGCGCCGCACAGACACAAAGATCCCCCCCGTGTGGCCTTAACAGACTGTTGGGGTAAGTGCTGTTCGCAAGTAGCACCAACAAAGGCCATATACGAGGGGGGAGGTGGGTGGTCAGTGCCGGCTACCTTTGTCCCCCGAGGGGCGATGATTACGCGCCGCACCAAATCTCAACTAAGATGGAGTCGACCTCGGGGCATTGGGCTCCGGATCATCGGTTCAAATATTCACCACCGTTATTGGTCGTGAGCGGGACTCCGAACTCGGGTTCTCACGGGGGGGGGGGGGGGGGGGGGTGCGGCTAGGGGCGAGGGTAGGCCGAGGGTTCGTATTCGTATTCTTACTGGGAGCGCGGAGACGGCACTGCCGAGATCCAAGCCAATTAGAATGCGTCGCAGCCGTCCCTCAGCGCGTACGACCGCCGTGCCACACTTGTCGTCTTCCCAACCCACCCACAATGCACTGCAAGTGTTTTAAGCTAAACTAAACTATTTTTTCTATTTTACCAGGTAAGGACCACTGAGATGTGTAGCACTTTTTCAGAAGTGACCTGGCCACAAATAATAGCTTAATGAAGTGGCTTATCATCATGTGGAAATTTATAACAGCCAAATACCCTAAATGCTTGTTTCTAAATGTGGAGGTAAAATCCGGAGGACCTGGAGGAAAAGCCGCACGACCACGAGAAGAGAGACATGCAAACTCCAAATATACAGGCGTCAGGATTGAGATCGAACCCACAACCCTCCTGTATACCAGACGAGGTAGTTAACTTCAAACAGTACCCAGTGTACGTGCCATCTCAAAAATCACCACCCGGCTATCCAGGTGCGGGTTTCCGGGCTGGGACGCTGCGTGTCGAACGTTTCGACTCTTTGGTACCTCGTTGGCGTCATCTGGTCCAACAACATGTGAGACTAGGCCCTAAGGAAAGCTGTCTATGGTGTGGACCAATTAACTTCAAGGACAGTGCATCCATTATCAGAGTTATTTTTTTGTTTGCATTACGACTGCAGGTATTGTGGTCTATGCAAACATGACTCCTTGTAAAAAAAGTGTCAGTTTTGTTGCCAGATAAAAGGGTAAAAAAACAATTATTGTTTCTACTCTTGTGGGTAGAGGAGGGGTGGAGGGGTGGGGGGCTGGAGGAGGGGTGGGGGGCAGCCTCCAGGAGCACCAAGAGGGGAACGCTCGATTCGCGGAAGACCGAGCCGGAAGGCCGCGCCGTGATCACAAGCGGCTGAGAAACCGTCTGCTGCGTTACTCCACTCAACGCATTACGCATTCAGAACGCGTCTCAAGCATCCACGGACGGATCCTCGATACAAGACCTACAAGATATCTCAAGCCTGGCAGCTAATCATCATGCATTATAGATCTATAATACGTGTTCTATGTCTTCCCAACAGCCCTCAACACACAATGTACATGATCTAAAGTGTTCATACCACACTCAGCACACTTACATCTACAACCAATCTCAACACTTCTCAAGCAATGCACAACGGTGTTGTTCAATAGGGGCTTTAGATGGTGCTCAAAGCTGAGAGTGCCCTGTACCAACGGTAGATTAAACATTCTTCTGAGGGGAGTGGTGGTGGTGGCTACGCACATGGCCTGTAATCCAGCACTGGAGGCAATGGTTGGTGGATCGCACTAATGTCATCAAACACCCTTCCTGTGGGTGTCAAGGTGCCATACCCCAGCTTGCCAGCAGGCAGTGCAGCAATAATGTGGACTCCACCTGTTCCGTATGTATGGGATAAAGCATTTCCCCCCTCGCTCGCTTGATTTTTCTCCGGGCGGTCCATTTTCTTCCCACACGCAACACTCAATCATTGGCCAATAACACCTTAATAGAGAATCGCGGAGCTTGGGCAATTGTTGGCGCTGGCTCACCGTGCGGCTGTGTGCCTCCCCCCCCCTGGTTCCTCTTTGCACCTCGAGTCATCCGCTCTCTACGAGAGCGAGCGAATGCTGTGCAGCGGCGACCCCGTGTTACAAGTTGAAATGGTTATTATTCGAACAGGTGCCATTGAAATGGCCACAGTTGACTTCCCACAAAGCGATACTCTATTCCTTGGTCTTTCCCTCTCATTTTTTCACAATTGTGCTGCTGGCAAAACATCACAAGACGAAGAATCCACGTCACCCCGCGTCAGAGGAACAGTTCCCCATAAGCAGATATCATAGAGCTGCTTCAGAATTCTCCCTCTTAAGTGACCTCTTATACACACAGTAGGGGGGGGGGGGGGCAGCACTTTCCCACTCTCTCCACTAGAGAGCAATGCAAGGTCACGTAACAGCCAGTGGTGGGAATTCTGGCAAGTAACGTGCAAATCCAAATATGGTGGGATTTTCCGTGCAGGCAATGTGACCGGGCTGAGGCCACACAATTGGAGAGCCCCGAATTAGTCGTGAACCAGCGCCCGGGGTTAACTCGGCGGTGCCAGCGCTGAGCTCGTACCTCCGAGCCACCCGGCCATTTCCTGCTCACACACTCACTTTATTCAACCCTGGAAGGAACGATTGGCCGAGTGAAAGCCACCACCTTTACAAAACCAGTGACCAGTGTGGTGAAGTATAGTCTAATAGACCCCCACCACCTTGTGTGCCGTGGGGAGGCCCTCATCCAGCAAGTGGCTTGACAAAAGCGTTGTGCATGTTCATAAAACACCCACGGCTAAAAAGGGGTTTGGCTTTGAAAGCTAAATTATTAAAGCAGAGAGGGCAATGGCTTTGAAGGGAGCAGTGCATTGTTCAGCGGGCCACACATCACGACATTTGACCTCCAACAAATTTGGGAGAGGCACCCCTCTCTAGGCCAGAGAGCACAACGAGTAACGGGACACTGGCACACATATGCCCACATGGATGCGCTCGCACGCACGCACACACAGGCAGCTGTCGGGCCTAACAACTACAGTGGGCGGACGGGCGGTGGGGTTGCTACCACGCCCTGGCGGGATTCGTCTTCCTTTGGCAACGCCGGACGGTCACACAGGGCCCAGGACTCGCTTGAGATCTGTCTGGTCAGAGGTGTAGTTAGAGAGCACGGAAAAGCAATGTTACCGAGTTACAAGTCCTAATACTGGTCAAAGGTTCACGTGGCCTTCTACCTTGAAAAGGTCATTAATGCAACAAGTACCTCCATTTTCCAGAAAAGTCAACCGTGGGAAGACAACCATCCTACGGATAAACTACCCCTTGCCATAGGAACGTGTAATTTCCACTGCTGGCTCAGGGCCACCAACCAATGCTCATGTAAGAGGGAAAAAAATGTGAGCTTTTCGCGGACACGCTCTAAATATACTGTCGTAGGAATAGCGGAATTTGCACCACTGGCTCTGGCTCCAAAGGGAAATGTGCACCGCATAATCTCCGCTCGAGCAGGACGACCACTTTTAAACTTTACATCTAAGAGGACGGCGCTGGGCCCAGTCCTAAGCAACAACCCAGAACGCAACCCTCCGTGCCGTGCGTCCCGAGTGCGGGCGGTCGCTCTGCGCGCCGTTTGGTCCGCGAGCTGCCCACGCGGGGGAGACGCACGCCGAGATGTTCGACTCGACACTCTTCCCCCCCACCGCTTTCAACTCCGCCCCGCGCGCGCGCACAGCGACCGAGCCCGAGCAGCGGCCACGGGTTGGGGGGGGGGCCGGCATTACATAGACAGCTGCCGGCTTTAGCGGCAGGGCCTCCCCCCGCCAAGGCACCCGCCCCATGGCCGCGTGACCAAGCGAGTGAGCGAGCGGGGGGGGGGGGGGAGCGCTGTCCGAGCGAACGCTTACGCAGCACACAGCACAGCTCGGATGGCAGCGCGCACACCCCTGCGCCGGTCATTCCACGCGCGGCTGGAGTTGCAGACGTAGAGAAACAGAAATACATCAATTAGAGAAAGAGGGGGGAAAAAAAGAACCCTGCAATCAAACACCTACTCGCGCAGACGCAAGCACAAACGGTGCCAAAGTGTCCCTCATGCTTACTTCAAGTCTCATTTGAGCCAGTGCTATAAATTCCCCAATCCTATGGTGTGTGGGCATCTCAGAATCAATCAGGATCTTTCTTTATCCTGGAGAAATCCGATGAGCTATTAAGCTCCTTGTCACAGGAAAGCCCCCTGCTGACTCAAGCTAACGGGAATTCCAAAAGTCTCGTCGCCTTTCCGCTTAAGCGAGCCATGGCGGTGCTTCATATCCATTTGTGGCGCCGAATCCGTGGCGGAAATTCTACATTCCTATGAAAAGGTCTGAGTGCTCATAGAACGTGGCCACTGTTGAGGCAAGTTGAGCGGTACTGAACAAGAGATCGGAACGCAAGGTAAAGCAGCGCACTCGTTTCTACGTCGTTCGCATGCTCACAGACGGGGCAAACTCAAGGGCATTGCTGTGGCCAGTTTGCCGCACGGCGAGAGTCGTGGCGTTGCGGGTTTGCGGGGTTGCGACGCGGAGTATAATTAGAACGCTCACGCGGAAAGGCCTGGCACATTCGGCGGGTTCCAGCGGAGGGGATTATGTCGTCGTGCGCAGTGTGTGTATGTACATGTGTGTCATGTGTGTATGTGTGTCATGTGTGCATGTGTGTCATGTGTGCATGTGTGTGTCCGTACATGCACATCTGTGCCCGTGCGTGTGCCCGTGCGTGTGCCCATGCGCGTGTCCATGTCCGTTCATCTGTCCGTGTCCATCTGCGTGTGTCCGTGCGTTTGTGTGTCCATGCGTGTGTGCGGCTGGGCGTGTGTCTGTGCTTGTGTCCGTGTCCGTGCGTGTCTGTGTCCGTGCGCCTATCTCTGCGAGTTTGTCCTCTGCAACCATCAACCATTCCAAGTTGTCGCAGCGAACCCACTCCGCCTGCCGTACATTCACGCGGCACCCAGCGGACTAATGCATTGCATGCCCGTGAGACACAGTGGCGGCTTTGGGAGGCCTTCAACCAGCCAGTGCTTGACCTTTGCCGACGATGCGCAAAAATAAAATGAAACCGGTTCTCGCCGTTCATGCGCCGTTCATGGCTACGACGCGAGGGAGACGACGCGCCGGGTCGGACCTCTGCGACGGGGCGACCCTTCGCACGTCGTTACGCGACCAAAACAGAAACATCGACGAGTACGAGGAACTAAACCCCGCAAGTACCTCTCTTTTTGTAGTCTCCGTAATCCTCGTCCATTGCTGCTGCCGTCGCCGCCGCCGCCACCACCGCCGCCTCCCCGCTGACCGAGACCGATCGACCCTCGCGCTCTCTGGTAACGGCGATCACGGCCGCGCGCGCTCACGGCTCCGCATTAACATTCGCGTGCAGCGCTCGTGCTCCGCAGCAGCCGCAGCAGCCTCAGCCAATCGCATAGAGGCGGGTTTTTTTCCCGTGTTCTCCAATTCCCCCCCCCGCCCGCAACCTTCCCCGTGCAGAAATCCAACATCGCTTCAAAATACGGGTCCCCCGCTTGGCGTACGGCCGGTGCCGGTCGGAGTGCAGCGAGTGGAGGGGACTCCTCTTGTGAAAGGCGTGTGCTCATGCGCCTGTGTGCCGGCGTGGCCGTGCTTCTGTGCGCCGGTGCTGTGCTGTTGGCGAGCAGCCGCAGTTGGCGCGAGGGTTATATTTGGGAAGCAGCTCAACGGCATAACGCGCGTCAAGTTTTTAAAAAGGAGCCAGCCGAATGGGAGAGCACCCTCGCCTATTTATTTTGCCTCCAGCGTTCCACAAATGGATGGCGGATTCGTTAAGAATGCGAATAAGCGGGCTTGCAGTGCAAGTAATCGAAGGGCAATTATTTCATCATCATCGTCCACAACGGCCAATCAACTGCTGGATAATTTCCTCCCCAAGCCGTCACTATCCCTCATGATCTTGTGATGCGATGATCTACCCAACAACTGCACAAGAGCTCATCTCTTAGTTCTTTCGGTAAAGTCACGTAGGTAAAAAATGAAATTAAAATTAATAAAAAAATAAAATAAAAATCACGACGTTTCGGAGCCAGATTTGCTGCATCAAGTGCTTGATGCAGCAAATCTAGCTGACGGTCCCACCTGATGATGGAGACTTGTGTTGCCTCCGAAACGTCGTGATTTTTATTTTATTTTTATAAATTTTAATTGAATTTTTTACCTACGTGACTTTACCGAAAGAACTAAGAGTATGAATCCTTGCAGTCACGAAAGCTTCAAATCTAGAATTAAGAGCTCACCTCACTGCTCCACCTCCTGGGCGGACATCGTCATGGCACGTTGCCCTGCCACGCTCGACGCGCCGACGCATCGAAAAGCAACATCAATTAGCCTACATATGAAATTATTATTATAGTAGTGTTCATTAATTTTTGCAGAATTTGTAAGGCACTTTAATTAAACTAAAACTATTTTTTATTTTACCAGATAAGGCCCACTGAGCTACATAGCTCTTTTTCAGAAGTGACCTGGCCACAAATGGTAGCTCAAAGGAGTGGCTTATCATCACGTAGAAATTTATGGCAGCCAAATACGCATGTTAATTTTAAATGTGGAGGGTAAAACCCGGGAGCGGTAGTGTAGCGGTTAGCGCTACGCTGCGCTACGAACCCGGTCACCGGAATTCGATTCCTGTTCACGGCCAACAACAGTGACGATTATCTGCACCGGTCACGGGCCTCGTCTAAGTCGACTCGGACTCAAATGAGCACCTGGTGCGGTGTGTAAAAACATCGCTACTGGGGAGACAAAGGCAGTCGGGTGTTGTGTTGGCCACCCACCCCCTCGTGTGCCGTTCAGGCCTTCATAGGTGCGCGCTAACAGCACGTGCCCCAACAGCCTGTTGAGGCTATACGGGGACTATTTGTTGTAGATATATTGGTGGTGGTGATGATGGTATTGATACATTGGTGGTGGTGATGATGGTATTGATACATTGGTGGTGATGATGATGGTATTGATATATTGGTGATTGTGATGATGGTAATGATACAGTAGATCATCGATTATCCAGTGGACAGGGGGTGCAGGATTTAAAAAAATGCCGGGTCATCACATCATTATTCAAAATAGCTTATTTTTGCAAATTCTTGCATAACATTATGTTTTTAGTTGTTCAGCATGTATTTTTAGTGTTTTTAATGTTTTTTATATGTGAAATTAGCATAAATAAACACACGAAAAGTAAAATTTATATCCTATATTTAAAAAGTTACCGTATATACTGTACAACCATGCTTACCACCCAAATCTCGAAGACTCTGCATGGGGTGACGTACGTAGTACTGGTTACAGTCTTTGGAGCGTTTTTTCGGTTTCATCGGATCTGTCTGAGACCGCCGGATAAGGAAGCCGGGTAATCGATCAACTGTATATTGGTGGTGATGATCACGATGATGTTGGTGATTATGATCATAGCACTGATGGTAGTGATGGTATTGGTGGTCGTGATGATGTTGACCGTATTTATAAATGCGTGACGTATGTGGAACTTCTTTCCCACCGTACGTATCCAACAGTGCCAATCGGAGGTGCGGGGGAAGGACAGACATGATGACCACAGAAAACGATGACAATAACCACGATTACTTGGCATCCACCAGCACGCAGCACAGAGCCCCGGGCATCTCTGGGTACCTGCTGGCAAGTGGATCTTCTCCAGCAAGGACTGCCGTGACTTTCCATCCTCCGCCTTGGCTGGCAGCTTCTTCTCCACCTCCGGCTGTTTCTCCTCCTCCGCTGCTGCCGCCGCTGCCGTTGCTGCTGCCTCGCTTGGCTTCCCGCGGGGCCTCACCTCAGGGGCGGGCTCCTCTCGCTCTTCACCACCTTCCTCTGCGGCCTCCTCGATGATCACCGTGGGGGGCCCGAACCCCGGCCAGGTGGGGGGCGGCTGCGCCGGACGGAAGCCTTTGGGCTCCTCCTCGTCGCCGGCGGGGGCAGGTCCCGCCGTTGCTGCCGCCGGAGCCGCGACTGGGCCCTTTGGTTCGGCGGCGGCGGCGGCCTGCGGGGGAGGCCCTGCGGCTCCACCGAGGGGTTCGGGAATCACGGTGACCTTGCCCGGTTTGGAGAGCTCCTCCTCCTCCACCGTGATAAGGCTCTTCTGGACCCAGGGGGCAGCCGCAGACGCCACGGTTTCCTCCGAGTAGAACTCGTTCTCGTACTCATCATCGTCATCGTCCTCCTCCTCCTCGCTGTCAATGACGCGGACGGCAGAGGGCGGCGTGTCGAATTTGGCGACGCTCACGGCCACGGCAGGCTCCTGCTGCCGAGGCTGCTGCTGAGGCTGCTGCTGAGGCTGCTGCTTCGCGCTTCCCACTTCAAAGTCCATGAAATCGTTCGCTGCGAAAAAAAAAGGAACGAAAGGAAAAATGAGTGGGCAAAGACAACAGCGATGTCGCGCGTCGCACGGATTAGTAATGTGGAGCACACGAATACTGATGAGTATGCGCGTGGCTACACAATGCTCACGATCACCATCACGCATGCGTATGCGCACGCGATTACACACACACCGACGCAGGCGCGAATAAACACGCGCACACAATGAACGGCGGTTCTGCAAAAAGCAGCAGGGGGCAGAAGCCGTTTGCATCCGGTGGCTGCAAAGCACAAACAACTCCGCAGTCAGAGGCGCAGCGACAAGCAAGCGTGAAGCGACTGCGCGCGGCGGCCGAGCCATCGCACCGCACACGCGCACGACAGGGCGAGCGGTTAAGAGTCTCCGCGCCGCACGCAGTCGGGCGGACACGACGGTGGGGGGGCGCAGATGGGATCAGTCTCGATGGGGGCGAAGCGATGAAGACACCCCCCGCCCCCCCCCCCCCACACGCCGTTACGAGCTACGTCGACTACACAGAGCGATGGTGGGCATGCCGGTTAGCCGCACGCCGCTCGCACTGCATGTCGTCGTTTACCTGTCCCCTGCCCTTTGGCAACGCGAGCGCTTTCCAGAGAGCTCTGGAGCTCACGCGGCGCTTGAAAAACGACCGCCGTTGCTTCGAGCTCTTCATGGGCCATCGTCGGCTCGCCCCTCGGGGCTTCTTGCGCCGTCTCCTCGGTGGCGCGGAGGGCGTCTGGCTGCGGGGCCTCGCCAGAACGATACCCGCGCGTCTCGCCGCCTGCCGGTACTCGCTGGTCCTGGCGCCACTGCTCCTGGCGATGCGAATCCCGCGCTGCGGCTCCGTCTTCGGACTCCGCGGACGAGTCGCCCGCCGGATCGGTTTCCGTGGGGACGCGGTCCCACGTGCTGGTGGTATCCCCCTTGGCACGCGCGTCGCTCGTGGGCGCCGGTGCCTCACACTCCAGGGGGCCTCCTTCTCCTCCTCCTCGCCCCACCTCGTGGCCGACGATGATCGCCGCCGCCGCCGCGCGAGCACAGTTCTCCAGGTTCTGCGCCGTGGCCTCTGTGAGGGAGCTCGAGGCGTCGTCCTTCACGGCCACCGAAGTCTCCTCCTGCTGGTGCTGCCGCCGTTTCAGTTCACCGCCCGCTCGGTCGATGTTTTCAAAAGAAATGTCAGAGCCCCCTAAATTCACCTCCCGCTCCTTCTCAAAAGCAGTCTCCTCTTGCCGAGTCACCGGCTTCCCCACCGCGGATTTGTCCTCCACGTGGCTCTCGGTCGGGGCGACCGGGCAAACGCTCCGCACGGTCCGCCCCGACGCCGGCGTCTCCGTCAAAGCCTCCTCCGAAGCGGCGGCGATTATGTCGGTGAACGGGACCTGCACGCTCGAGGCCTCCACGGCTCCCGTGTCCACCGCCCGCGCCGCGTTGCCCGGAAGCGGAAAATCGTTCCCGGCGTCTTCCGCCGGCAGCCGCCCGGCGCGCCCAGGCACCGCGGCCTCCGCGCAGACGGCCTCATTGGCTTTGCGCGCGTCGACAGCCACTGCGGCGCCCCCCTCCCCCTCCTCCCGCTGCAGGACCTCCTCAATGGCCAGACGAGAGTCCCCCTTCATCTTCTCCAGGGCCCGGCTCAGCTCCTGCATGCTTCCCTCCACCGCTCTCCTAGTCTCCGCCCGCTCGGCAGCCGCTGCCCAGAGCTCTTTTCCCTCCTCCTCCTCATCTTCCTCCTCGGTGTCGACGTTCCTCTCATCGGAATCTGTGGCGTCCACCCCGGTGGCCTCGGACACTCGCTCCGAGCCCAAGTCGCGTTCCCGCGCCGCTGGCTGCTGCGCGGCGCAAATGGCCGCCTTCGTGGCAGCTTCCAAGTGCTCGCGTTCTTCCTCCTCCTCCTCGGCAACGCTCTTAGCTGCAGGCGCCTTTTCCGTGACGGAGTCTGCTTTCGGAGGGGCAAACTTCTCTTTCGCGTGGTGTCCGTCGAACGCTTCCCCTTCACCTTTCTCTGGCTCAACGGGCTCATCGTCGTCACTTTGCACGCTCGCTACGGCCCTCACTCCTGGCCCAGCGATAGCACCCTCCAGCAAAGGAGGCGCCGCAAGCACGGCGTGAAAAGCATCGCGCGAGCCGGCAGGCCAGCATGCCGTAGCGGCCGCGCCTGAAAAGAGCATCAAGCCACAAACGCCTCCATTAACATCTCTACAAAAGCATTTCTTTACACCACGTTGCGATCCAGCATGCGTGCGTGCGTGCGGACGTGCGCAGCCGAGGCGCTGGCTCGTGAGTGGGTGCGCCAGCGGGTGATGGCCTGGCCAGGCTCACGACCGCTCCGGGCTGTTCCATGGGGGCAATAGGCAAAATGCAACACTTCTCAGTAAAATTATACTCTCTATTCTCTTGCTCGCTTACTCATGAAGGACCGGAAAACACACGCACGTCCAGAGATAACATTAAAATTTCCCAATTTAAAAAGTAAACAAACTGAAAGGGCAATTTTTTTATATATTTAAATATAAAGAAGAAGCACGTGTTTCCAAAGCTGTAATGAATATATATATTAACACTTTGGCCACCAGCCTCTCGTTTTTGCTCTATGAGACCACATTCATAAGCCGTGGCAGCCACCTGACCTTCGCTGTTACATCCCGCATTCTGAGAGTCAAAGTGTCAGTGGTGCAAAACCTCCCAAACAACTCCAGACTCGGCAACACATGTTAGTAGTATTACCATTATTACGACCGTTCAAGGAAAACTCTGGCGGGTCTCCTAACCCTTGTTGGCAGTCGGAGGTGACGCTGCTGCTACGTGAAATCCCAAACGAGTTATTTCGAGTGAAAATTTCGGAATTGGAATGTTTGGCCAATCCAGGGTGCATTTCACGCCATTGTTATTATACGCCACTGTGTTCCAAATTGTACCGCGTTGCCGTCACTGCATAGCCGCACGGCATAACCGCAAAAACGTATGCAGCGGCATGACTGCATTTCGCAGTACAGAAACAAGGGCAACCACCCACGGCCGCACACACATCACCCTTCGCTTTTGTCTACAGGCTCTCGGCCACACGGGGTCGTGAGTCACCGGATTCCCATTGCTGTGGTGTGACCCAGCCCAAGGATGACAATACGCAACTGAAATAAAACCCACCGCCGTCCTTCAAACACACACCCGGGGCACGTGACCCTCTCTTCATAAGCGTAGCTGCCCCTTGGTTTACAATGGTAAAATGTTTTACGGTGAAAACTACTGCTTCGTGACGCAGACAGCAAAGAGGGAAAGCACACAACCATAATCCCCTTAAACAAACTGAGAAATATGCATCAGCTTGCACAATTTTCAATTGCCAGCTAGCTAACTAAACATTGAAAAAGTGAATGTGTGGGGATGCTGGTTGTTTGACCATACTTCACCATGCTGGTCACTGCAGGCTGGTGAATATACACAGCATCTATACACACCAGCTTTGATCCCTGCGATTAACTCACGCTTCTGTACAGCATCGTGAGATACGCTTGCTTTCGTAGACACTGTATGTCCCGTGAATTCTATTATTTATATACAGCACTAAAAGCAATAGCCACAAATCTATAACATCAAGGTAATGCCACACACAAATGAGACATTTGCTTTAAAAGATAAATGAAAAGGAAAATTTGATTTCACACTGAAAATGTCAAATTGAAACTGGCCAAACATTGCAGGCAGAGCTCTCCTGTCAAGCTCGACAATCGGCAAGGGGGCACTGCCGAGTAACCAAAAGGCAAATACTGCATTACGTTAACTGACACGGAGTTTAACATTGCCCAGTACTTGAGGACGAAGTCCATAATTTACACGCCCAGTTGCTAACCAAATCTGGATGGCGGTGGCCCACACTTGTTCACCTGCGTGCGCGTCCGCAGCGGTCTGCTCCTCGCGTGGCCCCTCCGCATGCCCTCCGCCCGCGGCTGCCCCCCGAGTGGGCGGCACTCCGGGAGATTTGCCCCCGAGGTGCGGCTCCTCGGCCACGTTGCCGCCAGCCACACGCCCGCCCAGGTCTCCTTTGGAGGAGGCCGCCGGCTCGGCTGCCCGCACACCCTCGCTCGCGGGCCAATCGTCTTCGCTGCCCCACGACGCCCCCAGGGACTCCACGGCGAAACCCGGCTCCTTTCCGTCCACCCCGGCGCGCGATTCGGTCTTGCGGGGCGATCTCTCCTCCTCGTGGGACAGCGGCGCCACTTCCTCCACGAAGTCTTCCTTCTCGCCGGACTTGCTCCCGCCACCCACGACGCGTACTCCTTCCTCGCCAGGGCTCGACTCCTCGGTGGAGCTGCTCACGTACGACGACGTCAGGGAGTTGTCCTTCTTGGCAATCGGGACTTGCTTCTCCTCGGAGGAATCAATCCCGGCCAGCTGCTGCTGCTGCTGCTGCTGCACGGTGGTGGCAGCGGCGCTCGGTTTGGGGAACACGTGGCCCAAGTTGCCCGTCACGGGACTCGAGTCTTCTCCGGGACTGCTCTCCTGGGACAGTGAAATTGAGTATTCCATTTCCGTCGAAGGCTGCCGCATCTGCACCTCGTCGCTGGCGACGATCAGTTTGTCCGTGAATTCTTCCGAAATGGGGCTGATCTCCTCCAGCGGGCTGCTCTCCTGCGAGATGGAGATGGTTTCCGCCTCGGAGTACCCTGGGTGGTACACCACCGGTTGTTTCTCGCCTACGTGCGCGTCACGTGGCTTCAGTGCCTCCGCTCGCTCGTCCTTTCTTGGGTTCTTCGTCAAAACCTCCCCGTCGCTCTCCCTCTTTTGCGGAACAGTGGTATCCAGATATTTTTCCTGAGCGAGATAGATGAGCTTTTCCATTGGCTTATCAGGAGACGTCGCTTTCTTAGGCGTCTTGTCTTCCGACGGGCTGGTCTTGCCGGACAGAGACCCCACCGCTTCGGGGCTGCCCCGACCCTGAAAGGAAGCGACGGAGCTCTCGGTGAAGAGGGCGGACGGCTTGGGGAACACCGTCACGATGTCGTCCGCGGGGCTGCTGTCACAGGATTCGATCTGCTGCCCCTCATCGCTGTGGGGGCTGCCCGCGGCCTTGTTCAGATCCACCTCGCTCAAGCCTGCCGTGGCAAAACGTTCGCCGTGCCCGGTTGACAAGTCCTGAAAGATGGACGGCGAGGGGTCCTGGTAGAAAACCTCCTTCTGGGCCTCAAAGTCGGACGTCCAGTTTTTGGGCATCTCCAGCTCCACCCGCACACCCGCCGGGCTAACGTCGGACTCGTCGCCTTTCTCATGCGCCAAGATCTCGAAGTCGCTCATTTGCCCCATCTCCATATAGCCTGTAGCTGCTGCTGCTGCTGCTGCTGCTGATGCTGGTGGTGACTCCGTGGTTCTGGGCTTGGCGACAGCATCAAGCCCAGCCTTGTCGGCTTCCGCGGTGCCGGCGTTCAGAGTTTCGGCCATCGCCCCAAAAGCTGAAATGAGAGGGAGCAACAGGGCGTTGGGGGCGGAAACAAAAACAAAAAGTAAGTAATAGCCAGGAATTAATATTATTATTGTTGTTATAATTAAAAACAATACAAAGTCTGTACAATAAAAGTGTACGTGCATTCGCTGCATGCACGAATGAAAGTTAATTAGTAGAAATGCAAATCCTTCACTAAAAATGTATTCTATACCCACAGCAGTAATAGAAAATACATGAGATAACATAAAAAACGGATCTTTATCTATACACTGATGAATGAGGGCCTCCCCATGCTGTGTCCGTCAAAGGAGTTGTTTAACCATCCGCCACCATGCTGATCACTGTGGGTTGCTAAAGTGAGTTTCAGATAAAACACGCCACGGATGTTTGACTCATGGCCGGCAATACGACTCGGGACCCCGGGTCCACAGAGCAGTGGATAGCTAACTACTGTGCCACCACTCCGCCCTGGGAAAATACAGAAAGTCATTTTCCGAACCGATCCAAATGGTACCACAAAGAGATACTAAGTTAAGACTAAGTGGACCTAGGCCACGTTCAGATAGATACCACTTGTCAATGGCGCTGTTAATGGCTAGGAGTCAAACTCATGTTGCTGGTAATGAAGAGCAGTTAATGAATCAAACAGCATTTTTCCACTACACATCCTTTCAAGCGAATAAAATCATTAGTACTGTACATTTGGTACTGATGCCATTCCTGTACCGCAAGGCTATCAAGACGGTGCTCTGGTTTCATAGTAGGAGGCAATGTTGCTATGGGTTTCCCAAATTAATAGCTTGCAGGTAAAATACTCAATTGGGAAGCAAATATCACAAGAGCTACACCCGAGATCATTTTAAGTGACCCCTGGGTCACACAGTAGAGGGCAGCACTTCCACAGCAGGCCTGCTACATCTGCGCCAGTATTCTGGCAGAACGTTCACGAGAACAGAAATGCCATGGGATTGGTGTGATGGTGCGAGTTTCAGAGTTCCTGTTACAACGCGCATTGCGTTATTTAATTATGCAAGCCAGCAAAATTCGTGTACGAGCTCCCGGACCAGGCCGGAGGACAATCCTCTGCCACCGAGTAGATCGGTGAGAGGGCGGTAGTTTGCAACGCATCAGCCGAGCTGCCCCAGTTCATTCCTGCAAGCGGGGGTAGTGGGTGGGTGGGGACAGTCGGGGTAGGGGTGGCGTGACTTCACAATGAAAACGAAAATCTCTCTCGGAAGAACAGAATAAGAGATCGGGTTTTTTGTTGAGTCACTTGGGACTCAGACCATCTGCTCACGACACTTGACAAACCGGTTAAATCACAGGAGGCTGCCTGGATTCGAACCCAACGGGTCAGCGGTGCCAACTCAGGGCTCCGACCTCCGAGTCACTTGGCCACCTCCTGGGACTTGTACGAACACGTGGACCACAGCCACAGTCCAGCCCAACCCCTAGCTGCACCGTGCGCTCAATCGTGGCGAGTTTGGGGTCTCAGTTCAGTCACCAATGGATGCACGGAACGACACCCCCGTAACTCCCCTGACCTTCCGTCTCCTGGCTCCGTCTAAATCACACCTGATTGTTTGGTAAAAGGCAGAGGGAAGAAGGTGCTAATGAATACGGGAGACGAAATTAATATTAAATGAGCCCCACAGCAAAAAAAAATTAGACACATGCTCAGAGGCACATGCACCCCCCACACCCCGTCCCGCTGGGCACTCCCAGCTGCACTAATGAGGTCACACAAGTGTGCAGCCCTGGCCACGGAGCAGTCCATTCCCACGCGGGGGTGACACAGTCACGGAACGGTACCATTTCCTCTCCTTCCACGGGGACCCCTTGACAACAGCCTCGGGTAACACTTACTTGAAGTTCATCTGCCCACTGAGGCTGTTAAAAGGCAGTGGAATGTAGTCAATAATTGAACCGTGTGAATACGGCAAGGGGAGAGTGTGTCTATGTTTGTGTGTGGTCAGAGTTGGCTCAAATGCACATTGTAAACAGTGTTCAAGTAATAGTCTGTTATTTTGGGCACGTTTATTTTTCTTTTTATAATCATAGGTCTAGAAATAGTCAGGACAACTGGAAATCTAAATGCTCACATTCAGGGGGGTCTTGCTTTTTATATTTGGCCAGTTCATTCATCATCATCAGCCACAATCATTCCACTGCTGGATGAAGGCCTCTTCAAGGTGTCACCACCTCTCATCCTAAGATGCAACAATTCATCCAGCAGCTGCACATGAACCAATTTCATCTCCTCTGTGGACATCTGCTCGGACGTGTTCCATACCTTGACTGCCACTGCATGACAAAGAATGTATTAATTTGGTAGAAAACCGGAGTAGACGGAATTACCCATGTGTTCGAGTGGATAATGCGCAAAAGGTATCGTGCACATGACGAATCTGTGCAATCCATCAGTTCTTTCTCAAAAGAGATAGGATTACAGACGCACGGTACCACGCCCAATACAGCATTAACATTCACAAGCCGTGCCACGGCTTTTTATGACTATAAACCATCAACTCCACTGTCAAAAGTAATTATTGGTAGGATATATGACGGTGTTGTGAGCAGGTCAACGGTCACTGGGTGGACCCATTAGCAAGTGCCCTTTTAAGGCCTCAAACATGGTTTCGAAAAGAAAAAAATCGACGGCCGTCTCAGGCTTGCATACAAAATCGACCGCTGCCGTCTGTCGCAAGTTACATTATCTATGAAGCCCGGCCACCGAAAAGGGTAAACTGACCTCTGCCAAAGGAGTGTGGAATTTCTACCACTGGCTCAGGGCCCATCAACAGACAGGAAGCCACACCCCGCCCCTAACTAAGTGAGTGGTAAAATCCCATGATCTTGGGTGACAAGTCAACCAATGTCGACTTCGCACAACCAGGTGCTGTTCTCATTTTATTAAGAGTGCCAAACTGCGAGTCGACTCCCGGCTGAGTTTCTTAATCGAATTGTGAGACACTTGCTCTGCCACGTCATCACAAGGTCTGATCTCCATGCAGGATAAAACAAATTCCAACCCAATATGGTACCATCAATGCGACTCTACAACGCATGTAAAAGTAGGCCAAAAATATCCTCTCTGGGAGGGGGGCTCTCCAGTGGAGACTATTCCACAGGCAGTGATGCGAGCAAGTTAATGCAGGACTGCTGCCTTTACCACAAACGTGGTTGGGGTGGTAGAGCAGTGGCACGGTGGTGCAATGCACTACAAGCTGGAGGACGCGAGGTCAATTCCTGGCAACAGTGAACACTTGCGGAGAGTACAGGCAGCAGCTCGACTTATATTCCAAACCAGCATGTTCAGATCAAGACTGTGTAACAATACGTAAATTACGTTCCTGAGATCCGTTCATAAGTCGATTTGTTCGTATCTCGGAACTCAACAGGTAAATTGTACGTAAGGTCGTTATTATAAAATGTGTTATGGTTCAAAGGGAAGCATTGCCAAACTAATACATTAGAATAAATAGTATATTTCCATGTAATACTGTAAAAAACTGCAGCAAATAAAAAGTAACACGATAAGAAAAAAAAATCTGTTGTATTTTCACTTACCTCGAATCTTTATGCTGGCTTGCTTGTCAGAAGCGGCGTGCATCACGCGGGATGCTGGGAGGATCGCTCCGCCAAACAAAATAGTTCTGCGGTTCGGTTCGTAAATACGACCGAACATTCGCAGGTCAGATGGTGAAATATAATAATATCTTATGGTGGTTCGTTCGTAAGTACTGATGTTCGTATATAGGAAACTGCCTGTACTATAATACCCGAACTGGTCCTTTGCACCCCTATTTCCACCAACTAGCACTGAACAGCGTTGTGACGTACGGTTAAACAACCCTCATGACAAACGTAGTCAGGGTGAGTCATTTTTCAGCAGTGGATTCACCATAATTGTACAGCACTCAACGAGGGCCAAGGAGGATGCTGTGTGCATCGCATGCGTCCATTGCTCGCCGAGCTGCATTGGTTTTCGGTTGCTGAACGAATACATTGTAAGGTCGCACTCATTACGTGCAAAGTGCTTGCCACAAATGAACCACAATTACCTTGCTGATCTCGTCAAGGAAGCATGAACCATTACGCAAACTCCGGTCATCCTCGCAGCAGCTTTTGGCTAGCCATTGCACACTTTCGGATGTGCTTCTGCAGCCGTCTGGAACGATCTTCCTTCCGGTATTAGAAAGCCATTGGAGCTACGCACTTTTAAATATATATTGAAAACTCGTTTCTTTAAAACTGCTTTTGTGTTTAGTTTGTTGTTCATCCCCTGCACCTCCGATTAGCACGGTTGGCTACGTACAGTGCAAAAGAAGCTCAGCATACATACAAGTAAACCAAGTAGCTCCTTGTAATTATGTTAACATGCTCACACAACGCACAAACAAATCAGCCTGCCACACTCTACCAGAAGTGAGATGAGCTCAGAGATAATCCTACAAATTTCAGTCAAAGGCAGAAGCTCAAAACCCCTTTGGAATCAGACAAAAAATATCCGCAGATTTTTACCAGCCAGTATAATATATGACAGTGCTTCCATTAAGTGATATTTTGATGGAATACATTGTGGATTACCGGTAGTGGATGCGAGTGCCACGATTTGGCCTGGCTGCCTTTGTGTGGCCAAAAGCTTTTTGCTTATCTTTAATCCCCTCCTTTCCAACCCAAATCCAAGAGCACCTCTCGTGCATTGTATGGGAGTCCGGTACTGAAACGAGCCCCCTCGTGTGTGAGACATGCACTCAAGCACGTGACAATAACCGACGCACAAACAGCAAGGTTGCGTGCTTTTGTAATCTAGCACGGTGGAGGCAGCAGCGAGGCTTGGTGGATAGCGCAAATGCTGTTAAAACTCTCTTCTCATGAATATCTAGATTTGAAGTTTTCATGACTGCAGGAATCCATACTCTTTGGTTCTTTCGGTAAAGTCACGTGGGTATAAAATAAAATAACTTAAATCAAGACGTTTCGGGCGCAACACAAGCGTCCGTCATCAGATGGGACAACCACAGCAAGAAACAATTGCTGAAGTGGCCCACTTCAGCAAATGTTTCTCTTCTCATGGTCGACGAGGAGGGGCCAGACCCTGGCTTGTCAGGGGGCAGTACAACAAAAATGTTGCTTCCACCAGTTCGGTCTGTATGGGATAGTGTTACCCCCTTGCACGTGTGGGTTTTCTCCGGGTGCTCTGGTTTTTTTCCCTCCACATTTTAGGAAAGTACATTTTGAGTATTTGGCTGCTATAAATGTCCACACAAGTCACTCCGTTGAGCTATCATTTGTGGCCAGGTCGCTTCTGACAACGAGCTACATAGCTCAGTGGGCCTTAACTTGTAAAATAGTTTTTTAAAAAACTTTAAAACTGTTTAAAAAATTACTTAATAAAAAGAAGGCGATACATTTTGTTTGTTTCATGGCAACTTCTACAACAATACATTGTATAACAATAAACAGTACATTAAAAATTTGTTTTAAAATGTACTTGGCCACGTCCAATAGATATCAACTCTACGTATTACTGCATTGAAATTCGTATAGAGCATTAGCCGCTTCTGTACACACTCGACGTGGTTGGTGGGGGGGGGGTTTCCCGCCTTCGGGAGGCAAGGCCACCATGTTTAAAGGGTGTAGTGGATGAATCGTCTTGACTCCACGCACGACAAAAAATGTTCAGACATGTCACTTATGGAGTTGAGCGAATCTACCTTCCATAATACAGGTTTTTTTGGGTTAGATCACTTAAATATATAAACGTGTCGTTAAATCCGCCACCACCCGACGCAGCCAATTAATAAGGTTTGTCACGCAAACAGAACGTGCCAATTCGTCACTTGTACATCACACCGGTGTTGGAGAGCAAAGCTACAACATTTACAAACCAAGTATGACGTTTCACCAGGAATTACAACTAGCTTCATCAGGCGACAGCCAGATTTGTGGAGAAAACCTTCGGTTTAACGACACGTTAATATATTTACACGATCTAACCCAAAAAAACCTATATTGTAGATATTGGTCGCGAAAGCCTACGTTTATTCTACCTTGTAGATTGTCTCCCCTTTAGGAAGAAACACAGTATCGTACACATATTTACCGTCTCAGCAAATCTGCACCTGGTTTACTTGTTTCCAAAGCAATCATTTTGCCCTTTGACCCAATCATAAGGAACGCGGCCAATCTCATCCCGATGCCGGAGCTAAGCAGGGCTGAGCCTGGATAGTGCTCCGAGGGGCGGGCCACCAGGCGTTGTGGGTCACTGCGGGATCCTTTGTCAATAGCGGGCCAAAGCAGAAACATCCGATGTTGAACTACACGTATGATAGCTCCGACGCCTCACACTGACCAGTGTGGTTCAAGTCACGTGCCCCATCCAAGCAAAGGTGGATTGACACAAAAGGGGCGGCACAGACACGTTTTTAAGCGATTCAACTGCCGCACGCTCCACCGAACTTCCAAAATCAACAAAAGTCAGCTTCGTGGCCACAATGAATTGACCGACTGAACTTGAGCCTGCCATGGCAGCAGCAGTCATAAATAAAAGCCACCCCTGGCCGTGACAATGACACAGTGGCGGCGAGGTCGTGTCGGAAGCTCGCCGGCTCCAGCAGGGGGCACTCAAACGTCCCACGCGTTTGGTGTTGCACGTTCCGTACGCATGGCATGCACACACGTTGAACTTCTTTCGCACCCTACGTTGTCAACCGTGCTAATACGGAGGTGCGTGGGAGAGGGGGCAACAAACCCTAACACAAAAACAGTTCTAAATAAATTAGTTTTCAAACTAGACTTAAAAGTGCATCGCTCCAGTGGCTTCCTAATATCTGAAGGAAGAGCATTCCAGACGGTCCCAGAAGCACATCTGAAAGAGCGCGATGGTGTAACCAAACCTTGTTCGATGACTAGCCAAAATCTGCTGCGAGGGTGACCGGGGTTTGCATAATGGTTTACGCTCCTTTACGAGATCAGCAAGTATTGTCCTTGAGACCATCAAGAAAACCACACTCACTCACTCCCATCACTATCAACTACAGCGCCACCATATTCTCTACCACCACGGCCGCACTAACAACCAACACAATAGAGTGCCACTCCCTCCCCACCACAGCTGTGAATCTGGCTATCTAATCTAGCCCATTGCGGCCACCATCTTGCCGTTGTTCTTCTGCCAAGAAGTCCAATTATTGTATGTGCACGGCTGTGCTCTAATGTTTTTTTTCGTGCCACCACATCGAGCAAAATCAGAATATTAATTTAGCCTGGAGGATTCGGATGACCTATAAAGCTCTTTTTCACAGACGTCCAGTCGGGGTGGGTAAAAACGTTACAACAATACAAAAACACGATAGGAGAAAGGTACACAAATTACCCAAACACATTCAGATAAAACTAAACCATCCCCATCCCATCTGGCAAAGCCCACCGAGTTATTAACTTATTTTTCACCCTCAGTCTCTCTCGACTCATCTGCCCAGCGCCGGCAACATCTCGAAACTCGATGCTTTTCGTCTCTTCTCAGCACATGGCCCAAACCATCTAAGTCTCGCCACCACAATCTTGTTCAAGTAAACAAGCTAGCATCTCCCTCCGAATACGAGCACAGAGCAATTGTCATCTCTGTTGGCGGCCTACAGCCAGTGGTGAAAATTGCGCATTTATGTGGCGGGGACCAGTTTAAACCAAGAGACAACCACTGTTGACTTACAATGACGTGACATTCACTTTACCGATGCCAAAGTTGGTGGCGATAATGGGCTTCGTTGACTACCAACCACAATTTGAACACCAAACCTTCTCATTGTGGGTGAAGTGCTCTGCCAAAGCACCACTGGGCCAGATAATTTGGTTCTGCTACAAACAAAATGCTGCTCCCTACTTCTCATCAACTCTCATTTACATCACCACCACAACTGCATTCCCTTTCACATCCGCATAACTGCCACGAAAATAACCACAAATCTATGCTACTCCCAACGCCCTAGTGTGAATCTCACCCATTCACCTGCCATCAATATCCAGCAAGGTTTGCCAACAATCAGAAACTATTAGAGCACTTCACACTTCATTGCACCTCATCTTATCCCCGAATCATCCGACCACATCACACCACTAACACCTAATACTGGATAAAAGAATCAGATTGCCACTCCGCTGCTATTCTATCCAATCAACATCACCTGACAGCCCACATCCCATTTCATTCCACCACGCATCACCACATATTACTCACGAACAACTTATCACACAAAGTGTGCTCACAATCTTACCCCATCATATCACCAACCATCTTGTTTATGCCATCACATCTCTGCAACCATAACACCCTCCCCGCCATACATTACACTCCATCACTCTACATTCCATCACGACCCATGTACCATCACCACCTTTATGATCCATCACATAACATTTTCACATCGCAATTTGTCATAACCCATCACCACCATCACATCTCATAACAGTCAATCGTAACCATCTCTGCTCTTCAAATCATGCAACACCCAGACCACGTCCCATCATATTCCATCAAATTCCACCTCATACCATCATATACTACAGTCAATTACATCCCCATCACGCCCGACCATCACAAGGGCTCAGGGCTAATAAATGACCGGCTGGCCACAACCAAGGTAAACACACAGGACGTAAGTTCGCAATGTGACCATCACCATAGCATCTGCTGTGCCTGCTGCGAGGCAATATAAACGGAGGTAACGCTGCCTAAACGTAAATAATATATATTTAGACGCCTGTGTAATTGGAGTTTGCATGTTCGTGGATATTTCTCCGGGTCCTCCGTTTTTTCCCTCCACATTTAAAGACATGCTTTGAGAGTATTTGGCTGTGATAAAATTTCTACGTGATAAGCCGCTTCGTTGAGCTATAATTTGTGGCCAGGTGGCTTCTGAAAACGAGTGATGCTGCTCAGTGGGCCTTACCTGGTAAAATAAATGAAAATAGTTTAGTTTAATAACACCGTAGAATTTGTATTGTTACACAGACAGAGTCCCGATCTGAATATGCAGGTTTGGAATATAAACAAAACTCCAAAGAATCTAAGAGATAATAATCATCAACAGTTGACACTGACGTATTCATTCATATTAAACCTTACCCGTTCAGCAAGCATTCTGGTCAGTTTGATCAAAGCCTATCCTTCCTCATAATGCCACGCTTCAAGGGCACATTCATCGTCTCGTAATGCAAAACGATGTGTCCCACTCTCAATCCCAGACGGGGCCTGGACAGCCTCGCGCAGTGGCAATGTGTGCCGATTTTCAAGCGCCCACATACCTAGCAAATGGTGCCATTGTTTCACCAGGACTAATCGCGTTAGCCCACTCTAGGCTTTCATTTCCCCAATTCACGTTATTCTTAAAATGTTACAACATACTTACCGGTGTGGTTTTTAATATGTTAAGGTTTTTTTTTCTTTCACGATAGCAAACAGCAATACGTTGTCAACTATTGGGTTCGCGTTGTATTGAGCTCCGAATCAATTCGATTTGATAGTCGATTTTACAATGTTGTAGCTTATTACTGCCATTCCATCCATTACCTCTCGTTCGCATTATACCTCATCTCAAATACCAACACGTTTCTCAACACTTATATCCACACCGCTTAAATGTTGCCTTTTATAAACACACACACAGTAGAGTAAATGTATCTCATCAATGAACAGCGCACAACTTGACATGTTGCATTGTTTTATATACTCTTCATAAATACTGCAGACCCTTTTACAGGACCATTCGATGGCCATTACGCCCCAAAACATTGAGACGCGTCGCCTCTTGTGAAACAACTCACGGCCAAGCAAAGTCGCGCTGCCACAGGAATCAGGACCGAAGGAGTCCCATTCGCTCTGCTGCTGCTGATGATGATGCTGATGCTGCTGATGATGCTCCTGCTGATGATGTTGTTGTCCAGACTCCATGCCTACATCGGCCACAGCTTCCCTACTGACTTGCTTCTGCTGCTGCTCCATTGTCGTTGCCTCCAGCCTAAGAGTTGGTGCGTGCCAACAAAACACACAACTCTCTATCCCACCACCACCTTCACACACGACAAATATTCAACACAACGTTAACCCCCCCTCCCTCCCCGCAATCAATGTGTATGAATTAGACCTTCCTCTTGTGTACACTGTATCCCACCCACAGCAAGTCTTTTCCTCCACCACCACCACTAGCCAGCCACCCTTGCCCGCTTCCTTGCTGCAGCCGATCAGGAAATAACTGCGGCCGCTCGTGAGCGAAACCGACTGCCGACTGCGGAATTGACTGCCACGCACCGAATTGCCCTCTGCCTACAGCTGCCTCCAATGTGAGCGGCGTCAGCCCCACAGCTGAGCGTGGTGGGGGTAGTAAGTGTAGCGAATGCCGCACACGCTCACGTCACCACGCACTGCGCTGCGGGTTGTACGGCGTCAATTATCCCTTTGCATCGAGTTTGTCTGCAATTGCCTGGACTGTGTTGGGGGGGTGGGGTTGAATATGGTAGGTGGGTTCACACACACACAATGCCTGTAGTAGTAGTAATACTACTACGGGGCTCTGCTTAAACGACCGCTCCCAAACAGCCCCGACTCGTGCCGCAAAAGGGCGAGGTTCTTGCGCATAGATGACGTGGAGGCGGAGAGGCAGGGCTGCATTTGCGCACAAAGACAACGCTTCCCCCCCCCCACCACCACCCCTCCTCCTCCTCCTCTATAGCATTGACAGACTTTTTGTGGCAAGTGGTGTTAGCGAGCACCTGTGAAGGCAGGCACGGCGCACGAGTTGGCACGGGTTAGGTGGGGCTTAAACGACGACGATCTCGTTTGAAGCCTTAAACAGACTTTTTTTTTGGTGCAAGTGCTTAGGGGCCGTCCATAAATGACGTCACGCGATTTTGGACGATTTTTTACCCCCCCCCCCCTTCGTCACACGGCGTCACAAAAAAGTCAGAGCCCCCCCCCCTCAAAATGTGACGTCACAAAGCTCTGCCCCCCCCACCAAAATCATATTTCCATTTTGTCATTGTAGTGCGTATTTAATGTAGCGCTGCATTCTGATGTTGTAGGAGAAAACATTTAATACAAAGTCTATTTAATTAAGTAGAACGTGTTGTCTATATATATTTAAAAGTTGCGCATTTTGATGTGACGTCACATTTCTTAACCCCCCCTCGTCACACATCGTCACAAATGTCTGACCCCCCCCCCCTAGGTGCGTGTTCGCGAGCACCTATGAAGGCCACACACACAGAGAGAGACATCAGAACCACCGCCCCCCCCCTCCAGCAGAACATCAAGCCAGCTGCAATGCCACATCGCGTCATCCGGGAGCGAGTTTGAGGTGGGATTCTCAAGGGGAAGTGGGGGTGGGGCAAGGCAATTACACTCGGAGGGGTGGCACCACGAATGATATTTAATGGGTTGGCACATGCAGCGAAGTGGATCGCCACCCCCACACCACAACCACCGCTTGTACAAAAGTTGATGGGTAAATGACTCCCCCCCCCCAACTCAAGCCTAAAATTATCTAACTCGCGTCGCAACATCACCGAGGGCAGCGTCAGCCACCGTTTCACAATGCGGGGCCGGATAGGTCATTCGAACATCAAGAGTTCGTAGTGGTTTTCACAAGGTGTCGCGGAATTCCAGAGACAATTTTCACAATCCCGTTGTACGTGCGCGCGCATATGCTCGTGAGATGTGAAGTCAAGGATGAGGTAGGGGAGGGAGATTCCCGCTGAGACGTGACCGTGACCAAATATAGGTCTGCACCGGCGAGCAAGGCAAGCCATCGTGGTCATACCAACACGGCAAGTCCGTAGAATTTGACGCCACTGGAGACGTTTACAGGAAATTCTTGCACCGAAGTATGCACGGCCATTCTCTCAAAGCAAACTCGTCACATTCCCTGTCAAGAACATGCTCATTGTCTGGTTTATAAAAAAATGCAAGGACAGGGGACGCGAAGGGCTTTGTTGTACAGTAATAGATTATGTATGTAGCTTAACTCGGTACATCGGAATGTACCAATACGTCATCGTGTAAGCTAAAATACGTATCCAATGTAACTGATAATATAATCAGTGATTCATCTCAGCAGGACCGGTCCGGAACGCTGCTCCCAGCCACATCCATCTCACCATGTGTTGTTCAAAAAGTTTTTTTTTTTATGATAAATGAAAGTATATAATACAGGCGTGTCTCACTTAACAAGCGAGATACGTTCTGCGAAAATTGCCCATTAAGCGTTTTCCCAAATGTTCGCTATACGAACATTTGCTCGCTTTGTGAACAAATTGGTGCTCGTTATCGCAAATTCTAAAAAGAACGCGCGTTAAGTGAAACGCCTGTACTGTGAGTACAGTATCCCAGACCACACCTTTGCAGAGTTGCAGTAGATATACTTTATCGCAAAGAGTACAGTGCAGAATTGTAACGTTTTTGTTCCAAGTTTAATTCTGCAGTGTGAAAGAACTGAGTTTGCAGCTGAAGACAGCAGCTGCATGAAAATTGGTTTGGGAGGGATGCTGTAAATCCCGCTTGGATAGCGGTTTGTACCGAAAACGGTGTATTTTTGTGTCACACCAAAACCACACATTTCATTGTGGAACAACCTCGATCTTAAACCACAAATCTCCCACATTCCTTAAGGGTCTATATTGCACTTTGCAGTGCTAATTTCAGCTGTGCTTACAGATAGGTCGTTTTATGTGTATCTGAGCTGAATACTGTATAAATATTGTGTATGGGCTGAACCAAACTGAGTGCTAAACATATTTGAAGGATGGGTTATGTACCTATATAATCTTGATGACCAAACGGAAGCCATCAAACTGACTAAATAAAATAACAGTTGGCTTTATGTTTAAGAAGCGATCGTGATTCAGGCACACGGCTTCAGTAGAGCTGGCTCATTGCTTTGGCACACACAATATTCCCCTGTGACTGGATGGATGCCAGTAGTACAAATGGGATATAACCAGTACCAATGCATGCAGTATATGCTGTACATTATTCACGTTACTCAACTCCCTTGCTGCTTCCCTCCCCCCGCCATAGGAATGTGGAATTTTTACCGCGGGCTTAGGGCCGCAATGGGAAAGAGGACCACCACATTTCACGTTGCATCAGATTGATACTGTGGCTTATGACTCTGATTTGATTGTGGGACAATGTAAATATGTATGTTTTACATTTCTACCTCACCCTCTCGTTTACTCAAAATTATAAGCAACAAGGCAATGGCATAGACAACTCATTTATAATGACACTAGGCAATCCTTTCATGGTCTCATATTTTTGAATGTTCACCAAAATGAACACTTAATACCGGTAACGATCTTCCACTTACACACCATATGGCTTCTTTTTTTAAAACAGCATTCTTAACCAAAAATGGCTGTTGTTGAAGAGGATTGCAAACGCTGCCTGCCCCAGCGTGGCTGTCAAACAAAAGGCCTGGCGACCTTTGCCCTTCATGTGTCTACAAAAAATGCATACACACGTACAATATATTTACAACTTCCAGTCGAAAAGTAACGACGAGTAATGGCACGTAAAAAGCTACAACAGCATATCAAATAGTTTAGCGCACAACACAGGCCTGCCCTTAATACGTTTTTTTTACATGAGCAATAATTTCAGACCGTACTTTATTTTTAATAGCACGCATACCAGCTGGCCACTGAGGAATACTTTAAATGCCACGGGCTGAATACACATGAAGCATGGAAACTGTGCTCAGTGATTCGAAGCAATAGAAATACTGTACCTTCTAGGGACACTTTAGCTCTGTATACGAGTGTGAACCATTACATTGCCATTAATGCCATAGTTCAGATTCCACATTCGCGAACTTGCCCTCAATATTATAACACTACTGTAGGTATGATGTTACAAATATCCATGTGCCTATTCAGAAATTAATTGCTAAAGGGATACACATGATAAATTATGTGTGACATTGGGCTAAAGTCAATTACCGACTCAAATTTGAACTCACGACATTTTGAATGCGAGTCGTACAAACTGCAGATTGGATCATGAACATTGGTAGATATGAAACCAGATTGTATTTTTCCTCGTAAGCCTGGCGGTGCACAGAACCAGCTATGCTCATTTACACGTGTATGAGTTATTGTTCTATATTACATACAGTCTATAAAATCTATGTGCATGACCCATGTGTGACCTGGCATGAACCGGAAGTTGTGTTTACAATTTATTCTCACACCATGCAGTACATCACCATGGCACGAGTGTCACCAAACAAGCCAAGTCTTGATTTTATAGTCTAAGTGCCACCAAAGTCTGTTTCCACTGGAAATGATTGATGAGAAAGAGAGAGAGAGAGAGGGTGCTGGGTGACAAGATGTTAACTACTTCGCCTGGTATACATGAGGTCAGGGGTTCGACCCCAACCCTGACGTCTGTATATTTGGAGTTTGCATGTTCTCCCCGTAGTTGCGTGAATTTTTTAAAATCCAGGTCCTCCAGTTTTCCCTTCACATTTAGAAAAATGCGTTTCGATTATTTGGCTACTATAAATTTCCACATCATACGCCACTTCGTTGAGCTATGATTTGCTTTTGGTAAAGACCTATATAGTTCAGTGGGCCTTAACTGTTAAAATACAAATTTGTTTTAGTTTAGTTTATAGGTTGCTGGCGATGGGAGGAAACCAGGTGAACGTTGGCATTATTCAACCTCAGTCACAACACACCCAGAACCTCAAACCGTCCGGCTTTCTTGGTGTTCAAAGTAACAATTAACAATTGTGCCAGTACATATCATAAACTTGAAAAAGTGGGACTATTTGGCAGACTTGAAAAACTGATACACTGGTGTTGAAGGATGAGGACGTCTGTTTCAAAGGAATTTACAGAAATTGCTGCCCATATGCACACAACCCAGGCTAGAGTAGAATAACATCAGCACAATAAATCAAGGCACGCTCAATCACCTGTTGGCTGCCAGGTAAAATACAATCTCATGAGTAGACTGAGGTGCCAATGAAGAATAATCAACAATCTCAATCGTTATATCACTGCTTAAATGAGCAATGGGACAGTGTTTTTTTTCTGTTGTCAGCCCAGAGCCAGTGGTGGAAAGTTCCCATTACTGCTGGTAAAGGCAATAATGCAAACATAACTTTCAATTTCAGGAAGAAGAAAAAAAACTAATTGTAAATGCCGTTAACATTTATTGGATAGTATATGCGAATGGTATTTCATATTTTAAATGCAGTATGTAATATATGGGAAGGTAATACACGGACTGAAGCACCATTTGTAGGTGTAAAAATTGATCAAATTGCCTGCTTAGAGGTCAAATTGACCCATTTTACGATTAAAATAGCCATCATAGTTACGGCGTTGCTCTCGTGGAAAATAACTGTAATTAAAATTGACCTTGCTGCTGGTTGCCTCAAGCTCCCCAGCAATACAGTATTGTAAAACGTGTCATCTCAATCAATCAAACAGCATTGTTTGTTCACAACATGGTTGGCTATGCCAAACGTTTAATAGGTTATAACGTCATCACCAGTCATGGTATATCTACAGAAGGATGAAGTCCTCCCCCAACTGTCGCCAAATATGACAGGCTTGAAATGAAACAATCCATTTCGCACACGAGCTGATTTAATCGCTCCATCTCCTGGGATGACATCATCTTGGGTTTGTTTTTCACCTTTGGCTGTCACTCCTTTCCTCTCCTCCACCATTGGCTATCACCCCTCCAAGCCACGTGTACTGCCTGAGCCAAATAATGTTTTAATCAGTCAACATTATGCCCCAGAACTGTGCATGTTCTCTAATCCATGGGTATGCACCTCTCCATGCTTTCATACACGTATTGTCAGTTAGTTTTCTATTTTATCCATTGCACTGCGAATCAATGCAACTGAAGTGACACTCAAGACTCTAAATGCCCCTTTCCCCACCATAAACAAACTATTTGGTGCTGCTGCTACTGCATTGGCAGTGGTGCATAAGTAATTAACAACAACAAAAACGCAACACATTTATCAATAACACTTTTCGGCCGTAACAGAAAAACATCGATAATAGGCGACGTTTCAGTCAATAGCCCTTCTTTATAGCGCCTGTATAAATCAACAAGGGCCATTGCCCGAAACGTCGCCTTTGATATATGTTTGTCTTCCATTTCAGGCTTCACGTCGCAATCAAATCTAACTAGCAATGACGTCACAAAGGGATAAACACAAACGCGTCATCGTCACCTGTGCACGTGACGCCGAGACGGTAACTCCGATGGAAGCCACGGCTGCCATAGCAACCGGGGGGGACGCCCAGAATGACGTCGTCCATAGCAACCAACATGGCGCCCTGGTTACCGAGGACGCCGTTGCCCACCGCGGCGTGCGCGACCACTCGAATCAAAGTAAACACCTCGATTATGATTATTGTTGTTGTTGTTGTTATTGTTGTTGACGTATGTTGCTGTTTAACAACGCGTGAATGATTACGAAAGAGTCCTCGGCGGAATGCGTCTCCCGAGAGGACGGCTATGAACGCGACAAGCGGCCGCTACTCACGCAGCCAGCTATGGCTGCAGGGTTTTGGTGGTAAATGTTGTTTATGTTGTATACGTTGTTGTTTATGTTGTTTATTGTGAAAATCCTGTCACAGTTCCTATGATCACCGTTTCATTGCTTTCATGGCTTTATTTGGGTGATTTCGAAAAGTTTTTTGGTTTGGCCATGTTTGTTGTAGCACGGAGTGAGACTGAGGAGCCTTAATCTAAGTTCTAGATTTGAAGCTTTCGTGACTGCAAGGATTCATACTTTTAGGTTTTTTTCGGTAAAGTCACGTAGGTAGAAATAAATAATAAAAATAATAGAAATAAAATTATTATAAATTTTATTTATATTATTATAAAATTATTATAAATTTTATTTTTATTATTATAAAATGATAATATTATAATAGAAATAAGAATTGAAATAAAATTATTATAAATTGTATTTCTATTATTATTTCTATTATGTCTTTTTACGTGACTTTTACCGAAAAAAACCTAAGAGTATTAATCTAAGTTGTTGTTGTTGTTTGAATTGCATCCCACTGGGATTTGTGTACACAGCGTGGGTGCACGGTGCTTTTCAGCAATATTTTGCTGTCTTTTCTTGGATTTTCTGTCTGCACTTAGTCATATATTCACTTTAAGATGTTTTCTTGTTCATGTTTTTTGTTTGTAGCGGTTGCACCCGATTCAAGAGCCGAATGGCTCACAGGGCTATACCAAATAAATGAACTTTAACGTGAAACGTTTGCGCTACAGTGCAGGGAAGAGTGCATCTTACAATCACGAGAATGCATTGATTGGTAAAGGAAGGGCGGGAGTTTACAGCTTCGTGCGAGATTAGAAAAAGACTTCAAAGTTACCGTCGAGCGTTATTAATTAATAGAATACTGAGTTCCTGATTAACAGCGCTCGAGTGACTTCGCTAAAGGTCACCCCCAGTGCGTTACAAAGCGTCAATGCGTGGGTGTCTCTCTTCTTATTCTTCTTAATTCGTGTGGCTAATGTTGATGCCCAGCAAGAGCAATCATTTTACATTGAGGTGGTTGAAGCAGGTAATTGCGTCAGGGCTAGCGGAGTCTTTCGTGGATGTCATGGTGTTATCATGGAACGCCTGAACCGTAAGACCGATTCGTTTTGCGTGTGTTAAATACGTATTATTTTAAGGCTGATGCGGAACAAGTCGTTTTTAGCATCAGTGTTGTGTCTCGTGAAACAATGCACTTAACCAAAGCAAAGGAAGCCTATGTACAATTGAGGCCGTACTGTACTTACAAAATTTCCCCCACATTTTTTTTCTTTCTCAGATGTCCGAGCTATCTGTTGAATAGAGGAATTGAATTGTCGGCTGTTGCATCCATGTGCTTTACTGAAGCTCAAGTACACGTGTGAGCAGATATCCAGAACTACGCTGCAATGGAAGACACCATCAGGGAGCTGGTAATGTATTCTATTTTTAAGCTAAATTCTATATGCATAAGACTCATATCTTAGTAGCATGGACATGCGCTTTACTCTGCTAATGGAAATTGATTAATGGTGGAAAACCTGGACACAGAGAAATGCAGTGAGATGTTGCTTTTGCAGAATACTTTATTTCATTGGCTTTGAAAACTAGCAAATTCCAGCAGGTTGCATGGGGATTGGCTGCTCGATTGCCTTCAATGAGAGTGAGGGGAACAGCTACTTGATAGAGTGTGGACCATAACATTCAGCTTGAGAGCACAGCGGGTCTTAAAAGTGTGTAAACAGAATAAGGAATTCCACTTTTACTTGCAGCTTGAGTGTACTTTACAAGTTGATAAACTCCAGGAATCAATACATCCTGACAAAGAAAAACATTGCGGACGATTGTATGTTTCTCTTTCATGTATATTGATCCTTTGCTTTTAAATATTACTGACTCGCCAGGACAAGCGGATTGAGAAACAAATGAACGAACTTACTTTAACATAATGCTGTGATTATAATGATTGCAGTGTTGCTGCAAAGTAGACTGTAGGTTTCTTCCAAACAAAAATTTATATTTAAGCCCATCATACCCGAAGGAAATGCTAAAATGCATAACATGTAAAATCAAAAGTGTTTGTTACTTTGAATGACAGGCTCCTAAAAGAGATTATAACTTTTTTTGTAAGTGCTGGCTCATGATTGCCAATTAAGTATGGTACTATTAAACATTTGTTTGAGCTTGAGTGCGGTGTTGTGTCATAGTGACAGCTACAATGTCATTGAAAATGATTACATTTGAAGAAAATGCAGATACAGTAATAAAAAATAATAGCGACTGATATAGTTTTTCTATAGTTTTTCATGTCTGCCTTGTAAAAATTATGCTGAATCTCAGACTCTCATCTGGTAAATTAAAGGATATTGATTGCATGATAAAACACATCTTGCCCTTCAATTCCCGTGCTAATTGTGAATTATTAAACTCTGAATGAAACCACTCTCATGTTTATCAAGCAGTTGTTGATGAAGGTCAAAGTTTTAAATAATATATTCTCTATTACTAAATATCTCATGCAAAATATAAATTTCTATGATACCTAAAGCAGACATTCTTAGAACTATAAAAAGTGATACGTTAACCCATTTTAACAAAATTCAAGAATAGACTTAATCAACACTTTTTTCAGTGACTGACATTGATGAAAATAATAAGCTTGACATAGAAACAGAATGTTCTCAACTGGAGCTATGGTATTGTTTTATATTGGGGCTGTACAATGAGTTAATTTCATATTAAAGAACTGTCGCTGTCATTAAAGGTTTTGCAGTGTTGTTTTTTGTGGCCTCATTATGATCTAGTCATTTAGCCCTGTGGTTAATGTACTTGAATCACAAGCCTAAAATATCTCTGGTGTTGATAAAAGGAGTACCTAAATACCACTTTGTGTCCAAGTAGTCCTCATGAAGAAGACTTTCTCCCACTGACTCAGGGCCACCAGCAGGCATGTGTTGCCCCATTGCTCATGTTATCAGGAAGACAGGATTTGGTGAACCTGTGGTTTAATGATTCTTAATTGCATGTAATACTCAATTTTCATAACCATTCTGAAACAACTGTATAAATGCCTTCCCTTATTGGACATGGTTCATACTTGCCAGGCGGCTGATTTTTAAACCATTTTACTGCTTACTGATTTTCGCAGCTAAACTGTTTTCCTTAAACATGTAAAGTGGTATTGTTACTTTTGAAAAAGGGTATGTGGTCAAATGCTTTCATGAAAATCAGTTTAACACTGTTTTATTGGTAGGCTAATCAAGTGTACATGGTGCAGCCTGGCCCCAAGCGTTTGAATGAAATCCCTTGCATGCTGTTGTCCTGCGTGATGTCCCCTTGGCCACCTCTCACCCCCCGTGGCAGTGTGCGTGCAACGGTGTGCCGTATGAGCGGCTGGCACAGGAGGGGCCTGGCGTGGAACGGCTCGAGATATTTTTCTCGGGATACCCACGCATGGTGGGGCTCTCCAACTTCCCGAACCTGACAGTGCTCACGCTGGTCAACCAGGACGTGCGGGACATCGAGGGTCTGCATGGATGCCGGCTGCTGCGGGAGCTCTGGATCGCCGAGTCGCACGTCACAGTGAGACCCCCCCCCCCCTAAAGCCACGGCAGCAAGGCACCGCATTGTGCATATCAAGCACTATTCTGTACATGGGCAGCCCTAAGGTCAATATACTGCCAGATGGGGGCCTGCTGCCCACAACATGGCTTATTTGACTAAACTTCACCGGGTTGGTGAAGGCAGAATGCATAGGCATGTGATCATATATTTACAGTACAACAATTAAATGTGTTTTGAAGCTCACGGTGTAGCGCCTCAGCCTGTAACTAATTATTAATGGTGGTTACCCATCTAAGTCAGTAACATAAAATACCAGAATTCCTGTCTTGGCATGGACATGTATGCAATAACTTGCGGTGTGTGATGCAAACACGACATCCTGATAAAGATTTGTTAGGATGGTGCTGCAGTTGGAGCACTTGACTGATCATCAAAATGGAGCGAGTTAAAATCTCAGAGGTCAACTCATCCTATCATCCTTTTTGCAATGAGTGGCTTCTTGGATTGTTAACAGTGCTCTTCCAGACCTCCACCACGGGAATGTGGAATTTACGCCAAAAAATATGAGTGGCAGCCTTTTACTCGTTTCAGCAGGGAGATGCTTTGAATATATTATTTTTGTTATAAAGTCATGTCCAGTCATCATATCTATATTAAAATTTGACCAAATTGGCTCAGATGCCCATCACTGCAATCTTCCAACTCATAATACTGTACTTCGGTTTTACCTGTAAACTTCTGTAAGAGAGTTCCCTGTCTCATGCGGCCTTGCTATAAGCCCGTAAATATCACTGGTAGGAATTGTACAATGAACAATGATGGTGCTTTGTGTAATATTTATAGAGTACATTCCTGCATAATGTATAGTGGATGTGAAGTATGGTAAATATAAACAGCAGGGCCAGCAACTCCCACAGCTCAGCTAGCCATTGCAGACCCCATTTACATTTGTATATTTTCCTCACTTAGCACAACTAACCTGCGATGACACATCCCCCGTTGATTAGCTCCGCTTTGAGACGCCCATTATTACCGTTCCAGACCTTATTTGTTGTGACACCTCGTCATGAAAACAAACAGGTGGAAGGCTATTATTATGTAGAATCTATTCACTCGTTTCCCCCCAGGTGATAAAAGGCTTGGAACCATGCCGAGAGCTGCGCAAGCTCTACCTGTACAGCAATAACATTGCCCGCATCGAGGGCCTGGAGTCACTGCCACTCCTGGAGGTGCTGTGGCTCAACAACAACTGCATTGCTGCCATCGAGGTGGGGGCCTCAGCATGTTGGCTTAATTCTCATGTGGAAAACACCCGTCCCTAGGCCACTTATACTTTGAATACATGTGTGATCCCTTTAGAAGGGGGCTTTGAGGCGTACTTTGTTTTTGCTTTATTGTCGTAGTTGTATTTCAATGGTACTATCAGTGTGACGTCACGAGATGAAGACATTCATTCAGACCTCTCGCAGCAGTGTATCATGGCATTGTGTCAAAGAACAGATCCAGAATATTGATGTACAGTAAAGGAGTAATTGTGAATTATAAAACTAATATTTAAAACATGTATTTTTCAGAATCTTCATTGCCTGCAGCATTTGAAGGAATTAAATCTTGCAGATAATCAAATTGAATTCATTGGTAAGTTTATATATAATTGTGTTGACTTGCTGAACCAACTCCTAAGTATATTTTATAGATATATTTGTAAAGAAGATATGAAACATATTACCTTGTTCAAATTCAATATGATGAGCTATATTCTGGCTCATTGAATTCAGTAAAGGCCACCCATAAATCCATATTGCAGCCAGTATTATTTGTTTCATCACAAAATAGCAGGCGATGTAATTTTTATGCTACTGGTTGTAGTGCATTGTATTGAATAGAGGTGTTTGCTGATGAAGAGAAACTGGTGTAAAATACATTTATTTTGTTTCCAAAGGGCACTCACTGGATTCAAACCTTGAGCTGGAAAGACTGAATCTGTCTGGAAATAAAATCTCAAGTTTCAAGGTATCACATTGTGCAATGAGCATTCAGCAATTATAGTTAGTGTATCACACAACCACAATTTGTATTGTAAAATGTTCCTCCCTCATATTTTATCCAAAGTCTCTTGCAGGTGACTATTGTCATAATAGTCTCTCTATAATAAATAACAGTCAGTATTTGATGTAATATTATGTAATCATTTGGAACATGGCGCAGTGATAGAGCATTCACCGCTTGTTGCAGAGGTTCGTGGTTTGAAATCGGCAGGTCACCCTGGTTAATACCGTGAGTATATAAATCAATTGTGAAAATTCGAACAACACTTCATTGCAGAACATATTTGCAAGTACTACATACAAAAAGCCTTTCTGAATAAACGTTTAATATTGGCAACATTCTCAGTGTTCATCCATAGTATCTGAGCAAAATGGCAAGATGGGCTGGATGTTTGACTTCTGCGAGCAAGGGAGAATCTTTAATAATATTTTATGGCTGTACAGTAGTGGCTTCTCTTTGAAGCTTAGCTTGGCAGAGCACTGTACTCCTGGCGATGATGTTGTCTGTGACCTGGATTTTTACTCGTAAATTTTAAAGAAATATAAGGCGGGATATGATTGGACAAAAATATCAGTCAGTGCAGTATTCATGCACAGCAGCCCTTGGAAACACACACAGAACCACAACGGAGAGTTGTGCATCTGAATATATATGCAAGGCAACTTATATCGTTGGCAAGTGGAAAATATGTTTAAATCAGCTTTCGACTGGCTGTCAATTATTTTACTATTCCCATGCAATATTGGGGTGAGTTATTTATATAAAACAACCTTCTTAGACTCTTGGCAACAAACACAATGCAAATCAATTAGATATTATGAAGTGTCCAAATACATGGGTACTACTGGGTGATTTTTCTGAGCCAGGACAAGGCGAAATGGTACATACTAATGGTGTGATAAATAACACAGTAAAGACAGGATAACTGAAACATGAAACATCCATGTTTTCAACATGGATTCGAGCAGGGAAATAAAGTCAGAATTAGCAGCCACAAATAGCATAAAGGGTGGATTGGTGGTGCAGTGGTGAATGCACAGTGCCATGAAGCCGGAGACCTGAGTTCGATTCCAGGTCACAGCTAATGTTCGTGGCAAGTGATATCTGAACCAGTCCTGGGCCTTCCCTTCGCTAGCCCACACAGAAGTACGGTCAAACACCCCCAACAACCAACAAAGTGTGGGGGGCCATTGCATCCGTGGATTGACAAAGGGCCATGAAGCTGAATAAATAGCACAAGTATAATGTTTGACGGATGCTCATGGCTCCTGCTTAGAAGGATCCTGATTTTGGTGTTCGGCCAATTTCTCACTATTTTTGAATGTGGAAGAAAACTGAATGGCCCAAAGTCCCTTATTTCTTAACTTTAACCTCAATAATTGAAAATGCATTTCTTTAAAAAGTTTTTTGTGTTTGGTTTGTTGTCCTTCCCCCCGCATCTCCGATGAGCACGGTTGGCTATGTATAGTGTGCAAGGAGTTCAACATATATAAATACAACAATAGTGTTAAACGTACTCTTAAATAGGGTGGTGGAGGGTTACGACACATACATTTATACTTATGCGATATAAACCAAAAACCTTTATTATGAATAATATTGGTCGCGATAGCCTACGTGTTAAGCAAGAATATGTTGAGAAAAGTGACCTTACCATACAAATTAGGAATTTTCACCACTAGATTAGGACTGTCAGCAGAATTGAACATCAGCTGATGCTTTCTTGAGCTTGAAGACACTTTGAACTCTTCCAATAGTGTTGATTGTATTAATTCATGATTCAAAACTGGTGTCACTCCTCAATAGCAGTTTCTCTAATTGAAAGAGAGATTGAATTGATCCACTTTGACTGATCACACCTGTGCTGGTTTGTATTTTGGCGCCTGGCATCATGCGCAGCAGCTGCCGTGCTTTTCAGGGAAGGCTGACGCGTTGACACCGATGAGAGAGCTCCGTTATTGCGGGCGGACTGAAAATACGGATTGCCACAGATTTCACAACAGTGTTTACACAGCCCGTTCTGGTTACTAATTTCACTAATGGCATGAAATAGGTTTGTCTCATACGCTTAGTTACGCACTGAATCATTAAATAGCCACCAAAGACGATATAATCACTTATATTTTCATCTTGTGTCATGTTAGAATCATTAAACATTGCTTTATTGATAGAGTAGAATGCATTTCGCTGTCTCACTATGGGTGTTTTGAAGAGGGCATGTTTTCTCAAATGGTGCACCTCCTATATACGATTGCAGTTCTCTTTACAGTTTACATTCTAAATGGTTGTATGCGCTACTGATTTTAACTACGATATATTGTGTGCCTTGTCTGCTCTCATATTGTTACCAAATTTACCCTGTGATTTATTTGCATGACAGGTAAACCAAGCAATCTGGGTTGGCCTACTTGTTCTGTCAGCCACCCATTATTTCATAAGGGCACGCACTCGACACACAGCTCCTTCTTGCCCAGTGAAACGGACAGGTCAAGATGACCTTTTTTGCAGGCAATATGTGTGCCGGTGAAACAGAGTGGGAATATCTGTTGTCATGATAAAGATAAAGTGGCCATTGTTTGTTTTATGTACAGTGCAGTACCATATGTGTATACAGTGTTTGGCTTGATCTTTTTCATTATTTGCCATTCTCCTATTTGTTTTATACAACAGAACCTCCGTATCATTGGAGCCTCCATATATATCAGAAACTAACAGCTGATCAGATACAGTGCTACCAGTGACTAAGCCGATGAGCATCTGTTACCAGTCCCAATGGAGGCAACATGCAATTTTAGCTGCAGAGGAAAGGGAGTGCATTACTGTGTCCCAACTGTGGAGTTTGTACCATTGAAGCAGAGTTTAGTGTACTCCAGAGTTGAACATCAAATTATTATACTCCTGAACATTACTCAATTAATGAGACCATCACATTCAATGTACATGGGATGTTGTAACCCATGTGCCTTTTGGAGATATAAACCCAGGTTCATGGGATATGGTGTCGAAGCACCATGCTGCATTGCTTTCAATGTCTGTCATAGCATGACACATCCAGATCTGGGAGGGTGGCGCTGTGGATAGAGTGCTCAACTTACAATCAGAAGGCTTTAAGTTCAAATTCTAGTCAGAAGTTAACTTGGCCCACGTCCCTCCAGAATTAATCAAATTAGTACTACTTAGTGGAATCTACAAAGTGGTTGTCTTATGAAGTAACTCGTGCCAATCTTTGGAATGTAGAATTCTAGGATTGATCACCCTGTCGCTGGCCGCCTTTGGGGAGGGTGTATAGTATGAAAGGCCGAAACACCCTAGGAACCAAAAGGTCACTACTGACGATGCGCTCCCCACATTTCACCAGGCTCACTGTTCATGAACTCTTGGAAGTGCTTGCACAAAGGATTGTAACATCTCATCCTGTGTTTTTTGGAATCTGAATATCAGTGGCTCAGGACTGCTGCACACTATTTAAAAAATTTAAACACTTATATTTAATTTACAAATTTTGCAGCTGTAAATAATTCTGGCATTAGTTCACAATCATAACCTGAATATATAAGTATACTGGAGAAATCCGATGAGCTTTAGAGCTCTTTTTCACAGATGTCCAGTAGGGAGGAGGGGGGGGTAAGAACGTAAACCCATCACCCAAACATATACAACTAACCAAGCAAAGCCCACTGAGGTATTAACTTGTTTTTCAAAAGCGACCTGGTCACAAATGATAGCTCAACAAAGTGGCCCATCATTTGGACATTTATAGCACCAAAATAATCTAAATAATCTCAATGCATGTTTATAAATGTGGAGGGAAAAACAGGAGGACCTGGATAAAAAATCCACGCGACCACGGGGAAAACATGCAAACTCCAATTATACAGGCGTCAGTCGGGATCGAACCCCTGACCTCCTGTGTACCAGGCGAGGAAGATAACATCTCACCAAAGGGGTGCCCCTTTCATAAATAAATAAAACTTCATTACATTATCAATTCCCAAGTTTCGGTAAAGCAGTAAAACAAAACAAAATAGTCCCAGACCACAACAAGACAACACACAGTCCCTCAATAAAAAAGTGTACGTAAAATTTTTACTCTCAGAACATTGTTAAGGATAACATTTACAAATCACAATCGCAAATGTGGCTGTATCCAGCACTAATCTTTTGCTTCAAAATATTTTTTGAAGGAAGATTCATGATGTTAATGAGGAAACAAGGTTGTTGTTTCAAAACGTTGGTGCTGCAATGGCAACGGCTTTCTCACCTATTCCAATTCTTGTTCTTGGGATAGTTAAAAGGCAATTATAACGACGCCTTAGGTTTCTTGGATTTGACAATGGGGTTAATTAATTCGCAAAGTATAGCGCAGATTTTCCAATAAGGGTTTTATGGATGACCAGGGCCCAATGTTCTTCTTGCATCAAGTGATATATTGGAATTTAAGTAGAGGTCTCAACGGTGGGTCCTGTTTGGCACATCCAGTGCAATCGAAGAGGAGAATGATAAAGCGGTTTTAGTCTGTTTATAGTGATTCATTAGGAGCTGATATGTAAGAAGCATCACCGTAGTCAAACAGTGGTAGAATGATAACTTCAACAATTTGTAGGCGTAATCGAATGGGAAAACAATGTTTGGTTCTATATAAAAATCAGCAAATATATTTAATTCGGAGTGATTTAAGTTTAGTCCAAGATTGTTTAAATATAATGAGAACATAATTGGACTCAGCACAGAACCTTGTGGAACTCCCTTTCTTATTTTAATATTCATGGATAAAATGTTATCACGAAGTACCTTTTGAGAACGGTCTTTAACCATTTTATTGTACTGTCTGAAAATGTTAGTTGACCAAGTCTTGTGAGTAGAATATCATGGTCAACAGTATCACTGACTTTTAGTCGAGGAATAGTGCACCGCAGTAGTGACCTTTATCCAGGTTACTGAAGAGAACATTTCATACATCCACCATTGCTGTGGTCGTGAAGCAATCCTCTCGAAAACCAGACTGTTTACTGTGAAAGAGATTGTTCGTTTTTAGGTAGCAGTTTATTAGTGATTCAAGTTTTTTTCGAGTATTTTAGTAACTGGTGAAAGAATAGAGATTGGTCTACAATTTTGACGAAAAGCTTTCGTGACTGCAGGGATTCATATTCTTTGGGTCTTTCGGTAAAGTCACGTAGATAGGTTCATTTTATTTCATTTTCTTTGACCCTATCTACCTGACTTTACCGAAAGACCCAAAGAATATGTTAGATACTGGATGAATAAGAGCAGATTTCTACTCCAGCGGAAATGTACCTTCGATAAGTGAGAGGTTGAAAATGTTTGCGAGAGGTTTATGAATGAGTTCCGCCACAGCCACAAGTGCAAATGCAGGCAACGCCGCCATAGTGACCGTAGCCATGTGCCTGTCCGTGGTATGCAATTAGGAGCTGACGCAGCTGAGCCGTTTGCCTGCGCTCACGGAGCTGTCCCTGCAAGACCCATTGTATGCGTCATGCTCCGTTTCCCTCCTCTGCAACTACGCCACACACCTGCTCTACCACCTGCCTCAGCTGCGCCGCCTTGATACCATCGACGTGTCCTCCAGGGCCCTCAAGGACCTGGCTGAGGTAAGGACCTCACTGGAACCACACACATTGAGTCCTCAATTTTTCCCTTGCTGAAGAGAGCCTCTGTTCATAAGCATTTAAGAACTTGCACAAGAAGAAATGTGTTCAGTTTGTTGTTGATTTTGTCTGATGGATATCTGGTATTGAACTTTGATTTAATGCACATTTTCCTTGAATACGATATAAACAAAGAAGCCTTTATGAATGAGTTTGAGTCTTGCTTCAATACATTTCAGCATGTGAACCAAGTTTCTCATTAACGCACACAATTTTCCTCGACATATTCTGCTGCAATTGTCATTTTGTTTTGAAATTATGTAAACCATTAATTTTTTTTTGTTGCTGCAATATTGCATCAGGCTTTCGCGATCAATATTACCCATAATAAAGGTTTTTTTGGGTGAGATCGCATACATATATAAATGTGTCGTTAAACCCACCTCCATACGACACAACCCAACCAATAATAGGTACTGCATAGTCCGAGACTAACATTATCCATTGAAATTTATGTGACGACATTAACCCCCTCTCTGGTCTTTGCACGTAATAAGTTCACAGTGATGACATCACCTTTACTCTATTTAAGACCGAAACAGGAAGACTTCTTCACAATTCTGGGTAATTGCCTGATGGAGCTAGATGTAATCACCAGAGAAACATCACAGTACTCGAATTGTAAATGTTGTGGGTTTACTCTCCCACACACCGGTGTGCTGAAGTAGTAACTAATTGGCACGTTTTGTTTACGTGACAAATCCCTTACTAATTGGCTGCGTCGCCGGGTGGTGGCGGGTTTAACGGCGCATTTATATTTACGCAATCTAACCCAAAAAATACTGTATCATGGATACAGCTGGCATGCTGCACAATGCATTTTATAGCCACGTTCTGCGTTTATGCAGTTACAACTGTGCTGTGCTCTGTTTGAATTGCTTTCACCCGGCGGTGCATGCAGTCGACGGTGGCCAAGAAGATGGTGTATTATGGCATGCGAATCCATGTCGAGAAGCGAAGTCTGGCTCTGCGGCTGGAGCGGCTGAATGAGGCGAGGGCTGGCCTGGTGTGCGGCCTGGAGGATCGCCTACGGAGGCTTCACTTCGTCATCAAGAACGTGAGCACTTGCATGTGTGTGCGTTTTGCGGGATCCCTTTTGCCCAAATGTCATTTCTTTTTGTGAATGAGTTTACATTTTCCAAGCAGTAGTGGCTATGCACGTGGCTTGTAATCCAGCATTGTTGGTGGATCGCACGATTCTGAAACTCCCTTCCCGTGGGCGTTGAGATGCCATACTCTGATTCGCCATGAGAAGGCAGTACAGCAAGTGGACTAATTGCTATCTGTTTCCATCTGTACGGTGATATAGTGTTGCCCGCTTGCACACATGGGTTTTCTCCGGGTGCTCCGGTTACCTCCCCAATGTATAAACACTCATAAATTGGCTGAAAATTTATTGAAATAAAAACCCAATGCAGTACCCTCCTGACTCATACATATTTTTTTAAAAATCAGGATATTGACAATGAAAAATGAAAAATCTGAGGTGTGAAAAAAGGATGGAGAGATGCATGCTCAGAATTACAATGAGAGATGGAAAGAACAGCACATAGCAGGGAAAAAACAGAAATTGGAGACATAACATTTCCTGCTCATTAAAGTAAATGGGGTTAGGCAAAACAGCTCACCAGAAGGGATGATGGATGGCCAATGGACAAGGTTAGTTTTGAAACAGCAGTCAAAGAAGGGTACGCGTTCAAAGAGATGAACATCTAAAATGAAGTGAAATGGATTATATCATTGCAGGATCATGAGAGATGCAAATACAAGGACCGGTGATTATGATGAGGCGGAGAGCTGTATCTGTAAATATGAAAGGCTGCAATATAATTCCATCAACGACATATTGTGACAAACAGTTCAGCATACGTTGAAGGGGTATTGTGTGTATGTATGTTGAGCCATACGTCGCCAACCGTGCTAGCCTCCTACTGTGGCCTTCGGACTATGTAATCAGCAAATGTGTTCTACTCACCATATGAAATGATGAGAGTTTTGTACTCCCTGGTTCTTTCGGTAAAGTCAAATAATAATAGAATACCACGTTTCGCTTGCAACACAAGCAACTATCATCAGGTACAAATGAATGAGAAAACAAACATAGTAAACTTGGAAATATAATGCAATACAACAACTTTACTATGTTTTTTCTACCGTGCTTGTTTATAAGTCTTCTCTCTCTCCTCCAGCCGCTATGGGCAGCAACTCCACACAATGTTCCATGCCCGTTTGTCCAGAAGTCCAGTGTCCAGCTTGTCCGTCCCCCATGGGAAAGAATTCCACACAACTCCCCCTCTGCCCCAAACCCCCCTCTCTCTCCACCTATGATAATATTCTATTATTATTATTATTTATTTAATTTATTTCTACGTGACTTTACCGAAAGAACCAGGGAGTAATTCCTGCAGTCACGAAAGCTTCGAATCTAGTTTGAGAGTTTTGTAGTTTAGACTTTCATAGTGGTCACAGGTCAGATTATGTCCAGTTGAGATTAGAGAGAGAATAGGGGATGAACCTGTACTTAGAGCTGTAACAAGGGGCCATCCATTGAGTAGGTACGCAAAAATCTGTCAAAACTTGACCTCTCCCCCTCCCTGTACGCACGCGTACTTTTTACACCCCTCCCCCCACCTGCGTACAGACGCTTGACGCACCCCCCCCAGAATCCTATAGAACGGCCGATATTGAATCCACACAGAAACGATCAAGGATTAATAATATTAACGTGTTTAAGTAAACAGATAGTCCACCGCCGGACTATCTAACTCATTTGAAGGCCAATGGAGACAAATTACTATCGAGGCTTCACCCCCCACCCCCCCCCCCCCGTTTCCTATGCGTACATTGTCAGTAGACCCCCCCATACGCACGCGCACGCATTTGGGTTAACCCTCCCTCCCTTCTCCATGCGTACGTACTGAATGGGTGGCCCCCAAGTAGATGGTTGCAGTGGCATACTCTTATTACTGTAGTTTAAAAGTCAAAAGTCTTATGTTCTTAAGGCAAATTACATGTACTTTTTTATACACGTGTGTTTAATCTTGTTTTCAAATTGTGCTTATATAAGTGAGCTTGCTTCTATGCGGGTGCATGTGTGAATGTAAATACATGCACTTACAATAAAAGTGGGAAACAGATGGCAGACAATAATCTGAAAGCTATCATATTTTGTATGTACATAAAGCACTTCATGAAACAGCCATGCCATACATTTCAATAACCTTGTTTTAAGGCACTTTGTGATGTACGAGTGAGTGGCACGGCTGATTTGAAGTGAACAAAGTCTCATATATAATGTAGGATTTGCTGAATTCAGCACAGCGAATGGCTTGTCATGGATTTGATGGTGCAAGGGTATAAAGCCACATATCTAGTTCCTTGCAGAGAAAAGAGGAACATTGTAACATTATCCTAATGGAGCCACATGATGTGACATTACTCATTTTACCTATGGCATCAGTTTGCAAACTCCAGTCATCGTACCCCACCCCAAGCCTGTAATTTTCATGTTAACTGACCTCTATTCATATGCACATTCGGCAGTGTACATAACACAGCCGACAAAGGGCAGTAGCTCCGAGAGCAGCCCTTGTTAGTATCCTGTACTTCCAGCCAATATGTGATAACGCACACAGTGCTTAGCAGTCTTTCAAATATATTAATAGTTAAGAGGCAAATACATAAATACACATTGCAATATGCCTTCAGTTTATGCAGCAGAGCCTCAATAAGTAACGAAACTCTTGCTATGGGAGGGTTGGTCGCCTCCTTATTAATTCATGTCTTGTAAGTGGGAGGAGACTTGAAGACCAGAGACACTCATAAATCTGAGGGGATAAGTCGAAGGTCTGCATAGAGAGGTCTAAAATACACTTGCTGTACTGCCATTTCATAGACGCATCACAGCCCCGATGTGCAATGTAATATTGGCATGTGGACGATGGAGACAAAAGGTCTGTGGCGATATTGACATGTTGACTATAGAGACACGTACACTGTAGCAGTGGCAAAGCCCTATGTGTCCAGTTCATGAATTTACCTTGGTCATGATTCTGCTTAATTTTGGCAGAAATACCAGTGGTTTTGCGAAACCTCAGCAACTTATCATGGGGTCCATTCTGCCATTGGTAGACTGCATGCTGCTGCATCTATTCTATTCTAGCTTATGGCAATATGTTCAGGAGCTAAATGCCAATGTCGAAGTCTGCAAGCAATGAGAGGGCTTCATGAGAGAATTTGTATAATGTTGCTATTCCTCCTCCGAAGGAGCACAGATTACAGTGGTTTATTATGTGGTCCATAGTCTGAGTTGCATGGCCTCAATTGCAATATGGCTGGTCTTTAATTTGACATGCATAAAGAAGATGTGCGCATCGGTCTGTTGATGTTATGCTGCAGTTGATGGTACACTAGTGTCTTCGAGGAATGTCAAAGCTTAGAGGGGCAATGTTTGGATCTCGAATGAGGTATTTATTCTGGACATCTACGTTGTTCCACTCTGTTCGCCAGCGTTCTTCTGGATCTGGTTGAGATTTGACATAATAGATCAAGTTGGGAAGAACTATGGCAATGCCATGGTGGAATTTTTGGAACATTCAGAAACTGAATTGTCTGTGAATTTGGGTCTACTTTGTGCAGTGTGATACTCGTGGCTTGCAACGCGAATGCACTTCCACATCACCCACACTCCCCCCGATCTCACAGCTTCCCCCAAAAACAATTTTGTTTCACCGCCTTTGGTCATCCATAATGTACAGTGGACGGTCACATAGAGATAAAATCAATAACATATCACGATGATAAACTGTATGCAGTATTTGTGAACTATTTTTTGTAATTTTTATTATTATTATGAAATGACATGGAGGGCTAGATGGAGAAAGCCGTGTTAACCAGCGAGGTCCTTGTCTTACCTCACCACGTTGCCAATCACACCTGTGCCCAAACACATTCCTGCGGAGGGAGCTGGTAGGAACGTTGGGTTGTTCGGTCAATGGCCAGGGTCAATGGCGGCGTGGTGTATTCCGCAAATATGCCCGACTGTAAGGGCGGGCACAAGCCGGCGTGAGTAGGTTAAACGTTGAGTTTTATAAGGGCACCACGGGGTGACCAGCCCCTCCCCACCCAGCCCCACCCCTCCCACCCCCCACCCAGCCCCACCCAGCCCTTCCCCACCCTCCCCACCCAGCCCCTCCCCACCCTCCCCACCCAGCCCTTCCCCTCTCCACCCAGCCCCACACCTCCCATTTTTTGATGCACGATGGACGAACACAATAATCCCCTGTGGGTTGGTGGAACCAGGAGGTTCCTACCAGTATAATGTATAGCATTTCCAGTGTTGGAAGTATATTGTGATTATGTATTACATTGTGCCACCAATCGTTTACCAAAAACCTTGAATGGTTTATTTATTTACGTTTTCCATTCCATGACATTGTACACAGTAACCATATTTTCCATACATGCCTCACATGAGTGACTTGTAAACAAGATCTACACATTTTACTCGGTTTTCTGTATGCCTTATGGCTTTTTTGGTTGTTCATAATGTGGCAGACAATGCTATACTTTTCTTCATGGTCCACAATAACCCATTGTGCTAGCTTGCTAAAGCTACCAATCATCCTGATATGGCCAGCACAGTAGTGGTTCAACAAAGGCTGTCCCAGTGTCCCAAAGCCTTTTGAGAATTGGGATTTTGTCACAGATTTAACGGCCTCATGCTCAACTCGTGTTGCGGGCAAAGGGCAAAAAACTCAACACATTAGCATTAAAATAAAACAATAATATATTTCTTATGTGACGTTTTGGGCAATGTCCATCCTTCAAAGCACATACATCGGCCAGAGAGATATAGAGGATGATACGAGTTGGAGGCTGCACTTTACACTTTGGGGCCTGATGAGAAATATATTATGTTTTCTGATGACCAGCTTTTAGTTTGGCATATAAGCAGTTACCTCCTAGAAGCTATTGGGTAACAGACAAACCCTTCAGTAATCAAACAGGGCAAAGGGCATGTCTACCTGAGTAGTGGGAGGAGCTACCTGAGCAGTGGGCATGGATTGGAGAGTTGGCAGCGCCATTGTCAAAACGAGTGAGCAGCTCACTCTCTGTGTGGGGGGGGGGGGGGCAATTGATCGAGTGGACGTGGAGTGAAGGGCTGGCAGCTCGCCATGTGTTCTGATTGAGCCTCCAAGAAATGCGGTACCTGTATAGCCTGCTGCAAAAAAAGGGGTATCAGCAGGTCGATGCAAAACCCCTTCCTTGCTGTGCTGCAGGGAAACGTGCCTCTGGTTCCATTTGATGCTTGGTGTTCTGAAACCTCACCGCTCTATGCTGAAGATCCACGTGCTGGGGAGACAGGGAGACGAGCTGGGGTTGCTAATAAGCACGGAATTGTGGAGGTCATGGAGTTCACTACTGCACAGCATTGCATACTGCACATTAAACACTTGCTCTCACTTGAGCCCACAGGGAGCCATGCAGTTCTGGAGCAGATTAAGGCCTGTGTTTAAAATTATGCATTATATTTTTTTTAATGATGGAGGATTTTGTTAGGAGGATTATATAGCAACGTCAGAAGGGTTCTGCGTTGGGATGTTTGGCCATTAATGGTGTTTGGCATATGGAAGAAAACCAGAGTACCTGGAGAAAATCAATGCATTTGAGGGCATTACACTTAAAGCTGTGCACAGATGGATTCAAGAAGGAATTGAGGAGATTTGATGAGAATAAATGTAGGTTAATGACATCATCCAAACTATTCAGAAAAGTAAATTGGCTTGGGCAGGAGCCGTCGTTAGAAGGGATGATGGATGGTGGTCAAGAATAATAATGTGGCAGCCATTATTATTTTTGGCAGCCAAGGAGCATGTCTGAAAGGATGTGTTGCCCAAGAGATGGAGTGTTGAGATCAATTCATGTGCAGGTGCTGGATTGATTGTTGTATGCATGTTGAACTTTTTTCGCACCTTACGTAGCAAACCGTGCTTGTCGGCGGCACCTTGAGTAGGCCTTCATCCAGAAGTGGATTGATTGTGGCTCATGATAATTTTTAAACTGCGATATAATTTCACACTGATATTCTACATCGTTTTCTGTATTAGTCCACCCTGGCAAATAATAACATTTTGTTCAAAAAAATGTGTTCAATAATAGGTTTCACAGAAAAATATATAGTTTCCGAATTTAATTGTGTGTATTAACATTAAGTTACCTTTATAAAGTCTTCACTTTTTAGATGACCCTCATGAAGCTTTGGAAAAAAAAAATACTACAGTATTTGGCATGTCATTGATTTGTACAGTGCTTTTCAAGTACAGTATTGAATGTAAGGTCTATATTTAGAATTTCTCAGAAAGACAGTGAGTCACTCTCATTCCATCATGTCACTCAGTGCCACTATACAGGCTCCCCTGGGTACACCGAAACAGACTGGCTCAAGCTATGACTGTGACTCTTAAAACAGGCCACACAATCCTTTTCACATATGTGTCATTTCATAAAAATAATCCTTTGCAGTCATACACGACCACATGTTGTGTGCTGTGCAATTTATCCCCGTGTCACACAGTTTGGTGAAGGCAGTCCCTTTTAACTGGTTCAAACCCAATCCACTTTCTGAAAACTGTAAGAATGTCACAGTGTGACTGCAAGCACAGGCGCTGGCATGTAATTGATAGCATTAACATGACGTGCTTTTCTGTCGAAAAAGCCGCAATCCACGCACGTCAGCATGGTTGTGCCCAGAACATGTTATATATATTTTTGGCAAGTGCTCAAAGTGTTAATTGTGTTATTTTGTCGTGCCGATTTCCACTGATGACCCACTCGATGATACAGCCTCACGTGCCGGGCAGATGTGCAAGCCACGTAAAAATGTCATGGCAGGGAATTTGACAACCCTGCAATTGGCTGTAGAAATCTGGAGCCAGTTGATAAAATAAATTCTACTAACCTATCTGCCTGCAAATATCCACCACAGCCCCATCTATCCTTGATTCTAGGTGAGTGTCAAAGTGTGTCCCTGCTTACACTAGAAATTGGGTGTCATTCATCTCAGTTGGTGCCCCTGATCCCATGCTAGAAATTCTAACTTCCTATTATTGGGAGGGGAGGGGGGCAGACGTTTTTTAACCTCAACATTTTCTTGTCCTCACAAACAATGTCGTGGTTTATGTAAGGTCCACATTTCCCAACACTTCAACACTAAGCCAGACTTATGCAGCAAAAATCCAGCCTTCTTGGTGGTTAAAGGGTCATTTTGTGCAAGTATTGATGTCAGAGGTAGTGGTGGTAGAGTGGTCAGGGCACTGCACTGTGAACCTAGTCACCTGAGTTTTATTCCCAGCCAAAGTTAACATCAGTGGCTAAACCAGTCCTGAGACCCCTTTCAACTTGCAGTGATCAGTATGGTGATGTATGAGCATACAATCTCCATGGCCGGCACAGCGAAAATTTTCATTATTAATTATTATTGATGTCTGTTCAGGGTTAACTGTAGCAGTATAAGCATTTTTGCATGGAATGGCCACTGTTGATGTCCCACAGAGTGGTACATGTTTCATCAACCGCTGAGGGAAGATCAGCCCAGTCAAACTCTGACTCGGAATTTAACTCAAAACCTTCTAATTGTGAGTAACGTACTCAAACCATTATTTCCCTTCTACGTGACTTTACCGAAAGAACCAAGAATATGAATCCCTGCAGTCACAAAAGCTTTAAATCAAAATTCACACGGGCACCCTTACAGTCATCTCATTGGTAGTGTTGGCACACATCTGTAATCCAGTACTTTGCTGGCAAGGCATGTAGATTTGTGAAAATATCTCAATCGCTCAGCTGTGTGGTGGGGTTGGAACATCCTTCTTAATTTACTTAAGCCAGAAAAATGGTATGTCAATAAGAGGCCCTGTCAGATGACACTTCAGAAGTATTGCCTCTGGAGTCATATATTTGCGAGAAACCCAAACCCCATTGAAGTCTTATGATGAGTTCATTATTTATTGATAAATAAGTGACATTATTTATAAAAAAAATAACCTGATGGGTATGCAGGCACAAGGGATATCTAATTAACAAGTGGCGAGCATCTCTGGAGGCTGGCCTTCACCTTAGGTAGGAGTAAAAACTTTGCACAGCAATCAGTATTACATCTAAACATCTCAGTAGGGTATATCCGGAACGAGTGAGACTTGTTTTGCCATTGCCTCCCAGGTTTTGACACACCTCTGCAGGAGCTGTCAGATTAAATATTTCTCTTGTGGCATTACGTTCCTGTGTTTGAAATATCGTTATTATTTATGGACTGTATGTGAATTTACAATAGTTTTTAGTCCAAAAGGCACTTTTTGTATATTTAATGTATGTTCATGTTTACATTTTATATTCCTACCTTTGTCATAGATTGAAATATAGATATAATAGACCAAAATGCATCATTGACGTTTATTTTATTACATTTAGAATTACGAATCCATTATGACGTGGCACTTCCCATTTTAATTTTGGTGGTTTCATGGGCCCATATTTCAATACAAAGAGACATGCAATACACTTGCAGACTAGCATACGACTTATGTTTAACCAGTCAACTTATTATATCTGCAAGAAGTTTCATGTTTGCAAAATGTATTTCCCTAAATTTATCAACTGTCTGAACATCATGGTTTATTGGATTATTAACTTATCTTATCTATATTCATACCTTCTACATTACACTGTATTCCCTTATAGAATGTGTAGTCATTCATGGGCCATTTTTATCACATGGGCCACCTTAAATTTTTGGCTCTGATTTGCATGTTAATTAAAATAACTTTTCTGCTGATTTTCAACATAAAAACACACAAATTACTTAATAGAGTGACAATTTTCCCATTATTCTGACAAATGTTGATGGCACAGTATTTCCATTTTCAAGTGGTGACCTGGCAGAAATTCTGAACTGGCACGACGAGGTGGAAAAGATGGATGTGAGGGAATCACGCGGTGAACATGCAGTGTTGTGTTCTTGCTTGTGTACACTGCAGGTTGAGAGAGAGCTCCTGGAGGCCGAAACAAGTCCTTCCGTTGCCTCTGTGGAACACTTAGGAGGGGACAAACAAGAGGAAGAAGAAGCCAACGACAGCAGTCAGGAGTCATCAGGCGAGCACTCGTCAGATGAAGGCCAACGTGATGCTGGAAATAAGCGTCCTGGCAAGAGGGTCAAACTCCATGTCAAACTCAAGGCCCTGCAGGATAGAGTCAAGTACTGGTGTCAGAAGATCCACGTGTGAGTTATGGTTAACCTTCTGAACCCTGTTACTGGTGTGCCACAGTGACTTAACTTCTCCTTCTCTCTGTCTGTGCATGTTTCTGTGCAGTTGACTTTGCATAGGGAACAATGGTACTGTAGTTTGTGCATTATGTTATGATCATTTTACTTGGGTGGAATCTCCTGGCCATGATGCACAACCAACTTCGTCTAAGCCTGCCTTTTTTTGCTTAACCTACACTGAGAAGATGAAGGTAGTTAGTTGGTGTGTGTGTGTACTGGCCACACTAATCCTGTGCGTGCCAAACCACTTGCAGTAGGTAATCGCCAACAGCTCTTGCCCTTACAATATAAATCACAAAATTGTGAATCTTTGTTAATGTTTTTTTCTGTGTTCGTCTTTATATATGCGTATGTCCATGCTTGCATGTATAGGGATTGGTGGCATTCTGATTATCAAACTGTATTACAAACCTGGCAACCTGAATTCAATTCCAGGCCACGTGAATTCGATTCCCAGTCATGGATGACATCAGTGGTAAACATCTGAACTAACCGGTCCTGACTCTTCCTGAGGTCGACAGTAATGTAGGCATGTTAATATCAATCATAGGGAGACAAAGGTGTCCAGGCATGGCATAATGGTGGGCACGCCATCCTCTCGTGTGCTAGGCTGACCTTCACAAACAGCACTTGCCCCGATAGTCTGTTAAGGCTATATGGGGGATCTTTGTCTGTATGTGCAGCATAGATTTGGCGCATGCAATGGCTATGCGGCGGTGCCGGGAAGAGTTGGAGCAAGCAGAGCGTCGTCTCGCCATTGAGCTGGAGTCTGGGGGGAACGTCCGCTTTGAGAGCTGTGGCCCTGATAATGTTTGGTAAAGGCTGCTCCGGCATTCGCACCATCATCATCCACAAAGAGGACGTGGAGGAATTGTTGGTGGTGGCATACAGAGTTTCAGCCAGTAGACTTGTTTTTCTGAGCGTTTTCTTCAGAATGGCCTGACACACCCAACAGAAAGCAAGTAGCTGAAAGAGGTTTAAATCAGATGAAGAAGATATTATTTTAATTTTACGAATGAAAGCTTCAACCAAAAACGAATTGCTCTTTGCTTATCATATACATGTGTTCTGGGCGGTCTGACATGCCCATACAGGGAGTTGATCAGAAATATTGAGCCATTGTCACTGAGCTGGTTACTTACTTCCCCAATGGAGACAGGTGATGCTGTAAACAATTGTAAACCAAAACTTAGGGATAGTACTTATGTCTATTGAGCTAGTATGGGACATTCCACATTCCTGTTGACTCTTCACATGATAAGGTCGCACTCATTACACAAAAAATGCTTGCCTCAAATGAACCACAGTACCTTGCTCATCTCGTGAAGGAGCATGAACCATGACGCAAACTCCGGTCATCCTCGCAGCGGCTTTTGGCTAGCCATCGAACAAAGACGGGATACCCCATCGTGCACTTTCAGATGGAGTTCTGCACCCATCTGGAACGCTCTTCCTTCCGATATTATGAAGTAACTGGAGCTATGCAATTTTAAATCGAGATTGAAAACTAATTTCTTTCGAACTGCTTTTTGTGCTGTCCTTCCCACGCCCATCCGATTACTACGGTTGGCTACATAGTACAGCGCGACAGAAGTTCAACATACCTACATTCACAATGTGATACTTATTTCATACTGCGGTATTCGACAACATGCTTAGCTTGACACGCCAAAGTTAAGAGCATGGTCGTGCCCTCCCTTCCGCCGCCCCATCGCCCAGCTTCACGTCGTGCCAGGAGCTGCTGCTGTCGCGTTTCTGCGCGTGGGATTTCTACGCGTGCGGTGCGACGGGGGTGCGCGCGCGTGCCGTCACGCGCGTGCACAATCGCGCACTGAGGCAGCGTTTCGACGAGAGGGTGGAGGCTCTGCGCGACCACGACCGTGAGCTGGGCATCTCCAAGTAAGGCCGAACTGGGCACATACGGCAGTGAGCACCGACTGAATAAAAATAAAAAACATCACCGCTGTCATAATGACTACTGGATTATTAATAACGGGGATATGTCAGAATCAGAATCTTTATTTAGACTGGAGGAATCCGATGAGATATGAAGCTCTTTTTCACAGATGTCCAGCTTCAACAACACGCGGAATTTTCTTTATATATATCCATTTTCATACCATATTCAGCGGCTTAAAAGACGCACCCGCCCAAGTAATGGGTCATTGTAAATAATAAATATTCTGCCAGTGGACCTGTTTCACAGCAAAGAGGGCAAATATAAATGTTGAATAAAGTTGGAAAACGTGTGTAATTGTAATACATTTTTTATAAGTCTCCTTGCCATTCGAGACTCCTGCTTAGATGTCACACACGTGCTATCTGCATGACGTTTACATTGTCCCTGTGAAAGTAGTCTTCATGTGATGTCTGATTGTGTGTTGTCTTCACGTGTTGTCTCGTTGATTTTTTTTATGCCTCTCCCATCTCCGTGCTGGTCTGCAGTGCTGTATGTCCCTTGGTGGGTTTGCTTCATGATGCCACCTTTGCTTTATCTGTACGTGCTACCTCCACGTGTGCTCTTTCCATTTGTTCGGCCACTTGTTTTCATCTGGTTTTGTCACAATTCATCTCCTCCCCGAGATTCAATGAATTTGCCACGATTTGAGGTCAGGTAGCTCATTAGTTTTGGTCCTGTTTGTATTGTCTCTCATTTGTTGTCTGTACTGGATCACCTGTACTATCATGCCTTTAGTGCCCGCTTCATCTGTACTGCGTCTCATTTGTTTGATCTCCTTTCTACACATACCCGCTTTGTGATGTTTTTACTGATTGATTGTTCCGTCTCATTTGTACTGGATGTCCCCTCGCTACTATTGTTTGCAGTGTCCAGCTTGTCCTGTCCCATTGGTCCTAGCCATCCATCTACAGGAAATGTTTGCAAGGATCTAAAATAATTGGGTCGAATACACACAATTTTACTTGTGCATTCGAAGCATACGAATCAATCTTAATTCATAAATTAATATTTACATTCTTGGTTTCCTGAATAAAAGTCACGAGGCTTTCTTGGGTAAACGCGTAATAATAATTATTATAATTCCTCTTCAATCCAGGCATTATCACAAGCTGATCGAGTACCTCTTTTGCGTGTGGGACCCGGATGGCACGGAGCCCAATGGGGATCTTCTGCGAGTCGTTGAGGATGGCTTCCCTGATGCGGAGACTTACTGGGTGAGGTCGCCCTTATTAATTACAATGATACTCACCAAGCCATCCGACTACCCCGAACCATTTCCTTTGTGTTGCCAGATGGAGGCAAGTTGAGAAATTGCAATCGTGGAGAACCTGTAACTCATATCTAATTGTCATTAAGTTAGGTTTTGGTCAGTCGTGCAATTTCCACTTGTAATAACTATAATGTCTGTTCACATTTGTGACATTTCCTTAGCAGTTATTATGTTATTGATGCAGCTTCATTGGTTAGCATCCTTTTGGCTGAAATTCACACATCCCTACAAGGCAAGTGTTCTGTATTGGATAAGAATAATATTGATGGTATCAATATATTTCCTTATTTCCAACTGCAAAAATAAAATTTGCCATGAAATGCAATCATATGGCTCAATGCGGTTGTATACACCATTTGTGTTGCAACGGAGACTGGACTTAGTTCTCGCAACGTTTTAATTGTATTTTGTCAGTGCTTTTTTAACATTCAAAGATAAAGGATATGGTGTATTTTTTGCTGGGATATTTATATATGACCGCAATGTAAATTACACTGCCTTCATACCTCACTGGATGGCTTTTTTCAGGACCTGGGAAAGGACGGCGCAGTCACCCTGGCCAACAGCTTGAGTTTGAGTGAGGGACCTCGCATCGAGGCTCTGCTACAGAAGGCAGAGGTGGATGAAATGAATGCCGTCGACCCTGCACCATTTCGATATGGTATAAACACGCTCGTGTCGCACGCGCAAACACGACGACAACAACAACCGCCATTGACCACTACTAAACGGTTGTGATGTCACCGCAGTGCTTGTGCCAAATTAGGCCTACAGAGAGAAAGATCCCCAGTATAGCCTAAACAGACTGTTGGGGCAAGTGCTGTTAGCGACTACCTATGAAGACCTGCATGGCACACGAGGGGGTGGATGGGCAGAACCACGCCGGATGTTTACACTGCACCAGCTATTCATTTGAGGCTGAGTCGACCTAGGGGAAGCCCAAGACTGGTTGAAATAATCATTACTGATGTTGGCCCTGAGCGGAAATTAAAATCGGGTCGCCGGGTTCATGGTGCAGCACGCTAACTGTTGCATTTTCGCAAACACATTGACACATGGACATACATGTATATGTACCATACGCTTGTGCAAATACATGTACTTGCAAGTGGAAGTAGTGGTGGTTTGCGATAAACTTCTTATTAATCTCTGATAAATTTCTGCTCATGCGCATCAGTGGAAATTTGTATCTGAGCCTCGTCTGGACTTCCTGTGTTCCAATGTGGTATAAATTAAGTATTTGGTCTAGTGTGTCAGCATCAGTACTCGAGAGACAAAGGTGGCTGGGCAAGGCACTGCTTCCATCTCCTATTAAGGTGTAGTGCTTGACTAAAAAAAAATCTTCATCATTTGCTCAAACTCTAACGGCACTTGTGTACCACCTTTCTGTGAAATCGACAGTGGTTGTCCTATGAAGAGATTGGACCCACCAAAGGAATGTGTAAATTCCATCACCGATTTCGGGCTGCTAACAGACATTACATTCGTGCCACCCCATGCTATTTTGAGCAGAGAGGCACATTGATTTGACTTTTAAACAGCACCTGCTGTAATAGCTTTCCTAACCTAAAAGAGGTATCGGTGTTATTGCTTGTGTGTGGGTGCATTTATTTCGCTCCTCAGGACAGCTGCTGGTGGTCAAGGTGTACCTGGGTCGAAGTGCACAGGCCCGGGAACTTGGTCGGGTTTGTGCCAGCGACTACCCAAACTGCGACTCAATATTTCGGCCCAGGAAAAAGGGTCTGCCGATTGGATCAAAACACTGCTCCAGGTGAACACAGCCTCCACGATTACACGCACATGGTGTGAGCAAGCAGTTTCTGCTGGCGGAAAGGCCCCCACTAGAGGGAGCCCCTTAAGGGTATTTGGCCTACTCTTCCACACCTGGCCAGACGTCTAGGGAGATGTGGGAGTGCCCACACTTTACCACCACACAACCTACCGATAGACTTGCCGTATTTGTACTCATTTGTGCATCTGAGTGGACAAAAGCACGGTTGAGATTCAAGAAACTAGTCCATTGTTTCAACGGCCATGCCAGGAGCCCAAGTTGAGCCTGGCAACCTCTGGATTGTATGAAAACCATTACACAATGGCAGCATCCTTTATTACATTGCATGAATAACGTTGAAAAAAATTAGAACAGTTTCACACAAGTTAAATTCACCAATATGACATGTGGCTCCACTGTCCTTACTTGTTCCTCAATGTATAACCACTGTGCTGTGTCGGCCCGGCTCACGTCGAGTTTGTTTTGGCATTATTGCCGAATTGTGATAAATTCATGTTGCAGTGTTGCCTGATTCACTGTGTGGTAATGAGTGGAGCCCTGATCTGCATGAAAGCCTGTGGACCAATCAGCAGCTGGAGGAGTGCTGAAAAGAATCAGAGGCATCTGTGCTAACTGCAGCATGCTTCCCTGCTAACAGACTATGCAGACTAATCAGGCTTTGTCTGTCTCACGTACACGAATACAAACACATGTCAATCTGTATGAGATATGCTTCACCCTCTACCAAGGTGTGGAATTGTCTTGTTACTAAGCCGTGTTTGTACTCGGCTTAGTTACATAGCAATTCGCCTGAAGAGAAATGATTTCCATCAGTGCCTCTTGCCTGCAATGACACGGATTGGAATTTTGGACATTGATGAAGAAAATGGAAAAATTAATACATTTTAAAATAATCCAGGAGAAATGCATGCGGGAAAATACACTGCGATACATGAAGGGGAACACATGCAATCAGAGAACAGATGCAAATTTTGGACATAATATTGATGTTCAGAAAAGTAAGATGCTAAGGTCAGGAAATATAGCTAGAAGGGTTGATGGCCCGTGGTCAAGATTAACATCGGATGGATGAGATTGGTGGCAGCAAAATAACGGGCAATATCTGTGGAGATGGAGTAATGGAATTAGTTTGGGCAGAACCTGAAAAGGATTGTGGCATTGGAAGGCCACGATGGATGCTGATAGCGCAGAGAAGACCTATCTCTAGCAGTCTTTGTCATGGCTGTTAATGAGATGCATTTAAAAAAATAAAATACTCAATATTTCATGCATCTGTTTCTTGATCTTATTGTTAGGTAGACCATCTTCGTAACAAATTAAATATTCTTTGTCAGTCAGAAATCGGTGAATGGCATCTAACAAAACACATCAGAGCCTAACTACAGCGATTTTGTGTTTCCTGTAGATAATGGGCACGTGCTGCCAACTGTGGCTTTGACAAACTGATCATTTTAAGGTGCAATACACGATACTGGCGAGTAAAATTTAGCTTACAAGGAAATTGCGGCATTAGCTGTTTCCTTTCTGTGCTCACAAGGCATAAGGTGTGTTCAAATGAAGACAAACGATTGATAATTTCATTTAGAGTGTACTCAGGAATGTTTTAAAACTTACATAAGTTTGAGTGTTACATTCATGTAACATACTAACCAAAAACAAACTTTATCATAAATACGATATAGGTTTATGTTTTTAAAACTGTAATTTACCATAATCATAATTTACATCCACGGCTCTTTGCCAATCCACTGCTGGATGAATGTCTTCTCACACCTTTCAGTCATTGGGGTTGTTTGACCATACTTCAACCACGCTGGTCAGTGCTGCTTGGTGAAGGGGGAGCAGGGACCGGTTCAGATATCACTCGCCACTGATTTCAACAATGGCCAGAATGCAAGTTGCCGGGTTCAGAGTGGATTATAAACTATAAAACACTTTTTATTTTACCAGGTAAGGCCAATAGCTCTTTTATCAGAAGCGACCTGGCCACAAATGATAGCTCAACGAAGTGGCTTATCACGTGGAAATTTGTAGCAGCCAAATACTCGCAGCGCATGTTTCTAAATGTGGAGGGGAAAAAACGGAGGACCCGGAGAAAAATTCATGTGACCACGGTGAGAACATGCAGACTCCAAATATACAGGCATCTGGGTCAGGGATCAAACCCTGACGTCCTGCATACCAGGCAAGGTAGTTAACATCTCGCCACCGTGGCAAATGCAGAGAAGTTGGTGTTGGAGACAGTATTGTGTCTGCCCACCTTTGTCTCGCTTGTAACATTGTTCGTACACTGCATCACCAGGCATTCATGACATAACAACTCGATCTACAAACTCACATTTGATTCTCCACTGATATGCTTGACCAGGACTCAAACTTGGAATTATGTGATCCCAGTGGAAACTAAATACCGGTAATTATGTCAGCGTAACTGAGGCCCAAAGCAGGCTGGACATTTGTCCAGAACAAGTTCAACATTGTACACGAAGCTGATGTTTTGTTCCATTTGATGGCAGCAGCAGCAACAACAACAACAACAGAAGCAGAAGCGAGTGACATTGACCAGCATGGACAGGCAGCGAGTGCAGGTGCCAGCGATGGGGAGCAGTGCTGCCTGTCCCAGCCTCATGGCAATGAGCATGGGCGCGAGTGTGAGTGTGCCCTGCGGCAGTGCCTGTGGTTCGTGCCAGACAGGGACCTCGTGCTGCCAGAGTACATCATCGATCTGGAGTACGTGACACAGGTGAGGCTGGAGGAAACGTCTTGAGCGAAATCGGAAATCATCCCCAAATCACTGATGCGTGGATGGTGGTTCTACGAGCTTGCTGGAATTAAAGGTTTTGTATCCAGAGAAAATGTTCACTCCATTTTCGGTGAACAAAAAGCAGAGAGAATATTAGTCTTTTTTGAATACATGTTTAATCTGGCTGAGTAGCACTGTCAAGCACTTGAGTTACAGATGAAAGGAAATTACATCCCAGTTTAGTATCCATTCAACTCATTATATCTCTGGGGTAGATAAAATTAACATAATTATGTTGAAATCCAACAAACCTAATATGATGGATAGACCGGTCGCTGTTATGGAATTGAGAAAATTTCCTGGCTGGTTTAGAGCTGCCAAATGAGCATAACCCCATGCTTGTGTTGTTTTCAGGGAGTTACTTCCCATTTCCACATATCAATATAAACTGCCCATTGAGGAATTGGCCGAACTATTTAATGCTGGACTATCATGAAAAAGTCATGAGATTCCAAGAGGTTTTCTTGGGTAGATTCAGGACGATTATTAGAATATTCAATTGGCAATAAATGCACGGTGGTGATCAACACATTTATAGACTTGTTTGTGTCTGCAGAAATTTTGTATACATTACACGCATTTCAAAGCCTACAGTACATTTAAAGGATGTTAAGGATACATTTGCTACAAAAAACATCATAGCAATTACATTCAGGTCACTCGGTTTATTCAGCGGTTCACGGACATCGCTCATTTTTAGTGGACATTAACAGATCTGATGGTTACCCAATTTTTACCGTCTGAATACTTTGTACAGACGTCATTTCCCGCGAGTGATAGTAGTGCATGGAACACGGTGCATGCCAACAATAGCTTTGCAGCAGTAGTTTTAATCAATATAAAAATGCAGTCGCATCGGGGGTGACAGGACACAGAGGCCAGGGTGCTGACAGCTGAGGTCCTTCAAAGTCGCAGTCCTTTGCCAGCAGACTTCTCCTTTGTCAATCCACTGCTGGATGAGAGCCTCACCATGCGGTGCGGGTTGTGTATTTTTTTTGTTACTATACTTCACCCCACTGGTCAGTGCGGCTTGGTGAAGGTCGGTAGATGTGGGAGCATTTACAGCGGTGTTCTTCATTGCAAGGCCCGTGGGCCAGTGGCGGTCTCTGGTGGCCTTTAGTGCGGCCCCTGGCAATGCAAAAATGTGGAAACGCCACATCGTGCCTCCAAACCCAATGGTTTCAAATGTGTGGCGGCCTTCACACTGACATCTTATCGGCAGAAGTGGCCCCGATCTAAACATTTGTGAAGAATACTGAACTGCACTATGGCTTTTCAGTGCAACTATGGATTTTGCTGTATCGTCCTCTGCTGTCCCCCACGTAGCCCCACATCCTATAACACTCGTTATGCATGGTGGTTACCCATCCAAGCACCATAATGATCTAACAGGCATAGGTGCACTCCAGGTGTTTTTATTATATGCCTCATGTACGTGGTTAGCAATGAATGCGTTCTTTTTTTACTACATACACTGTCTTCAAATTCAATGTGTCTGGGGAGCCTGAAGTTTAGTGCACTTGCCTCAAAATCAACATTAAAATCCTTTAAAAACACCCAGATATTGAGCTGGAACCAGATAACAAAACTCGTTTGTATTCAATCAGAGGAGAAATTCTTCTGCATCCACATCCGTACTAAGTAGAATGAAATCAAATAGAAATGTGTCATGCGTTACCAATAGAGTCGCCCAACTATGATGATTGTAATGATGGCCTGGCGAGTCGTGGGATTTATCTCTGCCTCTGCAGGTAGAAGTCTCTTTAATCCAGTTCTCTCTTTATGCAAAGTGTTCATGAAGGAATTGGCCAAACACTCTCGGACAGGAACGGCCTGAAAAGGAAATTGACACTCGGCGAAGCTTTGTTTGATCAAGGATTATAATTGTTATTATCAAGCAGTACTCTGCACACACTAATATTGGTATGCTCCTGATACAAAACACGTGTGCTATAAAGGAGTTATAGTCTTTGGCATGACTTGAGCATGGATTGGTATTCATGGAGCAGGTCTTGCAAACATTTATTTTGTTATCCTGCACCCATCTGCATCCCAGTCTCACACATTGCTGCAAAAGATGCCCTTCTATGCTGTTTGGTTCTTTTGGTGAAGTCACGTAGGTAGAAGAAAAAATAATATATCACGACGTTTCGATCGCAACACAAGCAAAAAACCTCCTACGTCAGCAGTCCTCCTGCTGTGTTTGTTTCACACCTGATGACGGTTGCTTGTGTTGCGATCGAAACGTCGTGGTCTGATATTTATTTTACCTACGTGACTTCGCCGAAAGAACCAAAGAGTATGGATTCCTGCAGTCACGAAAGCTTCAACTCAAGATTGATTCCCTTCTAGTATGCAGACATACCAAACATATGCATTTGCCTAGATATGACATCGTTCCACGTGGGCCGTAATGCTTATGCAACCACATTCAAGTACTCATTTAGCAACCTTTAGTTTATTTAAGAAACTCGCAACAAAATTAAGATTGCTGGTTTGTGATTTGTTTCCATGAAATGTTTAGCAATGTTCTAAACATACTCAGAGTCCTTTGTTAAAATCCATTCTATGTCTACACATATATAACACTTCGGTATTGTATTGCTAAGTGCTGTCTTAACAGCGTATGTGAAAACACGTGGCATTCCGCATCTGCTCTACTTTATCAAGTAGTGGATTTTGGACCTCTGCCTGACCTCACAGCCTTTTTGGTTTTGTACACTTTACGCCAGCACATACGGTGGGAGTGGAGTACAACTGCCGATGTGGACCAGTGGCGTGCGCTTACACAGGCGGTCCAAATGTTTGTAAACGCCAACCAATGTTATGCCTTCAAATCAGAGTGCAACATTTTTCCAGTCCAAATATCTGCTGACAAACGGCCTGCTTCTCACCTCGGAGTCGTCCGCCCTCATTGCGATGCCATGAGACGGTGTGTAGCAGCGATCTATTTCTAGGCTGCCTGAGGGGAGAGCTGTTGAGGCAGCACAGGATATGAGCCCCCCCCCACCAAACTCAGCCACCCTGTCTGCAAAGCAATTACTCCGAGATTCTTTATTTATAGACACGGCTTGTCCGAGATGGATGCCCTTGCATTTGCACTGCCGCGTTGTGTGTGACCGACCACAGATAAATTAAAGGAATTGATTTCTCTCTTCTGAGCTAAAATTAATTCCCCAACTGGCACAGACATTGGAAGAGACAGTCTAAAAAGTTTTGACCATTAAATAAAGTAAAATGCATATTTTCCAGTTAATGTAAGATAGTTAACATATCCAGTTTACAAGATCATCACCCTCAGTCATTGTCTGTCCACTGCTGAATGAAAGTCTGCCCATACCATCTCATGGTTTGGGCAGTCAGTTAGGTAAAGAAGTGGGGCTCCCAGTGGTGATGAGTTTAAATCCCAGACAGGGTTGACTCAGCCTTGTCATCCAGGGTCAATACAAAAAAGCACCGCAACAATTGTCTTGTGGAGAGACTGATCCCCACCACAGAAATGGGGTATTTCAACCATAAACTCAGGACCACCACTGGAGATGAGGGCACCCCACATTCCCACATTTATTTGAGATTGGGTTCATTCACCTTTAATAAAGCATTTAGGTGGCGTATTTGACATACATCCTGAACTCTTTCCATCGTTCACGTGAAAATATTATATCAAGTGGCTCCAATAGGGTGCATGAAGCTTAAATTCAAGGCATGACTGTCCCCATTTCTACTGTTCACATTTATTGTGGGCTCGGTAATTATACAGTACATATAAATGTGACTAGAACACAGCCACGCGGAGCCGTTTATGAAATTCTAATGTCAAGTGGTGTATTAAAGCCACAGACACTGTCTTCCAAAAGGGCTTCATTTTTAATTAATACTGCAATAAAGTCTGCAGAATATCACCATGGGGATGGAGATGGGGGCCTGCTTCGAGCTCACAAACCTTACACTATCAAGTTGGCCTTTAGCCAACTGCAATTGCGAACTACAGTGCAGACATTTATTTTAAAAAAGACGTATTATTTACAGCACTTTGTCGATCCACGCCTAGCTGAAGGTCTCCCCATGCCATGCCAGTCGTGGGGGTTTGACCATACCGCACCGTGCTGGTCAATGTAGGTTGCTGCTTGCAGAGTGCGTTGTTTTCTACGGAGTGATGTTAAGCCCACCACATGCAAGCCTGCAGCCTCATGTAGCAATTCTACTGAATGATGAGCGATTCATAATTACAGTGAATTCAAGCTGTGGTGGTGAGAGAGTTGTGAGAAAAGCTCAATCACCCTTCAGCAAACCCATACACCTGCACCACAGAGTGGCCATGAAAGCAAATATAGACAGGGGAGGTTGGTGGCCTTTAGACTCTCACAGGCCCAGCATTGATATTTCAATGGAATCGCTCAGTGTAAATTGCAAGTGACAGCTCACCCTGGGGAGGGGCAGCTGATGGATTAGACGTAACAAACCCCTTTAATGACTAAATGCAAGCTGTGAAAACGTGAGGTTGCATCACATTTGTGGAACGCAGCGCTGTCTAGAACGAATTAAAACAACCTTCATCACCTTCGCCATGAACACTTCTTTCTAAGATAACTATGTATGCCTCATGTACTAGCCTGGTTAAACATACAATAATAAGAAATAGTATTGTTGACTCACACCAGTGTTTGTTTCCCGCAGAAGCAGCCATGTGTGCACTTCAGCATGAATGGCAAGGGGAAGGGGGGAGATGCAGTGGTGCCAGCAATCCTCTGGCCCGGTGGCTCAGCCCACGTGAGCATTGGCGAGGACGTGGGAGACGAGAACGTGCTCAGTATGCCACCCACGGTCCGGCCACGGCCTAAACTTATCAGCCTGGATGAAGCCTCTCTGCTGAGTCTAACCAAGACTTCATCACTCAACCACATCACGGTGAGAAAGCAGGCAACACACGCAGATGAATTTTTGAAAGGGGGAATATGTGTGGTAGGCCACAAAAGAACTGTGTCAGCATCGCTAGTGAGGGATCAGTGAGGCCCAGCGAGCAAATATTCAATACTTTCCAGGGTTAAAGAAAGTCAAAGAGCCTCCCTGCTCAAGCAAGTAATTGGGTAGTATTCATTTTCACTGGTGGCACTGAACCAGCAGTGGAAATACAAAATGTTCACACTCGGGGCCAGTTTCTCCAAAAGGCGGCCACTACTCCGAATGTACAAAGCACACACACGTGCAGCCCATTTTTTGTCAATTCACTGCTGGATGACAGCCTTCCCAAGCCGTGTGGGTTTTGGGAATTATTTGAGCACTATTAAGGCAGCAGTTCTATGCATCATCATCATCATCACCATTGAGGTGGCAGGGATGCTCAGGGCAGTGTCACAGTATGGAGTTCCTATTGTGCCAGCACTGCAGAGACCCAGATTTTAATCCCAATAAGACGCTCGAGTTAAAAACTAAAATAACATGTTCAGTATCATCAATGGATAGTTTTAGCCCAACACCAATGATTTGTCAAAACATCTATTTGGTTTTGGAATATATTCTGCAATTTTGCATTGCAATTGTCATTCTACATGCATGTGTCACCTGGGACTGGGAAACCTGAGGCAGAGTTCGCAGCTTCCGTCATCTGAAGCTGCCACCTGTCACTTAGAAAGATGGCCAGGGTGAACCAATCCACACAAATTACAGCGCAGCCCAGGGGTGTTGGTAAAGTAGTCACATCGTACTTGTTCTGTACCGACAACAGTAATTCTATTTTAAGTGGTGACAAATTGGGACAAAATAATATACCTCTTAGACACAACACATTGATATATTAATTAATTGATCAGAAAATCAAATACGGCAATACAAAGGTTGACACTGAAATACATTTGTGGGAAAAACTATTTCCAGCAAACGGCCTTGGACTGTGCTGCCTTCACTGTTCCTTTGAGCTTTGCTTCCAAGGTCTCATTTCCCAGCCCCACGCCTGGACTTTTCCTGCAACATTGCTGAATATCTGCAGGTCCTCAACTTGCACGGAAACAACCTGACTCGGCTGAAGGATATTAACCGCCTGGTGTTCCTGCGGAGGCTAGTGGTGAGCTTCAATGAGCTGGCACGGCTCGACGACCTTACACACATGGTGAGAATTGTGAAACCCCTCTCCATCCAAACTCTGTCTGCTTGCCTCTGTATCTCCGTCACTATCAACCTCTGTAGACACAATGTCCTGTTAATTCCTCCGGTTCGACTCAATCATTGAGTGTCTGTCTTGTCTTTGTACATTATTGGTCTTCGCATGCAATTGTCTTCATTCTCCCCGCGTGCATCTGCGTTGCTGTTTTATGTTTCGTCTGCCTGTTTTTCTTTCTCGTGTTGCACCTACTTTGTCAGTTTGAGCTTGTTGGAACGGCAGTCTCCAATGCATCATTACTCCAGCAGGATTTATGAATCTGTCTGCTTCATTAGCATATTCAGTGACAGTCTATGCGCTCAATTTGACATATTTGTCTATAAAAAATATACAGGAAATGTCACGTAGAAAGGATTACATGGGCCGACTTATTATGAGATGCTATATCTTTTATATTCTGTATGCAATAAAAAAATATTGTAGTATAAAGTGGTTATTGCATGTGATTACAAACAATACACAGAAAAGCAATTATCTGGAACTGAAACACAAGGGTAGTTCATGGCAAGCTCTCGCATGATTAAATAGAAGACACAGATTTGATAACTGAGGTCAGAGGTGCAGCTGTAATTGGATTCTTCATAAAACCAAATTGACTTGCAATATTAACTGATGACATGAGTGACACATTTGGTTAATGGGTTGATTGATTGTTCCATTGAGGTACAGTGTGTATTTTTCGTCCTGTCTATCCGAATTGTACGCAATTATATTTTTATTAAACTAGCTGCCACATGGTCTCACCACCAATGTACAGGCAGTCATCGACTTACGAACTCACAACTTACGAACCAGCTTATATGAAACATCGTTTTTTTTACTTAAAACGCGAACTCACCATTGCAAACTGAACCGCGGAAATATTTTGTTCAGAGGAGCAATTCTCTGCGAACTGTTGCAGTGAGTCGGCCTCGCGCTGGGAGTGTGTGTACGCGCGTGCGGACATGTGTGTGTGTGTGAAAGTGTGTGTGTATGATTGTGGGGAGCGGTAGTGTAGCGGTTAGCGCGCTGCGCTATGAAAGCGACGACCCGAGTTCGAGTCTTGATCACGGACAACACCAGTAGCTGGTGTGGTGTGTAAACATAACCACCGGGGAGACTAATTCCGGTTTGGCTGCGTACACAGGAAGGCTACAATATACATTGGGACTCATTTTGGTTATTAGGTCAAGCGAGGCATGAAAGAGAAACATTTCAATCATTAAATGCACTGATTTTTTAATAACTATTTTTTATTCAGCCATCTGCCAATAGGTGTGTCTAGTGAGAAATCATAACCAACCAATCACAGAGTTTTGCTTAATCTCCAGTCCAGGTAATGCTCGATCAAGAAATATATTGATCAACCGTGTACTACTTTTGGATCTCAAGTTATAAAATAAATGGTAAACATATATTTATTCATTATTCCAATGTAGTGCTGGGTAGTTGTGGTACTGTGCCTGATTATGGTGCTTTGTCTTTGCAAATTGCATGGTAATTGCATTGATTTAAAACATTGGTACAGTTATTAATTCATTGTGTTGCTCTGTCTTTCCAAATAGCATTGCAATGCTATTTAATGCTTAGGAAAATTATAGGTGCATCGATTGAATTATTTATATTTTTCCATAGCGGTGCATTTAGATGTGATGCCCTGCCTTCGCAAATGTTATTGTAAACGATTCTTTGCTCGTTTGCCCCACCGTGGTGCTGCGGCCGCGACGCGTCGATTGCAGCCGAGCCTGGAGTACCTGGACGTGAGCCACAACCAGCTGGGGACGTTGGAGGGGATGAAGGGCCTGAGCCGGCTGTGCTACCTGGACATCAGCTGGAACCGTCTGAGCTGCGTGCGGGACGCGGCGGGTTCCCTGCGACGCCACGCTTGCGCGCTTGTCACCCTCGATACACGTCACAACCCCTGGCTCAAGGTCTGCACGCTGCATGCACACATGTCGTGCTCCGGCACAAGCCTTTGAGACAAATCAATATCATCTACGAGATGGTCCAGTGGCTCAGAGGGCTCGTGGAGCTCATGTCAGTCTAATTAGGTCACGCTGCTGAGACCCCAAGTTCTGAATCGTATTTTTACAGCTGTCCTTCATCGGTCTTATCCCAGTAACGAATGACTGCAGTTAACTTGGACATATTCCAGTGTGGAGGACTACTACGATGGTCATCAATGATGACGGAGTGCCAGCAAAGGGAGGTAACGCGCCTCAGAGCACGTCCACCGATGAGATGGAGCGATTAAATCGGCTCATGTGCGATTGCCAGATTGATTGCTATACTAGTTTGGGGAGACCTTCATCCAACAGTGGAATGATCATGGCTTTTGATGATATTGCTATTATTTAACTACTATCCTCCAAAACGCAAGTTGCGTGTTTAAACCATTGCCGGTTACAGCAATTTAGCACGTTTCCATTTCTCCCCTGAAGCTGAACTGTTGCCTTTGTCCTCCTGTATTTTCACCTCACCCAGCTGGAATGCGCGAGGTTGCGTTTCGTGGGCCAGTTACGCTCACTGGCCTCGCTTGATGGCGTGCCCATCACGGAGGAGGAGGTGGCCGCTGCACTGCGCCAGGCCGCCAGCTCGCACATCTCCCAGGTGCATGTGACGCGGCCCTGTGGGATGCGGTGCACTCCCATGGTCTGCCAGCTGCAGCAGTTTGGAGTCCCGCACTCACGCAATGTGAATATAAAAACGTTGCTTCGATCGACATTGGCAGTGGGCAAGTTGTGCCGTCAGCTTTGACGTTGCCCTCTGGGCTCCCCGTGGAAGCAGGCCCTGCTGCTGGCGCACGCTTGCACGGAGGCGGCGCGGCCTCGCTGTCTGAGCCTGCTGCCGACGGCGCAGCTGCTGGAGGGCCGGCGGATGGGCCGGGTGGAGCGCACGGGAGACCTGCAGCCCACGTGGTACTCGCAGGTATCGACGCTACCGCAGTGGAGCCACCTCGCACACACACACACACGAGGGCGCCACGGTGGTGGGATGTTAACTACCTCGCCTGGTATACAGGAGGCCGTGGTGTTCGATCCTGACCCTGATGCCTGCATATTTGGAGTTTGCGTGTCTCACTCCCCATGGTCATGTGCATTTTTATCCGGGTCCTCCGGTTTTTCCCTCCACATTTAGAAACATGTGTTTAGAGTATTTGGCTGCTGTACATTTCACATGATAAGCCATTTCGTTGAGCTGTTATTTACGGACCATGTCGCTTCTGAAAAAGAACTATATAGCTCAGTGGGCCTTACCTGGTGAAATAAAACATATTTTGGTTTTATTGCTTCGGAGAAATGGGTTCACTTAGAAATTTGTGAAACTCCCAAACTCCCTGGTCTGTAAGTGGATTTGTGGACGGGTATGTCTGACCTTTGAGTATTATCCTTTCATAGGCGTGGGCTTTGCTCTGGGTACTCTTAAAAAATATCTTGACATCCCAAAGCAGGTCCCTCCTGAACCTTCCTGGATAAATTAATGACAGGTTCTGAATAGCATGATATCTCCACTGGAGTAAGTTACCCATATTCAATCAGGAATCAGATGGTTAGAAATTCTAAATCAAACGATCACAGCCAATGATGCCACCACATCTCACTGTCCCTTTCTTCCGTATGTCAAATCCCGCAACTGTTGCAGTCAGTATCGAACATCCAAAATCTGTATTTACAGTATCTCAACATCGTGCTTTACATTTTCTTCTTGGTGTCTATTCTGTGGCAGTTGCATCTCACTAGCAACTCTCATTAAAAGACAGGGAATATGTGTTTCTATAGGCCAAGAGTGTCCAACATATGGCACCCAGGCCACATGCATCCAGCAAGGATATTAAGTTTAACCCACTGATATAGGGTTACTTCTCTGGGACCCGAGGGAAAATATACACTTTTGTGTACTTAAGGACACATGTGCGGCCATTGATTGGTATTGACGTGTTGTGGCTGACAGCCTCGGTTAGGTCAGTCAGTACTCCACCCTACACTCATAACCTACACTCACAGCATTTGGGCCTACTTACAGTACTGTCACATCAAGCCACCTCATGCCCCAGCAAGTTGTGAGTTTCACAGCACACTATGAAATCTACATGATCCACCATTTTTATTGAGATATCATCTCAGAGGGAATTCAGAAAGCGAGATCATTTCTGACATCTACTCTGGGAGAGATCTTAGAGAGCCGTGTAGGCACAACGCATCACTTTACAATTCAGATTAATAGCATCTAAATGTGACCACATCTCCAAGCACTGTACAGAGACAGAGGGCACATTCATTTTACAGAGCGAGGCAGTCAGTCATTAGCAGAGGAAAAAGGAAGGTCTTTAGTCTGGCTTTGAAAAGGGGTCGATATCTAACAGCATAAGGTGGGGGGAAGGGAGTTCCAAAGTGTGAGAGGAGGGGTTTGTTGACACGTAAAAATTGACAAATTGACTGACAGGGGGCCCACCAAAATACTGCAATGTGTTGTGAAAGGTGACGTCGCTGTGCCTGGATGGACTGGGCCTAACGCGCCTGACTGGGCTGGAGCGGATGGAGAGTCTGCGTTGGGCGTCGTTCTGCCACAACGAGCTGTGCCGCCTCGACGGCCTCGAGGGCTGCCTGCAGCTCGCCGAGCTCAGCATGGACCACAACCGCCTGAGCACCCTCCACGGTGCGCTCGCTCCGGACCCAAGGGGCAAACACTGCACAGCCTGACGGCCAAATCCAATGCACGCTTTCGCAGATAAGACTAATTGGCAAATCTGATCCATATTTATAAGGTGAAATTCACATTTATACATTCAGATTAGTCCCTGGTGGCCAGCACTGCTGTAATGTAGGAGATTAAGCACTGCTTGTTAAAGTAGAAAATTCCGTGCTCTCTTCCCTGGTAGGAACACAACATTTTGTAGCTCGCATTACACGTGTGATATATATAATATATAAATTTTGTTATTTAATTGGGGTGAAGAAGTAGTGGATCACGTGCTAATTTATCAACCCGGTGACATGAACTAAATTTTTGGCCACTGTGAACGTTCGTTGGTGACGAATATCTGAATCTGTCCGAGGCACTTGCCTTCAAACCCGCACTGACCAGCGTAGCGAAGTACCTTAAAACGACCTCCATTGCAAACGTGGCATGGGGAGGCCTTAATCCAGCAGTGGATTAAAAAACCTTTTATTAAGATTGCATGTATTTATACAATGTGTGTATATTTCAAACGCCACGGTGGCAAGATGTTAAATACCTCGCCTGGTATGCAGGAGGCCGTGGGTTCAATCTGGACCCTGACGCCTGTATATTTGGGGTTTGCCTGTCTCTCTCCGTGGTCGTGTGGATTTTCTCCGGTTCCTCCGGTTTTCCCCTCCACATTAAGAAACAGGTGTTTAGAGTATTTGGCTCCTAAAAATTTCAACATGATAAGCCACTTCATTTGTAGCCAGGTCACTTCTGAAAAAGTGATATGTAGCTCAGTGCGCCTTACCTGGTAAAATATAAATAGTAAAACAAAAATTATTAATCTATATTTTGTAGACAATAGAATTTTTATGAAAAAAAAACCCACTTGAGAATCAAACACAGGCAATTACAATTCAACTGGTGACATCTAATCCCTACACTACAGTAGCGCTGGCCGCAGGGGATACATTTAATGTACCTAAGGGATCTGCTAAGCCAATCAGCTAATGAAGACATGGCCTGACCTTGATTACGGTAGTTACATTACAAACCATGCACAAATCCGGTATGATATTCTTGATACTGGCATTCACAAGCCAGTATCAAGAGTCACGAGTATTCATACTCAACCTTACAAATCCCCAAAGTAACTTAATCTGACCCAGTGAGCCTCAGTGACACCGAATGCTAAGAATCCTCAAGGTGCTTAGTCTGACACTTGCATGTACAAATGTATATATATATTATACATATGTGTGTATATTATTATAGGGAGCGCTAGTGCAGCAGTTAGCGCTCGGTGCTACGAACCCGGCGACTCGAGTTTTATTCCCGCTCACGGCCTGCCAACACCGCTCACAATTATTCTGAACCTGGTCCTGGGCCTCCTCCCCTAGGTCGACTCAGCCTCAAATGAGCACCTGGTGCTGATGTGTAATATCGCCACTAGGGAGACAAAGGTGGCCGGGCGTGGTGCTGGCCATCATAAGTGCTCGCTAACATCACTTGCCCCAACAGTCTGTTGATCTTTGTTCTTTATAAAAGTGTAATGTACATGCCTTATTTTCTGATGACTTGTATACTAATTTCCATATATAATCTAAATATGAAACGATAAGATAAATGCAAGATATTAAAATGTTAAGGATGTCATGATACCAAACGGGCTGTAAGGTCAAAATGTTCCACGGAAATGGTAACACGATTATCTCATTATTATTACTTTGGAATCGTTTTGACTTTTAAACTTGAAATTATTGTAGTATGAAGTCATATGCTAAGCATGAGAAATATGATTACACTGAAGGTTAAGTATCGTGTGATTGGCGGTACCTTTGATAATTATTGGATTAGAGTTTACTCAATTGTGGAAAAAAAAAAACCCATGGCATTTGTCTCCCCCTACTGTGAAACTCCTGCAAAGGTCATGCGACTCGGTGAGGCTTTTCTGGATAAATTATTGTTAATAAATTATTGCAAAAGTTGCGTGTTACAGTACTCCACAAACACTGCAACCCAGCGTGCCGTGTCTGAGCTGCGTCATGCTCATGCGCAGGACTGCACCACATGACCAAGCTGGTGACGCTGAGCATCGACTGCAATGAGCTGGTGGGGCTGGAGGACGCAGGGTTGGAGGGCATGCCTCGACTGGCACGACTCTCTGCTGCCTCCAACCGCCTGGCATCGCTGGCTGGCCTGCAGCGCTGCTCCTCACTCGCGGAGCTGTACGTCGCCAGCAACCAGTCTGGCCAGCAGCCGAGACGTATACCGCATTAAGGTGGGGGGGGGGGTGCAGTGCTGTTGTGCTGCTGCCAGACTTCCCACTCTCTGCCACGAACGAGAATGCAGCTCTCCCGATATCTAGATCCCATCACTGGCTCCACGTCCAATTAGAGAGCAGCTACAAGACTGCCTGCACTGTCCTTAATATCCTCATCAATCCTGACCATCTGCCTCACGCGCTCACGTCATCTTGTCATCTAGAGATGGCGGAACAGCAAGTGGATGTTCTTGCCCCAGGTTCTATTGTACAGATATTTTTACGGATAATTTTTCTGGTTAATCTGGTTTCCTCCCACGTTAAAAAGAGTTGCAAGATCCCAATTGTCAGACCCTCCTCGAAAATAATCTTAAAAATTAGTTGTAGCAACAGCAGCAACCCAATCGTGTAGTTTCTGGTTTGTATGACTCTTGACAGTAAACAAACGTATGCCACAAAGAATTACAGTCAAAGCTACAAGTTGTGTTTTTCTTTCAGTGACAGTATATAAAATGCTATTAATATATTTGATTGCTTGCGTTGCAATTGAAACGCCGTGAGAATTTTTTATTTTGTTATTTTTATTATTTTATTATTTCCCTTCTACGTGACTTTACCGAAAGAAACAAGAATATGAATCTCTGCAGTCACGAAAGCTTTAAATCGAAAAAATATTTGATCTGTTTCATCTGTGGTTGTATATGATTAATGAAGCAGTAACTTTATTCCAAGAAGCAAAAGTGATTTTGGGTTGTAATTCAGAGAGTGTCTCTGCGGTGCCCGAGTGTGAGGAGCCATGTGTGCCGTCTGCTGCACTGACGTTTTGGAACAATTTTGTTTCCTTCCTGAACAATGTAAATCCTCCTTAACGAATTATAATGAAGCAGAAGATAATTGCTGGATACAACCTGAATTTGCAAATGTGCTTTGTAACTCTCACCCTTACCCATGTATTAATAGTTGAATTTTATTGAGGGGTTGTGTGTTGTCTTGGTGTGGTCTGGGACTGTTTTTTTCTGTTGTTTTGCGGTCTTGCCCAAGATTGGGAATTTATATACTTATGCAATTTTACTTATATACTTTATCTATTAATTTACTTATTTGTAGTGATTTACTTACCTTTCCTATACTTTGCACTAATATCGTTTTTTTCTATTGTTGTTGCTGTAACTCTATGATCCACTCCCACTGGACATGTGTGAAAAAGTGCTTCATATCTCATCGGATTTCTCGAGGATTAATACAAATTCTGATTCTGCGTCATTGCGTTTTGTGCACGTGCGGCACAGGGCCTCACGAGCCTCGTCATCCTGGACCTGCACGGCAACCCCCTGGCCAGCACCATGGAGCAGTACCGCCTCTTTGTTATCTTCCACCTGCCGGCACTTAAGGCGTTGGATGGCAATGCTGTGGTGGGTACGCTGGTGGTGGGCGGGTGGCATGGCGGGTTGGTGGGTGAGTGGTGTGTGTTGGTGGGTAAATAGAGTGACAAAGCAACGCGTGCACAGATTTTCATTCTCCACAATGACACGAATGGTGATATTGCGTTATGTACGATGTAGTTTTACAAAGTACGTGCAGAGATTTCTATTCTCCACAGTGACACGAATGGTGATATTGCGTTATGTACGATGTAGTTTTACATTGAGCTAGGATCCACATCAGCGTTGGTTTAAGCAAGCCTGATAGCTGATGAGACACTGAATGTCACCAGTCCAGAGTTTTGCTTGTCTTAAACCAATGCTGCTGAAAAACATAATCCCAGATGGTTGTGTGTCCAATGGGATTTTATCCGGTTAATTTATTATTTTGAGAGAGGCATCCTAAGGGATAGGCCGAATTATTGCTTAAACACACTCTGACATGTGCATGCTTTCATTTTTTGCCAGTGACACTACGTTTCCTTCATCTTGATTTGAAGCTTTCGTGACTGCAGGAATCCATAGTCTTTGTTTCTTTCGGTAAAGTCACAATATTTGGGATAGGAATATTTTTTTTATGTAATTGTATTTTTGTTGCTTACAAATACTGCTTCAAAAGGCTTTCAAGAAATGTATTAAGCAGTCAGCAGCACGGGAGCACATACACATTTCATTTTTATAAACGCTTTATAATCAGTGAAAAGAACCATGCTCAGCTAATGTTGGTTGGGCCCCTGAAAGTGTCAGCCTCATCAGTAAAGGTTACAGACCAAGGAGATATATAAAATATTAAAGTGTTAATTTATACAATTAATTCATGATCCTTTCCCCACACTAACGACTTAAACAGAGACCCTACGACATAATCTCGACCATTAGTTTAGGACCACTCAATTATCATTTGAGCATGGAGACATTGAATTTAGCTTTGGCTGATTTATTGCACAAGCTCACAACTGGACTCACTTAATCCAATGGATGAAAAACAAGGTAGCACATCAGTTGCTGGATTCATTCTCAGATGGAAGGGTAATAAAAACCCAGATCTGTGTATCTTTAACTGGGGATCTTGTCTGACCCTCGTGTTGCCTGCTACAGGAAGTGGCGGAGTGTGACTCCGCGCGGGACACATTTGGAGGGCGGTTAACTTCTGATCTGGTGGCCGAGAGATTGGGTCATGCTGACTTTATCAGACTGCAAGAACTGAGCCTGCCCGCCCTCAACCTCAGGTCAGTATGAGTTGTGCATGGGAGTGTGTAAGCATGCACGTTTATACACATGTATGTGGTCATGAGCAGTGCTGGTGAATTAGTTATAACACTGTGCTATAATCCTGGTGACCTGGGATACAATTTCTGCCCTTCATGCTCAACATCATTGGCACATGGTATCTGAACCCATGTGTTTCGTCTGCTAAATCAGCCTCAAATGAGTCCCTGGTGCAGTTTTAAAAACAAACACTGGGGAGAAAATGTGGCCAGGCATGTTTCTGGGTATTCTACCACCTTGTGTGCTATGTTGACCTCAATAGGTGCTCACCAACATCGCTTGTCCATTGCGGTAGGTAAGGATAATTCGAGGATCTTTGCCATTGTCGGGAAACTTTTTTTCCTTGGTCAGTGGCTTGCCACGTTGTTAGTGCAGTGTTTCCCTCTTCTATGTGGTGTTCTACAGTTGTTCTAAGTTCCTCCCACATGCAAAGTACTTGAGGTAATCGACCTAATATCTAGGCACCCAAAAGTGTTGCGAGATCTATTGTATATTTTTTGGATAGTTAAATCCCATTCTAATTATAATACACAAATACATCTCCAAGGTTTAATTCACTTTTGTGAAAATATAATTTATAGTGCTATCACCAGAAAAAGGGCACGGTTTAACCGATGAAGTTTTCGTATTTTCACGTCCATGCAGGTGGTCTGACGAAAAAATGTGTGCACTGCACCATTGCCAATAATGACTCCCATGGGTTAAATTATTCATCGCACTTCTGCGAACACATTTGCCACATAAATGGAAAGGAGGAGAGCTCTGCAGTAAAACAAAGCGTCGGACATTGCTCATTGCTGACGCTGACCCTTTAATCGATGGTGGCAATCCCACATTTTGTTTGCAAGCCGATACTTGCAAACCATGCCACATTCACTCTGCCATCCACGTTCCCACAACCGGCATGCTGACGTGTTGCCGCACATGCATGTGCAGTTGTGTTGCGAGTTCTGTAGCTTCTGCTAATTCGTGTGCCATTTTGTCCATGCAGGACTGTGGACCTGCTTCCTCCCAATCTCTTCGTGAACCTGCGCAATGTGAACTTGGAGCAGAACAACCTGTCCTCCTTCAGCGGACTCATACACCTGTCCAACGTGCAGGTAGCCCGAGATGTCGCCACCTGCTGGTGCATTTTGTTCCTGCACGCTCGCAGCACGTTCACATGCCCTCCTTGACCGGGGGTGGCTCATGCTGATGTTGGGGCAATGACGAATCAAGTCCTTGTGCCGTGCATCATGACAGAACATCTCTGGCAGCTGCCTTCTCTCGTAATCTCCCATCCTTAATCTCTGTGTGATGGGAGATGGCTTCATGTTCTCCGCTAGTTTTAATGTCTAAAACAGCCTTCCTATTACTCATCACGGTCATTTGTTGAATAAAGTACAGCCGAATAACGTATCTTTCCACGTCACTAAATATGGCTTATTGATTTTCATTTATACTCCATCAGCACTTCCTGTGTAATATACAACATGTCCGGTGTATGAATGTTTTAAACTTCTCATTATTAACCCTGTTGTGACTGCACCATCTTAAACATACATTTGTATGGTTCATTGATATGTAGAGCAACGCTATATAGCACTGTCTTTGCGAGGCTGGCACATGTAGTACTGTGTATGATATATATGAAAACCTACAAAATCAATTTTGCATGTCACATATTGGTTACATTGTCATGAGGCAATATTCATACAGTAACTCATGTGTACAATTACACATTGTTCTGGATAAAAAAATTCAAGTGTCATTCTGCTCAGATAATGCGGTGGTACTCATTTCCATTCGTGAGATAACAGTGATAATTCCAAGTTCCCATGACAAGGGCCAGTCTATCCAAATGATGACCATTGATGACTTCCTCTAAAGTGTTACTCCATTGCCCTTGAAGGGATCATGACTGAGTGGAGCCCCTAGAGGGATGTGTATTCTCACCCTTTCGATTTTGCATCAGTCTCTGTAAACACGGTGCTACCTGGCAATGCATCCTGCCCATCCCTCCTGGTCCAGTGTCCCTCGCCTTGAGGGCCCAGCCATGCGCTCATTGCACTGCGCGCCGCTTGCAGGTGCTGAACCTGAACTACAATCAGATCGAATCGGTGGTGCCGCGTGCCCGCCCTCCCGCCACGCTCACCGGGCGCCAGCAGCTCTACCAGAAGGTGGCCTCCAGCGGATATGGCCCGCAGAACGTCGCCAAGGCCACCAGGTGCAGCAGCAGGCCCAGTTCACTCAGGTGTACATGAACAGAATATGCAGCCGGTTAGGATGTTTTAAATTCACACTTCGAGGAGAGGAAAATGCGGATAAATACTGGACACACAGCTCTACATAAAGGTGTTTTGGAGTAACCTTCAGGTAGGGATGGCTTAAATAAATAATAAATCTGTTGTGTGCAATATCCACTTTTCTGCAGTGTAAATTAATCACACACACAGAAGTTTTAATCGAACTACAGACAGTTTAAAATAATGCACACATAGGTGGTCTAAATGAACCTCACACACAAGCAGTTTGAATTAACTCAGGAAGTAGGTTGCTTTAAAGAATACCCGAGAAGGGTAAAACCGCACACAGCTATGGTTTAAACAAACCTCACTTGGATGGTGGCCTAAGGAGACCCGTGGCAGAGGTAATCGAATTGAATACCGAGAATACATGCAGGCTGGCGCAGCATGCATTCCATGCTGTGTGCAGGGACGCGTTGGCGTGCGAGAGCCTAGTGCCCGTCATGGAGCGGCTGGAGGTGCTGCACCTCGCCTACAACCGCATCTCCAGCCTCGCTCTGCTGCAGCTGGGCCGGCTCACTGGGCTGCGCACCCTCTACCTGCAGGGTGCGTCACGCTCGCAACCAGCTCACGATCGCGAGCGCTGAGCCCACACGCCCACACGGCAACAACACACAACGCAGTGCTGTAGCAAGGGCGGTGCGGGTGGGACAGCTGCCCCGGGCACCTCTCCCGCACTGCCCAAATGGGCAGCCGAATTCTAAAGCAGATAGTGGAGAAGTAGTGGTCGGGAGGCATGGATGGGTGAGTGCGAAGATAGCACCTGTCTCGGGCGCCAATATCAAAATGTCAAGCGATGGCTCTGCAGCAATGAGCTTGTGGCAGAGCAGGTGCACTTTGAAGCCAGTTAGAATGGCCAGAGCTCACTGGAAGGAGGTCACTGGCTAGGTTAGCATGGGAAATGGGTTAACACATTTAAATAAAAGCACAGCTGTACACACACACAACCGTATTTATGTTTTGGTACTTATTAATTCATTGTTTTTTAAGGAATAAGCATTTCTAGTCTAATATACTCATAGGCAAAACCTGCAACCACGTTTGAAATTATTCTGCAAGAAAAACTATCTACGGTAACTAAACATCACTCGTATTATTTCTGTATATATGACATCATTAAAACAATATTTTTGTGGGATGTTTTAACATTGATACAATTCAAAGAAAACTCATTTTGACGAACTACCCCACGTCTCCTCGATTTATGGTTTGAAAAGGTGCACCTTGCCTTAAACAGTTACTTTGATCTTCGCATGCATGGGTCATTAAGGATATGGGCCATAGGTGAGATCTCATTGCCAGGCTATCCTGTAACGATAGTTTCATAGAAATGGCAATAGGAGCCCAGAGCCAACCGCGGTGTTTGCTGTGTTTTAAACGACCACTGCACCCATCGGTTCATGCATCTGCATGCCGACAGCACTGATGCCCCATGGAAACGGAACACCGTGTACAGCACAGAGTGTCGCAGCACAATCAGAGGGTGCGCTTGGTCACGTTGAAACGCGCACGAACGCAGGCTCATTAATTATGCAAGGTACAGTGTGCCCCAGCAGAATCGTTCCCAATGCCGCCTCGGGGTGACCACTGCTCGATGTGCACCCTGTGCGCCTGCCATTGCTTGTATGAGCATAACAATTCACTCCGGTGTCATCCGAGTTGATGTTTTAAAGGCACTCGCTTTGTGACACCATCAAGTGCAATTGTCTTTAGAGGGAAGGGCAAATGTGCACATGTTTAAATCGATTAGCTCATGTTTCACTAGTCATTGCTTTTTTCTTTGTGGTATCTGTAGTACTTAGAAGATTTTGGGTGTTCGTTGGCACTCATCTGCATTTTCAGTCATGAGCTAATGGTGAATATTCGACATTACTGTGAGACGGACCAGGCTCTCCACAGGGCAACGAGACTTTTTGACCAAGCGGCTCAATATTACCAAATGTAGCCAATCTCTAGAGCGATTATGTTAATGTATCCTCTTTGGACTTGGTAAGACTACTATTGACTTAAAGCTTTTGTGACTGCAGGAATTCATATTCTTTGGGTCTTTCGGTAAAGTCACGTAGATAGATAAAAAAATTTAACTACGACGTTTCAATTGAAACGTCGTAGTTTTTATTTTAATTTATCATTTTTTGAACTTATCTACGTGACTTTATCAAAAGACCCAAAGAATAAGACTACTATTGTATATTTAAGTAGGTGTACCACCTTTCGGTGTTTGGCCACTATAAAGATTTACACATCGATGAATATGAGGAATACCACGGCATGACAGGGTAAACACACGTGGAGTGGCATTCAGGTGGCATCAAAAATTCAGCCATCGAAGGGAAGACTTAAGCCAGCTGGTGGGATTCTGTAAGAGCAGACCTTGACGACGGGGTGTTAACGGTGCAACATCTGCAAGATTTGGCAAAAGGAATGCCGCAATGGCGAGATCAATGGCACGGCCATTATGACTGCTTGACCTTGTTTCATGGCTTGAATCATTTACTGCCTATTTGCATGCCAACGTTTTCTGGCCATAGACATCCTTCCCTTGAATCCAACCCCGTGTGTCCCCTGTCGTGCAGGCAACGAGATCAGCCGCGTGGAGGGCCTGGAGGGCGCCGCGGCACTGCGCGAGCTTGTGCTGGATGCCAACCGCGTACGGTCCCTCGGGGAGAGCTCGTTCCTTGGGCAGGGCTCCTTGGTGGAGCTCCATCTCAGGGACAACCGGCTCCGGCAGCTGTCCAACCTCCATCCACTCTGCCGCTTGCAGCGCCTGTACTTGGACAACAACAAACTGCAGGTGGGGCAGCCCACGCACGCAGGCAACTAGCGTTTAGCGCATAGTTCATCATCATCATCTTTGTTATTATCGTCGTCACCGTCACTATCGTCATCATCAACGCAGACCTACTTGTGTTGCCGTGCCTGTATTCGTCTCGCCATGTGACTCGGGCTTTCTTGTCTACCTGTTGCATACAACACGTTGCCTCTTCTCTCGTATCCTGTGTGCTGCACTCTGCAGCTCATCACCCGCCATGCCAAATTGATTACAGTTTATAGATCGTTATCGTTTAATTCGAAAGTCAATAACTTGCCACTCTCAGTTTTACATTGCAAGATGATTAGGTATAGAACATGAAATGAATTCTCATTATCACTCTGATACACTGATTCATATTGAATAAATGTGATGTATAGTAGTTATCTTGGCGATATAATAATTATTTCAGTGGGGCCCTGCATTGGAATGTGTGGCATATTCATATTTAAGGGACTGTTTAGCATTTGCAAATAAGGAGAAAACCCATACACATAAAGAGCAGCAACTTATTTATATTCATTATTTCTTTCACATGCGATTTTGTGAACTTTAATTGTGTAGAATCAGCTATTCGTTACTGTATGGATTAGTTGGGAGCAATCAGGTTAAGTTTAGAAACTTGGCTGTAATGCTGCATACAATCGCTTACTATTGTGAACCACATCACAGCGTCTTCATTGTCTTCTGAAATTCCTTGCAGAAATTACCAGGCAGCTGTAGTGATAATCGACCCAATGGCTCCACATGTTCTAGTGGCAAGCACACAGACCACTAGGCTATTCAGCTGTCCCAAACATTCGAGCAAGCTGACCTCAACGCATATACACATTATATGTAGGGAGAGAATGTTACAAATGTGGCATTTGCCACATGTTAATGAAAGATGGATATCATCCAAACAGGCCATAAGTTGACGGCACTCTCGGCAGCAGAATGTGGGTCAGATGAGTGCTTGAAAGCCAACTAGTGGCAGCAGCTGTGCCACATCATGGCTGTGTATGGAAAGGGGTCATTAAGCCTCGGGAACCTCACACACAGCATCACACTTCTAATGCAGCAGGTGGAGTGCATCTTCCCCAGCTCCCCATAACCATAACACGCTGGGGGTGGGGGGGGGGGACTTGCATGTAATCCAGCACCCAGGAGGCAGGTTGGAGAATTGTGCTATGATGCCTCCAATCTGTTGGTTTGCAACGTGGCCAGAAATAGCAGCACAGCAAATGGATGCCTGACCCATACATGTGGATTTATGAGCACTATTTACTTTTAGTGTGTGGGGTTTTGCTGCGTACTGTACTCTGGTTTCCTTCCACAAATTAAAAGACACATTGAGGAATTGGTTAAATATCCCAGTGCAGGACTTTGCTGAAACAGTCTTCAATGCATTGAAGGTCAACAGATTATTATGGTTGTAATCCAATGCTCATGGTCAAGGATTAATAATGGCCAATACGTTTAATGCCAAAACACCTAACCATTGCTTCCTTCCTTCTGCCAGATCTTACAGGTGTTGTGTATTTCACACCCGGCTGCAACTTCTGTTCTCACAGGAACCCATCCTGTGGCCTTAGGTCTTCCCGTTGGCCACCAACCTCTGGGTGCCACTGCAGTGTTTGTCTCAGTAACCTGCCATGGTGCTGTGGATGGTAGCTGCAAGCACTCAATGAGTATCAGACACTTCTTTCCCAGTGTCTGCAGATAAAATTGGCACAACAGTACTTGTTGGCATTACATTAGTTAACTTTAAAAGCCACATACTTAAGAGCACTTGAAGTGCCAAGTGGCTCAGCAGTAGAGTGAGCGGCTCCCATTCGGAAGGTTGCACTTTAAAATCCTGGTTGGGTGTTTGGCTCAACGCATCATTCCTCCAGGGTGGATTAGTCAAATGAGCACTGCCTTCTTTGAGCGTGAAATAATATTTGACTGTTTTGGCCTGAAATGCACCTGAGCTTGCCCATGTGTCTTGACAGAGTGCTGAGTTGCTCGATGTGTGTGTGTCTTTTTGCCTTGCAGGACATGTCTGAGCTGGAGAAGCTGAACCAGCTCCCGAGCCTCACTGAGATTACTCTCACTGGAAACCCAGTTAATGCCTCTTCCACTCATTAGGCAACAATGTTAAACAAGAAACGCACCCACCCCATGCAATTAAAGGGATTGCAGTAATTAAGATGAGCAGCTGCAAGTCGAATTATGTTGAGGTTTTTTTTTTATTCAACAGTTTACATTTGTCATTTTCACGGAGAAGAGAAAAATAATGTCAATTCCACATTTCTATGGAAGTGGCCAGTGAAGCCATGGTGCGCAGTGGTTTGCGCACTAGATTATAAACCTGGCAAGCCGAGTTCAATACCTGGCCACAGCCAACATCAGTGGTGATACCTGAACTAGTTCTAGCCCTGTGCCCCTACCTCTTCACCAACCTACACTGATTGGTGTGGTGAAGTATGGTTAAACAAGCCCCATGACTGACATGGTGTGGCGAGGCTTTCATTCCGTGGGGGATTGACAAATGGAAGCAGATTATTATAAATTGCAGGGATCAGTCTGGCCCTCTATTAGACCACGAATTTGGACTTGAACTCACAACCTGTGGACTGTGAGTCTCGTGCTCTCGCCACAGCGCTGCCTGCCTGGCTGTATGTGTTGTAAGAGACAAGTGGGATGAGATGTTCTTGATGATTCATAGGATGCCAAAAATAAATTAAAGTCTATGATATTTGCATATTCCCAGTGTCCAGAATGACAATGACATGTTTTGAGTTCCCTTTGATGTTGAAAACATAACTCAAGCTATTTTTATAGTCAATTTGGCAACGCTGTATATGAAAGCATTTTAATTTGCTCTGAGTGTTTATCGAAACATCCAGTCTGTCATTGCCATCTCCATTCGTACCACATCCTCCCCCCCTAATCTCCACACGCCCATTCATGCTCCACAGACCTTGTATAGCATAAGCAATACATGCATCATTTATTTTAGTAGAAAAAAAGTCAGTGATTTCCTGCTCAAATGAGGCCGTGCTCATCTGCAGTTTACAGGGCCTCACCAGAGGTGGAAATTTCACATTCCTATGGGAAGGGCAAGTCTATCCATAGTACCACCGTTGACTTTCCAACAAAGTGGTACTTATTTTATCGACGATGGAGGGATGAAGGGCTCATTCAACCCCAAACCAGAATTTGAACTCGCAACCTTTCAATTGCAAGCTGCTCGCTCCACCAGGGAGCCAACTGATCCGTGATCGCGTGTCTCTGTCGCGCCGTGCGTGTATCGCGTGCGCTGCAGCTTGCGCGCCGCTGCCTCCACCGCCCGGTGCTGGTGCTGCAGACCCCGCGCCTGCTGCTCGTCGACGGGCTGCCCGTGAGCCAGGAGGAGCGCGTGCGTGCCGAGATGCAGCTGCTCGAGACACAGGCGAGTCCGCCCGCCCTCGCGAGACACAGGTCACGGGAGCAAGCGCGCTCTACTATTTCGTGTCATTGGAGCCGGCACGATTCACTGATTGAGTCGATGAGTCGACGTAAAATTGTCATCTCTACATTACTCGGGCCCTTTTAAATATGACTGTCCTCTCCACATCCTACCTCCTGAAAGCGGGAAACCCCGAACAAGCCTCGCGAAGCGTGACGCGGCTAATGATGCCGATGACGTCACCGAGCCCAGCACCATCGCCCCTTGTCCAGCGGAAGGTCACGGGCAGAGCTCCCTTCAGATACCACTTGCCACCCTTGTTAGCCATGGCCGGGAATCAAACTTAGGTGCGTTAACCACTGTGGCCAACTCCACCCCTTAGACACTGTGTAAATACTCAACGCATTGCGCTGTGGTTACAACTGCAGTGGTAATTCTGTTTGGCTGTGGCGATGTGTGCACACAGACCCCGGCAATGGAGGTGGTACAGCCGGGGCTGGCTCCGCTGTTCGGCCGCACAGCGCCTCTCTGGGTCACCAGCATCACGGCCACGGCAGCTGGAGGGGTCACTGGAGTGTGGCCCCTGGGGCTGGGGCCCACGATGCATGGGGTCCTACCACAGGCGTTCCGAGGAGGGGCAGGGTCTTTCCCACTTCACACGTTCGACGACCCCGTGCTGCCCGAGCCCACGCGCTGTACGTTTGCGTCGCCAGAAGTGGGTGCTGTTGGGCAGTGCGCAGCGCTGTCCTTCCTATGCGCTGCTTTGTAACAGCTAAACTATAAACTAAGCTATCTGTTAAGGCCCACTGAGCTATACAGGAATACCTTGCCAACCGCGGATTTGCTAATTGCGGTTTCATGTATACATGGTTTATGATTTGTATATAAATTTACCAACCGCGGCCTGGAAATTTGAGTATCCACGGGTAAGCATCCGTTTCCACTGAATCGGATGCCATTTCATCTAAAAAAAACAACGTATTTAATATCAAGTCTTCTCCAGCATGTGAATGATGGACGTGATCAATGGTTAAAATAACCTTTTCTTAAACCATTTTACTCATGTGGCTGATTGTTCTTTACAATCTTTCTGAATAATTAATACACGTCCCATAATAGGCAAATGAGTGTAATCATTGGTGTCAAATTTGTCTCGAAGAATGATTGCGGCATCATTCGATGGTTGCGGTATTTTGTGTAAATATTTTGTACATAGGCGCGACTAATTTTGACCCAACACCGGGTCCCGCCTTGTTTGTATCAGATCTAATGTTCTGGTCGAGCCACCACTATAAGATATTGTTCTTTGGATAAATGTAGCAGTACTCTTCCCATTCCTTTTTAAAATATTAATTTCATTGAGGCAATGTGCGGGCCCGTTACATCACGTTGTGATGCACGTACACACCGTCAACCGGTTATAAAGGCCGGAACAGCACACGAGTGGGTGGGTGGCCAGCACCACGCTCGGCCGCCTTTGTCTCCCAAGTGGCGACGTTTACACATCGCACCAGGTACTCATTCTAGGCTGAGTCGGCCTAGGGGAGGCCCAGGATAAGTCACTGGTGTTGGTAGCCGTGAGTGGGAATCGAACTCAGGTAGCCGCTGGGTTGGTCGCGCGGCACGCTCGCCACTTCACTCCCGCTCCTCACAAGTGTGCGCGCACATGCACGTGTGTGCGCCTCGGTGTCTGCAGACCGGCGGCCACGCCAGCACAACGGCTTCCTGCTTCCCAACCCACGCAGCTACCACGCCGAGCTGGCCCTCAGTGAGCTGCGGCCGCTGGCGGCTCCGGTCGTGGCGGCCCAGGGTCTGCGGCGAGTGCCCTCGCCCCTTCAGCACGGCGCCACGGCCGCCCGCGCGCCGCCCTTCCCTCCGCGACTGCCCTCCTCCGCGACAGGGGACAGGTGCGCGGGCAGTGGTCGCACTGGCGCCTCGCAAGCAAGAAGAGCCTGGGTTCCATTCCCCACTCGGGCGCCTAAGCGTGGAGTTTGGATGTTCTCCTGTTCTGCACGGGCTTCGTCTCAGTTCTTCGGTTTCCTCCCAGAGCTATGACGGTCGTACAATGAAATTGGAATTGGCCAAACATCCCAACGCTGAGAAATTACCTGAAAACAACTCAATTGCGATTACCCAAAGCGGCATCGCCGCCTACAGCGGAAAAACCTGGCAGGACCCTCCAGAAAAAGATTGTTGAAACTCAGTGAGGCTTTCATGGGAAACACCATTCAAACTGTAAAGGCAGACATCAATGTTTCATGTGTTCAGCGAGATTTTTAACTCTTTCCAAGAAACGTGGAAAGTAATAATGAGTTGGCTGTCTGCCAGTCACACAGGAGCACAATAACGCTGGCAGAGATGATTGAACATGAACAAACTTGAGTACTGTATATATTTGTGTTGCTCTGAGGGACTTTCCCTATAGATAAGCGTCTAAATTGACCAAAGGTTTCATGGCCCAAAGCTTGGCGATCAAAACCAGCGCTAAATCGCTTCTCCTCGGCATCTGCATCCTGGCGGCCGGAATGCCTCCTGACGAAGTCGTTGAGCATCGCGCCAACCTGTGACGTCGCACACAGAGTGATGTAATCGTGTTGTCCCCATTTGGAACGTCATGTCATTATTGACGATTGAATACTTCCGAGAAAAAGTATGTTGGAAAGTGTTTTAGAATCCATGCAAATGAAATTTTGTTTAAAAAAAGTACATTTGAAATTCCACACGGTACATGGCAAGATCTTTTTTGAATAAAATCTCACTTGTGTCTTTCTCACAGAAATGTAAAGCTCTCTTGTTTCCCCCCCCCCCCCAGGTCTTCTGGGAGTGCCATGCCAAGGAAGACACTGTGAAGCCAGTGCGGTGTACGGGATCAACACTCACAACCTTCAATACCACCGCTGCCCCTATGGGGTCACAGTACGCAAGAGTTACATCGAAATCTTGATTTGCATCTAAATGTTTGTCATTCGTTATTCCTTCACTTAGTTTACGGTTTTGTGTTTTTATTCAATGCACTGATCTACATACGCGGGAATGTGAATGCACCGATTTGATTTGCTGTAGTCTTTAGTTTTTTTTACTGGCACTGGTAACAGTGAATATCGAATGTGTTGGCTTCGAAGGAAAGTGTGCGCAAACTGCCGTGTCGGACTGGAAGCATGATGCGCAGCGCACACCGAGGTCACAGGCATTCTGCCGCACAGCATTACAGGGAACTATCACAATACTAATGTAAGCCTAACATATGCAGCCCCATTGGGCCACCAGGCTTAAAAAATCCTATACGTGTAGCATAAACCTAAACAGGGCCACACTTATTCAGTGTTGTCTCCTTAAGCTCAGATACTTATTCTGTTTCTACCTTTATCCCAGTTGTTGGTGAATATCATCACTTGCCCGGAGAGGGCATGCGTGTTGCGCCACATTGTTGTATGCAGTCATGAAGGCCGTCTTTATTCCCACGAGCTAGTGGTAGAAGATGCACAAACTTCACAAAAGCACAATGTGAAGCATGTTTACTGCTGGGTGTCGAAGTGCAAGTGTACGATTTGTAGATGTTGAGAACAAAAAATTATGGGATTTTCTCTTCGTAAAATATGGCAGTATTCAATTGTACATAATTATAACAAAGCATTATAAACTGTCACTTGGTCTGGGCAGGATGTAGTGCACTGACTTGCCAGCCTGGAACAAGTGCTCCAAGCATGATCGCCTTTCTGCAGGGGAGTTTGTAAACTGCTTGAAGTATGATGAACAATTCACAGATGCTTATTCTGCTTCAATTCCTTTCACTACTTCCGAGCGAAAACTCAATAAAAGCAGCGTTTGTTACATCACTCTGCACATGTGCATTGTCACAGCGTTTTTACTGACAGTTGTGCTCACAAGTTACAACTTTAGAGTGGAAAATACTGACTTTTTACTGTGCCCTGATTGTCGCATTGAAAGTACATTCAGGTTATAGCAACACGCTGATTCAAGGAGCTATTTTGAGCATCATTAAGCCGAGTTTTTTTTTTCAGAATGATGGGCCAAATACATAAAATCAAAACAATGTTTTTACTGTCAGCCACTGCGAAGATCAGTGACAATATCTGAACTGATCACGGCCACCTTCACCAACCTGCACTGACCAGCAGTGAATTATGGTTAATCAACCTGCATGACCGCACCTCCGATTAGCGGGGTTGGCTACATGCTGTGTGAAAGAAGTTCAATAAACAGTGTGGGGAGGCCTTCATTCAGCAATGGATTGACAAGAGGGTTTTATTTAAAAAAAATATATAAATTCTATCACGGTAACATCTGTATACTGTCAACATTAAAGAGTACATACATACATGCCACCAGGGCAAATATAGATTTGAGAATTTAAGCATCAATAAGGGTAAAAAATCATGAACGAGCAAATTTTTACAAACCTTATACAGTATCTCGTAACTTACCATTTGATCATACAAATACTTCATAACTTACCATTCATATTGTAAGACAATTTATATTGAAAATAATATATTTCATACTGTACAGGATTGAAATAAAAACGCTGACAAATAAAATGAAGAGTGTACTGTCCTGTAAAATATATTCACACTCACGAGTGCAGCGTCATCTTCGGTGCAGTCAAAAGATTGCATTGCCCACCAAACACCATCGCGCCGTAACATGGTGCATTGCTATGCGCTATGCGCATATTGGCCGCAACGGATCTAAACAAACATTCTATGACCCATTTTCAATGTGCGCAATGCTCAAGAAACGTGTCTTATTATAATTTTACTCTAATTTTGAAAGTACCGTAGATGGAGCATTTTATTATTTATTTATACATTTTTTTTGCCCCATTAATATAATGGTAATAAATCCAAATTTCATTATACTGAAACTTCGATTATTGAATATCCGCATATGGAGGTATTACTGTAATTTTAACAGCCTTTCTATTTAATTTTTACAGCTTACATATGAGGGTACATGGTGAGCCAATGGCATTTCGGTGTCCATAGTCTGGATAAACTTGAAAACACTCACCGCAGCTTTTAGTTCAAGTAGAATGTAACCAGATGTTTTCACTCAACAGTGTGCGTTCTAGAATGTTTCTTTAAAGTGTTTATTCGTGAAAACCCTTTCCCACACTGGGCGCACACATGTCGCTTCTTGCCCGTGTGCGTTCTAGAATGTGCCTCCAAATTAGAAGGATGTGCAAAGCCCTTCCCACACTGCTTGCACACGTGTAGCCATGCACCCGTGTGTATTCTCGAGTGCGTCTCTAAATTAGAACGCTGCGAAAATCCCTTCCCACACGTGGAGCATACGTGTGGCTTTTCGCCCGTGTGCGTTCTAAAATGTGCCTCTAAGTTAAAACGCCTCGGAAACGCCTTCCCGCACTCGGTGCACACGTGTGGTCTCTCGCCCGTGTGCGTTCTAGAATGCGTCTCCAGGTGGGACCGGCGTGTAAATTCCTTCCCACACTCCGTGCACGCGTGTGGCTTCTGGCCGGTGTGCGTTATTAAGTGAAGCTTTAGGGAAGATCTGTGTGAAAATTGCTTCCCACAATCTGTACACGCGTATGGCTTCTCGCCGGTGTGTGTCCGAACGTGCATCTGCAATTGATAGTGATACGGAAACCTCTTCCCACACTCCTTACACTCGTGTTTCCCCCCGCCAGCAGTGCTCGTCACTTCACGTGCTCCCGACTTGTCCACTTGTGTAGATGCCTTCTCGCGCGTCGAGTGCAAGCGTCGCTCCTCTCCTGTGTGCGTCCTCCTGGTAGTCCGTCTATAAATGCACCATGCGGCGCCCTCAAGCATCTCCCCACACTCGCTGCAGGTTTGCAGCCTCTGTCCGGAGCATTTGACTTCATTACATTTTTTTACAAAGCATCTGCCAAAGTTCTTCCCGCATTTTGTGCACAAGAGTCCCGCCGTTTCCTCTTTTTCATCTGTGGAGTGAGGTGAAAGCAAAATACAAACACCAGTTGACGGCACAATAGCATTACGAGGCGTTCACAACTTCTGGCCTTTTAAATACATGACTGTAGTGATGTCACTTGAAATGTATTTATTTCATTATTTACTCTTCAAACCATTATCAAAATCTAGGACATACGTTTTAGGTCTATATCTACTAGATAACTGATGTGCTGAGGTTGTGTCTTTTAATAGACAGTGACAACAGGGAAGTGCTCGTGTCAAATGGGATAAAAAGATTTCATATTTCACAACTGTCTCAACAAAATACAACCCAATGGACTCAAGCCATGCTCTCATCTTGTTCGACAATGATCTTATTCATTGAGGCACATATAATATATTGGTGATAAAAACCAAAACAAAGCATTTTCTCAGTCATGTGATCAAGGGAATCTTACATTGACCAAGGTCTTCCTTCAATAACTCCACCTCAATGAAGCTCTGGTCTGGAGTGGCCGAACATCCACGGGAATCCTCCATAGTCTCGCTGGCTTCAAATGGATCTGTCTTCAAATCTGGAGATGTAATGTAGAAGACACACAATTGTCTTTGATGGGAGGTCTGATTGATAAAATAACAAGCAGTGACACAAACCAAATCAAGTTTCTTTCACTACTTTTACAAATCGGATTTGTGCCTTAGTTTGGCTCTTTGAGTCATGCAGCACCAGACCAAATGTCATTCACAACTCCAGTTACCAATCTACCTGAAGAAGAAAGTGTTCAGAAACTTTGCTATGAACAAACCATTTAACAAAAACTGTAATATGTTTATTGAAGCATAGAGAGATCCACACTTGGGATTCATGCAGCAGTGGATTAATCATAATATTAAATACAGTATTCATATGATCAACAACATATTCAATACATTGTTCCAATAATTGAAAAGTTGCATCCTTAGTTTCTGACAAAAGCCAGTTTACAAGAACTGCCCTCTCCTGCAAGCGGTCAATGATAAACCTTCCCTGGATCATTCTCTTAGATATTTTAGACTTCAATGTTGCTTGACACCATCGACCATGCCCAAAACTACACCGCATCTCCGGCGGAGAGCTCCTTGCATGGTTCTGCTCTCTGTGTCTGTAGGAAGGACTCTTACTGTCTCTCTCCATTTCAGTTTTCACCACAATCCCCAGCATCTCGGTGTCCAGACTCCCCTCCTCTTCTTGCTTGTTCATGACCGCTCCTGTGCACATGCGTTCACACTCGACTGGCGTGAAGACAATCATCGCCGTGAACCTCTAGATCTACCGTCGTGTCAATCTTAGAATGTATAGTGGTGGAATCTGCAGATCCCAGTGGGAGTGAAGTGAATCTAAATAATTTCGTGCCAATCTATATAGAACCTGTAGAGGTGTGTGCATATAGATCCAACACGTGGTCCAATGGCATGAATCTGTTTTACAGGAAGCAGTAAGTTTAATTCATAATTTCTAGGAGGGTCTTGTTTTATATTATTCAATGTTTAGGCAAGTGTGTGTTATTGCACTGAGAGTGTCTTGCAGTTGTAGCAATTATTTCACTTATGGCCAGTTGTGTTTTTCAGCTAACAAAATTCTATTTTATATCCTGATAGAATATTAAGGCATTCATTTCTGCTCAATTTAATATTTCCATACAAAGAAGCAAATTATAATCTTTTGACCCTGGTACAGAAATAAAAATTACTAGAATAGAGCAGAATGAAATGGAGATTTTAGTTTTGGAACGTGAACAAAAAATGTGGTCCATCATTCCCCTGTGTGCCAAGTGATCTCACCAGCATCTGGATCTTCATGTTTAATCAAGTCAGGGTGCAGCTCGGGACATGCACGTTCTTCTCGTTCTTGTTTGATGAATGCCAACTCAATGAGTGAATCCATCTTAGGAGTCAAGAAATAAATTTTGAAATCTAATTGCGACACGTTTATATAAGACAAGGATATGCCCCCTATAGCCTTAGGGGCCATCCATTTAATAGGTACGCAAAAATCTGTCAAAACTTGACCCATCCCCCCTCCCTGCGTATGTACGCCTGACGCACCCCCCCCCCCCCCGAATCCTATAGAACGGCCGATATTTAATCCACGCAGACATGATCAAGGATGAATAATATAAACGTGTTTAAGCAAACAGATAGTCCACCGCCGGCTGCATTACATAATTCAGTTGCGTACCTTGGCCACTTATTTTGCCGAGCTGCTTGACAGCTGCAGTCAGTGACATGCAAGTGACACCTCTCCCACAGTCCCACCTCTCCCGGCAGTATTCGCTGTCTGACAGCTGGAGACACTGAACTGTGGCTCATTTGAAGGCCAATGTAGACAAATTATTATCGAGGCTTCACCATCCCCCCCTCCGTTTCCTATGCGCACATTGTCAGTAGACCCCCCCCCCCCATACGCAAGCGAACGCATTTGGGTTAACCGCCCCCCTCCATGCGTACGTGCTAAATGGATGGCCCCTTAAGAGACTTTTGGGGCAACTGCTGTTTGCGAGCACCTATTAAGGCAAGCACAAGGGGTGGTGGTGTGGCCAGAACCACGCCCGACCGCCTTTGTCTCCCGGTCCCAATGTTTACACACAGCACTTACGGCCGAGTTGCCCTAAAGGAGGCCGGTGAACAGCTCAGACAGTCTTCGCTTGCAGTAGCCGTGCGTGTTTGTCAATTCAACGCAGTGAGCGAACCACCGCTCCCCACAACACAACACAGTAAGATCCACACAGGGCACACAGAATGAAGTCCAAACATTACAACAGCTGTCACCACTCAAGTGTCGGTGGCATCGCCACGGCTCTTGTGCCAGGCTAGGTGCACATCGAGGCTCTCGCCGCTGCTGATTATGGGGCTGCCTGCGGTGCCAGACGAAACCAAAGATGCCCCCCCCGGTGGGAGCCTTTAACAAACTGTTGGGGCAAGTGCTGTTAGCGAGCACACGTGGTGAGCACACGTGTGTGGCCAACACCACGCCCGGCCGCCTTTGTCTCCCCGATGTTTTACACACCGCACCAGGTACTCATTTGAGGCTGAGTCGACCTAGGGGAGGTCCCAACAACCAATTCAGATGACGGTCAACTTGGGGGTTTGTCCGCGAGCGGGAGTCGAACTCGGATCGCGATCTAAGCTACAGGAGGTCACGGCGCAGGCCCAGCTGCCATGGGTTGACTGCTGTGCCAGGCTAGGTGTCTGCCACAGATTCCCCGGCCGCCTTTGTCTTCTCAATGCTGATGTACAAGAACGCACGCCCAAGGACGCACGAATTAAACAACAACAACAAAAGCGTTGTCCACGTACGCCAGGAACTGTGAAACTTTAATGCGAACGTGAGCGACCAGATGGAGCCAACGGAGGGGTGAGACGCAGCGACGAGACGCGGCACTCGAGACAAAGGGGAGGGCGAACACACGAGTATCACTTGATTCTAGATTTGAAGATTTGTGTGATTTATTATTTTATTTCTATTAATTTTTATTATTTATTTTTTTACCTACGTGACTTTACCGAAAAAACCTATACAATAAATTTAGCTGTGACGGTTTCCACCTAAGGACGGAGACTTTTGTTGCCTCCGAAACGTCGTGATTTGTTATTTTATTTCAATTTTATTTTTCCTACGTGAAAAAACCTAAGAGTATGAATCCTTGCGGTCACGAAAGCTTCAAATCTAGAAAGATAGGGAGGGATGGGCTGCGTGGGGTGGCACTCAAAGCTCTGCCCCCCCCTCCTCCTCCACACTCGACGTGGACGTGGTTGGCCGGAGAGGTTCGCGGTTCGGATATCCGGCAGGTCGCCCCTGGTTAATATTGCGGGTGGATTAAAGGTCGAATAGAGGAATACACTTTTGTGTTTGTTTTGGGGGCGGGGGGAGCTCAATAATGCAGAGATTTTTTTGCACGGCAAGTGAGTTGTGACGTCAAATCTGTCATGCTACCCGCGGGCGTGGTGGATCCAAGTCCCGGGGCGAAGCCGGGTCGAACAGCTAGTCTATCTCCATATATATCAAAGGCAAAGTTGTGATGAAAAAAAACCGGAATGAACGAGAGCTGTGGTGGAGTCGATGAGTCCGGCCCAGATGTCACATTCCTCGGTAGCTCGTGTGGCCGCATCACTTTACCGGTTCCATTTTTTGTGTGTGGCCATTAATGCTGAATTATGTGATAACGATTTGAATGAGTGAGGTTATCAAGTAATTTCCTTGCCATCTCCTCATCGGGGGAAGGGCGCTTTAGAAGTTTAAATTAGTATTACTAATTCACTCTCAGTCGCCGCATACGTTTCGCGGTATACGACTAAAATCTTGCTAGCGAAGCTGCCCTGGCCCATGGACTGGTGGTAGCTGATGTCGCTTGGTCCTATAGCAAGCAGGGCGAGAACAGCGATATAATTATCGAGTCATACAGCGTGGGCTTCCACGAGTAATGAACCACATCCCCAATGATCAGTCACATTTAGGATCGATTAAGAGATGAACAACACTTCATCAAGCTCAGGAAGGTTCAAGGAAAGGCACAAATCTGCAATACTGCGATGGGCAAAACGTCCTCCTCATCATTGACACTGGAGTTGTGCAGATGAGAATCGATTATGTGCAACGTACGTAAATGTTATGGAAATTATATGCTGTTATATTAACGCTAATGAAGAAACAATACAAACGAAACGGCAAAGATGACAAAAAACGATTGAATTAAATCGCGATCGAAACTGACAGCTTGCCACACCGCAGGGAGGGCGAATCATTATTTGCCTAGTTAAATTTTCAACGTATGATGTAAACCCCTCGTGCCAATGTTTACTCTGCAATAATCACTCAAAATATGCATTTTACATACTGTATATCCTGGTCCGTTTACATATTGGCACGTCACCATAAATCTGTTTAATATTTCTGTAAATAAATGTAGTAACTGTACACGTGCTATCAAGGAGGGCCATTGCCAGAAACGTCG